AGCTATGCGATGTAAGGCACCAGAAGCCATCAAAATTCTTAACTTTGATTGAAGAAAAGTTTAAATTTGGGCGTTGTTATTCACATTCTGACAACAACTTTTACACCCTTGCGGCTGGTTTCATGAATGTAGCAAAGTAGCTAGCTAGCTAAGCAGGCCATGAACCCTCTTATTCTAAAACATTTTCTAAAACGTACTAGCATTGATTGTTTTAACAATCAACTGAAAACAATTAGAATACATTACTTATTTCTATATTCACTGAGGTGTGCAACAAGGGTCTCTTTGAAACAGATAATGAACACCCAGCAACAACCTAGCAAAGTAAAAAAATGAGGCTAATGTAGAAATGCAAAAAACTGCAGTTCCTTGAGTGTCCACTTGCCTCCGGCGGCAAAAATCAAGGAATCCCTGCATTAAAATACCCATTTTAAAAGCAAAGAAAACATATGTGAATCCTACAAAAATCAGGTTTAGTCCCTCGCTCATATCTTTTTGGTGAAAACTGTAAGTGGCTGAATATTTCTACAACTCATCTGTGTCGAGGTTTTTTTTGTATAACTAGCCATGATTGGGATGTGGATATGTTGACTGACAGATGGAAGTGTTGTAGCTGTTTGCCTGGATGCTTAAGACCTGCCTCAACTACACCTCGTAGCCTTTTAGTAGATTGACAAAAAGTTACATAGTCCACATTTTAATATGGTGACCGCTATCACTCCTCATAATGTCTCTCCAGAAACCCATGATGTTGACCTCGCTGACACTACGTCCATGTTTTATACAGTCTATGACTATCACGCACTATTAGTTAGAGCTTCATCCAGAAGGTCAGGGTTTTATTGCAGGTTCAGGCTTTGCTTACATGATTCAGGATATCTGTTCTTGTAAATGCAGTGTTATAGAGTTTGTATTAACAGACAGAGATGTGCAGTGCAGTAAGATGGTGCACCATTACCCCTGTCCTTTATCTGTTTTTTTTCTGTCATTTCTCAAGAAAGAAAGTAAGCTTCTCTTCATTATTATTTATTATTATTTTGAGATAGTATGAAGGAATTAGAGGTTAATACTTTTTTCAACATTTGACCAACTAATATGTCAAACGTCACAGTAACATAATGAACAGAGTATGTGTTTGTGATGTAATGTTTTCATGCACAGATCTGATTAGAGCACCTCTTTCTGTTATACTTTTCCCCTCAAACCTAATCATCAGTTATCTTCATCTTCGTTCTCTTTTATCTTGTTTTGCCATTGACCTTCCCTTACACCCTTGTTTTTAATGAGTCTCTCACTGCACAGTGAGTCAGCAGTATGCACACACCCACACACACACATACACACACACAGACACACACACACACACAGATTTGTGCTCAGAAAAATCCCTTTGGCTTCAACTTTTTGGCCTGGATTGGACCCATAAGTGCTGTCCCCCTTTTTTTCCTCCCATTTGTTAGATCATCAGCCCTCAGCCAGTCACATACTCCTGATGCTGCACACGCTTGCTGCACTGCAGTGAGCCAGCATTTATTCAGAGAGGGAGAGAACGAGAGAGAGAGAGAGAGAGAAAGAGAGAGGGAGGGAGGGAGAGAGAGAGAGAGGGAGGAGGAGGATGAATGGATGAGACAGACTGAGCCAAAAACAAGAGTGATTGGAGGAGAGGAAGTGATGAGGGAGAGTAAAGGAGAAAGAGGGAGGGAGGGGAAGAGATGATGTAAAAACTGAAATACAATCTGGACAAATCGCCCCTCCTCAACTTGGCTCACGTGTGTGAACACACCCAAAAACACACAGAGGAGCTGTGTGTCGTTCACACACACACACACACACACACACACACACACACACTCACACACATCCTGTCGTCGGCTCCTGTTTGACTGCTGGCTGATACCTGCAGGGAAGCATCATCTCATTTCCGGGCTGATATGACCTGAAGGCAGGTTTACGGGCAACAAAAAAAAAATCTTCCTACTACGCTCACATGGAGCCAGTGTTTCAGTGTGGGCTCTGGAGTGGATGACGCCTGTTGATCCGCCTCTAGATGCAGCACTGTAAGTCTATCCTAAAAATAATGCTATCAGCCTTTTTAAATCAATTCTAGACAGTTCTTTATCCTACAGTTCTTCATCATTGTAACTTTTTTTTATTTTGGTTGTCACTGCATGAAGAAAACAAAATTCAAACTTCCTCTTATCCCATTTGATTTCCTCCAATAACATTTCCCTTCCTCGTGTGTGTATACCCCGCTGATTGCGTACGAGGAGACAGCTCAATCCAGCAGGAATTATTCCGCTCAGCTTGTGTGGGTCTGATTATGTAAGAGCTGAGTTTTTTTTTTGTGTGTGTGTGCGGCTGCTGCGACCTTGTGCACCGTCAGCGCGGGGGCTGCTTCTGTTGTCCTTTTGTGTCTGTCTGTATGGATTCATAATCAGTGACATATTTGAAGCTCTGCTCGTTTGCTTAATCTTCTGTGAGGAGCTGGTAAGTCATTAACATACACCTTAACACTTGAGCATTAGTTAGTGCGTGTCTGTGCTTGCGTGCAGTGTTTACATTGGTTATCATTTAGTGTATTTTGAATGGTGATATTGCTTCTGAAGCTGGTTTTAGCTTACAGGCTTGGACAAATGTTGACTAAGTGGTCGACACTTGCGGGTTTTTCTTTCTGAGTCAGTATTCTGCTGCCATAGTACGTTTCTGTTTCTGTTTCCATTGCAAGACACGCTCTCTAAAGCTGAACTGTTTGGCAACTGAAAGCAAAAAAAAACAAAAAACATCACATGCGAGCCTTGAATTATCTTTGTTCCCAGTCAACTTGACACCTTCAGTACATCATTCTACGAGCAGTTTCTATTCTTAAATCTCTGTTTTAAGGCTCCTAACATCCCCGCATGTTGTGTTACTTGGTGAGCTTTCAGAGCGAGATAGATAGAGGGAGAAGATTGAGGAGGTGCGTTGGAACACATGCAGTGCATGAGTGCACTGTAGAAAGAATCCCAGTCCCGCAGGGTTTCCTCTCAGCAGCAGAGGTGGCCTGTTTCTGTGCTGATCTCCAATGTGAGGGGACAATAAAAGCACTGACACACTTTTTGTGTCTAAGTTAGCTGCCAGATAGCGTTACAGAGGAGTCAGACACGAGGACGCTGTAAGAAGATGTCTCACATAAAACTGGGCAGGGAGGAAGACTACTGCTCAGGTATGAAGAATATGTGGACGTTAGATAGTGGACAGTGTTAGTGTTTATTTCTGTAGGTTCTGATTTCTGTCTCTTGCTGATGAGAGCTGAACATAGTGTGCCCTGCTTTCACTTTATGATGAAATATTAATTAGTTAGAGTGCTCTTTGAGGGAAACATCCAGCCTCAGCTGCTGCTGCACGTATTCCTGCTCTGTTTTTACTATGGTTAAGAGCCTTGAAGAGGTTACAAAATGTTTTTTTCCTCGCTCTTTTCTGTAATTGTGATGAATAGTTGTTTCTCTCTATGCTTTTAAACACTAGGAATGCACCGATTTTATCACCCAAAACTGATTCTGAAAGCTCAGTTTAGCATATCTGTGGGAAATTGAATGTTTAATCCTGATTTTATATTATCATAAACAAAACCCCACTGAAAGGCCAAAGATCACTGAAACTCTGAATTGATTTTCACATATCCAAAGAAACAGGATGTACTGTATGGGAATCATTCACATCTGGCAGCACCTAAATCCTTTTGATAAGGTCTGTCCTGTACTGATAAACCTGGTGGATCATATGAGTAAATCCATTTAAGATTAATCATATGAAAAGATCTTAGAAGGTAGCATACCTCTTTGGTCGTGGACTGAACCTGCTGAAATCCATCAGAGCTGAATTTGTGCAAAAGTGTAACAAATGTGCAATAATCACAAATGTATTTTAAAAAGCTAATGCATTAATCCGACACCTTGATGGTAAAGCAACTCCTCAAAACTGCTGGACGTGGGCACATGTTGGCATGTTTGGATGTATCATGATTTGGATATCAAACTAAAGATGGCCCCCAATCTCAAAACCTTTGAGAGAAACTTTATGATTTGATCATTTGCTCCTGATCTGTGGATCTTCTACCTCTTAATATTACGACTGTTCTGTCCTTTGAAAGTTTTAAATACCTTTTTGTTGGCTATTAATTCCAGTTGAGTTTGACACACTAGAGTTTTTTAAACTATATGCTCTTATTTATATATAAATGTTCATTTTCGTCATCTACATCTTTTGATTTGGCATCGTGTTGTTATGTTACAGCACTTTGGTCGACTGTTGTTGTTTTAAACGGGCTTCATAGATAAACTCTGACTTTACTTTAGTGTTTTCATCCAAATTTCACTTTTGCAAACATCTGCTGTTGAAGCAATGACCTCATCTACAACCTCTCAGCTGTTGTATGTGGTCAGGGCTTTTGGTATGTTGACTTAAGGAAATTATTATCATATTTAAATGAGTTTTTTTTTTATAAGGTCTAAGTTTTTTTTATTTTTTTTATCTGTTTGGCCTATACTCAGTAAGGGTGTTTCTTACTTTGTTTGTATGGTTTTCAGACAAAGCCTTTAACAACAGGAGCTTCTTAATGTGTCTGTTTGTTTCCTCTCTCACTAAGAGAATCTGCTGTTGAAGCAATGACCTCATCTACAACCTCTCAGCTGTTGTATGTGGTCAGGGCTTTTGGTATGTTGACTTAAGGAAATTATTATCATATTTAAATGAGTTTTTTTTATTAAAGAAAAACATCTTTTGTTTGTATGGTTTTCAGACAAAGCCTTTAACAACAGGAGCTTCTTAATGTGTCTGTTTGTTTCCTCTCTCACTAAGAGGATAGAAAGAAGGAAAGACACTTTGCTTTGACCTTTGATCTTTACAAACCACACATCTCCACTCCTCTCCATGGTTCTCAGCTGTGTGTTTGATCACACACCGTGTATTTTTGTTTTGCTATGACCTGACTCATCTCGTCCTCCCTCTGTTCCCCTCTGCAGGGTGCAGGGTAAGAGGAAGAGGGACTCGTATGTCAGAGTTTTAGGATGGCCAGTGAAGGCTCAACTCTTCCCAGCCCAGTGGTCCGTCAGATCGACAAGCAGTTCCTGATCTGCAGCATATGTCTGGACCGCTACGAGAACCCCAAAGTCCTGCCCTGCCTACACACCTTCTGTGAGAGGTGAGTGGAGTTACAATGTTGTTCTTGTATAGGGATGATTAGCCAATCCTGCATTTTATTTTGTAAATCAGACAGACATGAGAAAAAGTTCTGGAGTTTCAATATGCAAATGAATAATGGAAAAATAGACAAGTACTACTGTGAGTTTACTGCATAATAATTAGAGATGTAGTTGTGTTCAGATATTTAACTTGAGAGAAAATATCAATATCACACTGCAACAATTGTCATCTACAAATAAAAGTTGTACATTTCAGAATATCTGAGAATCGAATCTGAAAAACTCCTTTTGATACAAAAACGTAGCAAATAGAAAAGCACTCGTTATGTAGAAAAATGGTTCCTGCCAGTGCTTTACTGTAATATATACATATATCAGGGTTAGGGATCAATAGTTTTTATCATATTTTATTTCATTAAAGCTTTATTTTACCAGGAATATTTCCTTTGAAATACAAAATCTCTTGTACATGGGCATCCTGGCCCAGACAGCAGGATACAGAATGTCACATTAAAGAATAAACAACAGACAAAGAAGAAATGACACCACTGCATGAGCAACGGGAAACCTTCCATGCTAATAAAATAAAAATATTACCATTGCTTTTTATTCATATGCTGCACTTTATTTTGGGATTTGCTCAAGTTGACGATGAGTAACTAAACAATGTTATCTACAGCATCACATCACATATCTCTGGAAGGTCCACTTTTTATGAGCCTTGTTAAACAACTTTGTGAAAATGTGGATCAAGAAGTAGGACAATTCTCTAAGCCTGTAAGGGAACACTTAATCCTTCTGTTAATGAGACACAGACATGCAAAATGTCCCAATATGGAGATCTCAAGTAGTTTTGAAAAGACAGAAAGGCTGTGAACAATTGTAACCTGATAACTATCGTATCTGACGAGTGGAAGTGAGTAACTTCTTTCCCTCTTTCCCAAGAGCAGGACTTAGTTTTAAAAGATGGAAAGTAAATGCATTTGGTTACATTTCCCACTGAGATCCAGGAGTAGTAATATCTGGATCTTGTAATGAGTGTGAGTTTTGTATGTTGGTGTCATCCTCCCGGACAGTCCGCCTTTGTTCCGGACACAAAGAGAAAGTGTGGACTGTGCCTGTCTGTCCCCTCGCTCTGGTTGCTTCTGGAGGGTCATTATTCGGATACATTGAACAGTGGAGCTGTTTCGACTTTTATTACAGTCATTTCTCTCTTACATGTTACAGAGGTGGACATGCATCCACACATATTATTTACTTTGTTCTCCTGTGATAACGAGTACTTTCCAGTTGTTTCCTGGAGATCTCAAGCGGTTTATGACCTTCCTCTCCCACGAATGCACCCGTGTATCACTGTTATGATATTTTCAAGATTCAAGATTTTTTATTTGTCACATGCTCATACAGATGTGCAGTGAAATGTAAAGTCTGACATATTGAACACCTCTATACCAGTGACTGTACTTTAAGATTGACAGCACATTCCCACAACTCTTGTTTACAAAAGAAAAGCCGAAAATACCCCCAGCACATGTCTAATCACTAACAATCCAAACCATAACCCTGTAATAGATTTGTGAAGCTTGATTTATTTTCTATGTTAAGAAACTTCCCGGTTTAAGAAAATCTTGTGGTATTCACAGTCATAACTGCATATCTGTCTGTGAATCTCTCTGTTTAAAGATAACGAAGTCCCCTGTCTTTCCTGTTCCATCTACCACACCACCTACGTCTCCTTGCAGACTCTCCGTCTGTGATCCGTCTGATTACAGGCTGCTCCCACTCGCAGTGTTCAGTTCACTCAGTGTTCCTGCTGCTCTCCTCCTCCAGGTGCCTTCAGAATTACATCCCGGCCCACAGCCTCACACTGTCCTGCCCCGTGTGCCGCCAGACCTCCATCCTGCCGGAGAAAGGTGTGGCGGCGTTGCAGAATAACTTCTTCATCACCAACCTGATGGACGTGCTGCAGCGGGCGCCGGACAGCTGCAGCCAGGAGGCCGCCGCCCTCAACAACATCACAACTGTGGCTGCAGGACAACTGCTGTCCTGCCCCAACCATGGAGGCAACGTAAGAGACTCACGCACTTTTTCTGCCCTTACATTTGACCTCCTCCCTCTCACTCACATGAATACACATAACAATTTGTTACCTCATTTAACCTGAAGATGCTCAACAAATGTGACATAAAAAACTGGTATGTCTAATAAATTCAGAGATTTTCAAGGAAAGTATATGATAGCTGGTCCTTAACATAAACGTTTGACCCATAAGCCACCAAATTCAAACATTCAGTTTCCTCTAATTAGTTACACAAGCAATGCGGTGATAATCGTTCTTAATCATTGCTCCAAGTGCGATGAAAAAAGATAACAAACAGCTCAGATGTCAAGGTCATTGGTAGTAACTTAAAACTTTAAAGTGATGTGATAGTTCGCTATAAGACTAACTTTTACTGTTTTGAAAAGCTTTTATCAACCAATATAGACCAATATAGAAGATTGATAATAATTATTTATTTTTTCTAATTGTGGGATTAAAGTAAGAAATATTGGGGGATAGCTCCACAATATGCAAAAGAGACAATTAGGACATATACAGACAAAGGCAAAAATGATATTTGTATGTACCATGTTCTACCTATTGCTTCTATCCCTTCTGTTTTAGATTGTTTTTAATGGGAGTAAGTTCTGTTTATCCATGTCTTAACTCCTTATTCAAATACTGTAAAAACTGTATTTGGGCATTTGTAATGCATTTCAAATTTCACGCTAAAAAATAATTTTAAGTTTAACGGAAATGGTTTGAAATTTATACAGTGTAGGAGTCTTCAACTAGCTAGCTGAATGTGTACCAAATCTCATAGCAATCCAAAAGTCTAAACCAAAAGTTAACGTGCTCATGGTGTTAGACGAAAACTCAGTGTTACATTCTCTTGGGAATATAAAAAGCTGTCCTGTATTTCTTGGCATCCCATCAGTTATTGTCCAGTAGATATTTCAGTCCGCCCAAAAATTGATCCAAATGTGGCTACAAGAGTTTGTATGTAACCCCCACCCTATATTTGAGTCTAATCTTGAGGTCTTTCCTGCTGCTTAGGTCATGGAGTTTTACTGTCCTCCATGTGAGACGGCCATGTGTCAGGAGTGTACGAGCGGAGAACACGGAGAACACCCAACTGTGCCTCTGAAAGATGTAGTGGAACAACACAAGGCCTCATTACAGGACCAGCTCGATGCTGTTAAGAAGAGGTGTGCATATTAGTCCTTGATAGCAGCGTTAATGGGAAACACAATCCTACTTGATATGTGTACTCTGTCATTTGACTCTGTACTCCCTACATAAAAAATGTTCTGCTCGTTTCTTATTTTTCCTCTCTTGCTCCTAGGTTGCCAGAGATCGACTCAGCGTTGCAGACGCTGTCAGAGATCCTGCAGCAGCTGACCAATCAAAAGAGCTCCATTGAGGATGGCATCCACACAACCTTTGATGAGCTGCAGAAGACTCTCAATGTGCGCAAGAGTGTTTTACTCATGGAGCTGGAAGTCAACTATGGCCTCAAGCAGAAGGTAAACTAAAATCATCTGGAAAAAAAAATCTGATCTACTCTGAAACACATGCAGAGGTAATCAGTGATGAATCAGACATACAGGAAGAGACATTTAAGAGTTTTTAGGATTGTGGCAATCCAAATTGTTTCCAGTATTCATTTCTTTTCTACTTTCAAAGCTGCAGAGTAGAACTAATTTTCTCCAGACAGTGAATAATTTATAATGTTTATAAACGGTTTTCTGAAGAATTTGAACCACATCATGAACACTGTGAAATTCTTACTTTGGAATTTCGATTGATTCTAAACAATTGATTTAGATTTTTCCAGCAGTAATCCCTGCACTAAAAGGAGTTTGTGGATGTGGATAGGGTTTTTCCATATTTTAAGTCATGTTTCTTAGCTTTTTTTCCCCTTGAATGCTGCCTTAAGTAAGTTGTTGAGTTTTCATTTTGGTTAAAGCACTTTGTAACACTTATAACTTTTATTGTGGCTGTATTACCCAGAAGCTTTGATGCACAGTTATTCATGTTTGCCACTGCCCCCTAGTGGGGTTTTTGGGTACTGAAAGTGTACCACAACAGGGGTTATAGTTCAAATGTTTTTTTTATTTTCAATTTAAAAATGCAGACACATTTTTTTCATATATGTTTTTATGCTTAACAGTTTGTTTACTTGCATGATGGTGCAGAAGGCAGATTTTTTCTGTATAGGAAATTGAAATACAATGGACATGTTTTGTTATGAGCTGTATACTTAGAGGTTTGAGTGGACACAGGATAGTTCTAGGTTTAACATTGACAAAATTCAAACAGCTCGTAAAAAGAGTTTTTGGAATCACAAGAAATCAAATAAGAAATTCAATGAACAAAACATTTACTGAATAGCAGTCACAGGCCACTCATCAGGCTGTTTTTGCTGATCTATGTGTCAGAGGACTCAGATGGTCTGATAGGCGATTAACAAGGCATGGGGGCTGGTGCACCACCCAAATCCAGACAACCAATCATACAGTCTGGTTCTCAGTGATTGCCACCCCCTCAGGGATCTGCGTCACTGATGATTAACAATTCAGTGGCTGGTGTGCCATCAAAACTGGGTGGGGGGGAAGAGAATATGTTGTTCAGCTGTGTTGTGGCTTGAAGCTAGATGGAGCCAGTGCTTTACATATACAGTTAGGATGATTTGGGTGTGTCATGTGCAGTGAGGGAGCAGAACACAGCTTTGCTCTTCTTCATGCGGCAAACACTCAATCCTCTATTTACTCCGGAGCTAGAGCTCTGCTTTTACAGTTTCTCAGGACAGTCTCTTAAGTTTTCAGACCTTAAAGTGGAAGTCGCTTTGAGGACTTACTTGACTCCAGTTTGACATTAATGTCTACATGGCCTCTCTTGCTGCTGTTGTAGAAGAAGAGGAGTGTGATGGCGAGATTGGGGTGAGTCTGTCCGGGTTCTTTTATCAGGATGAAATAGTGAAGTAATTAGCAACAAAGGACTTCTTTATAGCTCTTAAATTATAGCATACGAACAGATGTCATGATCTAAATGGGACTTTTGTTAGCTTATTATGAGCACTAGCTGCAACACTTTCTACTGCGATCATTTACATTTATAAATAATGAAAGACACATGATGAATAAAGCATGAATCTTTGAAAGATGTTTCATGAAGTCATGTATTTCACCAATGAGAAGAAAAAAGTGATTTTTAAAAATCGTATTTTTATGCGACTATTTTAAATAGAGTAATGTGTAAAGGAAATTGAAGACCTGCATGTTATCAGTCTCTGAAAGAACAGCAGTACCTGTTCTCATAGAGATATGAAGCTGTTTTTATCAAGTTGCTGGTCAAATAAAACGGTCTTAGTTTAAGTCACATCTGCAGACTAGAAGGAGCTGAAGTTTTGCTTTGTGTAGATTTCTTTTTAGATGTTTACATGTAGGATCAAGGATAGAGGTCCCCTAATAATAAAACATTTAAAAAATGATTCTGTTAAAAAAGTTTTTTTCTGACCTGCCAACATCACTACAGATGTCTCTGTTCAACCGAGCGTTATGTCAGTGACTGTGAAAGTAACTTCAGGGAATCTGTGTGTGAGGACTTCTCCTGTTGTTTGCCTATTATAATTTAATGAAATATATCACCACATGATGTTTCAGGCCTTAGGCCTTTATCAGACAGTGACTGAAACATCATGTGGTGATATATTTCATTAAATGCAGTTTGGAGCAGCTTCCTGGGCCAACCTGGGCTTTTAAACTCGCACGATCATGACAATACTGTGGGGTCGCTAGATGATTAAATACATCCCCACACACACACACACACACACACACACACACACACACACACACACACACACACACACACACACACACACACACACACACACACACAGAGAGAGAGTGATCCAAATAATATTATTGCACTTTCGCATTGGCTTCACTTTAATTTACAATCTATTATTTCAAGCTTAAAGCCTGGGAAACACTTGTCTACCTAACAACAGAATAACTCTGCTGCCCCCTGGTGTTTGTTTTTGCAGGTGCTCCAGGCCCAGCTGGACAGCCTGCTGCAGGGTCAGGACGGCATCAACAGCAGCTGTAACTTCACGGAGCAGGCTCTGAGCCACGGCAGCGAGGCCGAGGTGCTGCTGGTAAAGAAACAGATGAGTGAACGTCTCATGGAGCTCGCTAGCCAGGAGCTTCCTCTGCAGCCCGGAGAGAACGACCAGCTGGACTTCAACGTGGAGACGGAGGGACTCAAAAAGTCCATCCACAACCTGGGCACTATTGTGACAACTAACGCCGTGGCCTCTGAGACTATAGCTACAGGTGAAGGGCTGCGACATTGTGTGGTAGGAGTACCCACCTCCATCACCATAACCACTAAAGACAAAGACAGAGAGCTGTGCAAGATGGGAAACGCAGTCATCAGGGCGGAAATCTCTTCACCTGACGGGAGCAAAGGTGAAGGAGAGATTCTGGACAATAAGAATGGCACTTATGAGTTTCTGTTCACTGCACCAAAAGAGGGGACTTTTCATTTATCACTGCGGTTATACGACCAACATATCAAAGGAAGCCCATTTAAGGTGAAGGCCACCAAGTCCATAGATGTGTCCCCGACTTCAGACGGCATGAAGAAGAGGCTGAAGTCTCCAGGAAGTGGTCACATCAAGCAGAAGGCCATAAAGAGGCCGGCCAGTATGTACAGCAGTGGGAGGAGGAAAGAGAACCCCATCGAGGACGACCTCATATTCAGGATCGGTAGGAAAACAGAGAATTTGTAACAAGGTCTTGATATCAAACCTGTAGTTGCTGTTTGTTTGTTTTATACCAGCCAAATGTTATTGTAGCACATGAAATATTAAATCAGATATATGATACAGTCTCTGATTTAAATGTAAGATGAGAGGAGATTGCATCATCCGTCTACTAATATGTATATATTTTCCAGGGACAAAAGGCCGAAACAAAGGAGAGTTCACAAACCTGCAGGGAGTGGCTGCCTCCGCTTTGGGAAAGGTTCTGATAGCAGACAGCAACAACCAGTGCGTCCAGGTAAAAACAACATCCTGTGCTCTCAGCAGCCACAAATAGCAGAAGTCAGTGGCCTGTTTAATAAGTCATTGGTGAAGCACTCTTTCCTTGAACAATGCTGCCTCTGCACTTCACCGTCTCTTTCTGTTCAGTGCATGTTTTGGACATTTGTTGAGTCGAACTTCTTGAGATCACACGGAACCATCTTTAAAAAGAGCTTTCCTTGGATGTGTTTTTGTGCTACAGATTTTCTCAAACGATGGTTTGTTCAAAAGCCGGTTCGGGGTCCGAGGCAGAACACCGGGTCAACTGCAGCGGCCAACGGGCGTGGCCGTCCACCCAAACGGTGACATCATCATCGCTGACTACGATAACAAATGGGTCAGCATCTTCTCAAGTGAAGGCAAGTTTAAGGTGAGTCAGGTGATTTAGGCTGCTTCTGTAAATACATCGACATGGTATACTATCCCTAAAGAGATTTAAACATGGTATTCAAAGTAAATGTGATTTATTTTTGCAACTAAACAGTCAGTTTTGTAGCCTGAACATTCTCCATTCCAGTTTTCTAAACTCATGCACATTTACTGAGTGTTCAGGGATTTCTCATATCTAAGAAGCTTAAGGGAGCATGTTTGACATATTTGCCTAAAAAATTACCAGAACAATTAACCACATGTTTTGAAGTAATGTTTTCCCCCCTTTTTAGATGTGTTGACAGAAATTGCCCTGCTGTCTTTTTACTTTCCATTTAAAACAGTTAAATGTCAGTACAGTGATAAAATGTGACAGTATTTTTTCCCTTTTAGAACAAGATCGGCTCGGGGAAGCTGATGGGTCCTAAAGGTGTGTCAGTGGACAAAAACGGACACGTCATCGTGGTGGACAACAAGGCCTGTTGCGTCTTCATCTTTCAGGTCAACGGCAAGCTTGTCACCAAATTTGGTAACCGTGGCAACGGCGACAGGCAGTTTGCAGGTACACTCAATGGTAATATGTGCACTGCCCCCTACCGTCTCTCTCTCTCTCTCTCTCTCGCTCTCTCTCTACAACCAGATCACACCTGCATGTGGAATGAAGACGAATGCCAAACCAGGAACCCAAAGTTCTTAAAAACCTTTAGAATAAGAGATAAGAACCATTTAGGGCATATATTTGATGCTTGTTTAATTCTCCATGGATTCAATTTTGAATTCATAAAACACTAGCTCCTCTGTCCTATAAACAGCATGTTGTACAGCATCATAAGATACCAATATTCTAGTTCACTCACATTGTTTTTTTTTTCTGTTATTTGTTGCAGTGGTATTTGTATTATTGTGCATGTACTTTACAATCACCCTCCATGAGGTCAACAAGAGTCTTTGTTGTCACTTTGTTTTATTCAGGTCCTCACTTTGCTGCTGTCAACAACAACAATGAAATCATAGTGACAGATTTCCACAACCACTCAGTCAAAGTAAGTGCAGTAAAGGAACAACGGAATCTGTGCATCACAGGTGTACAGAGTCTCTGATAAGCAGCTTTTAATTAACTAAACCATGTTTAAGTTGATGTAATACTTTACATGTTGTGTTTATTGTTTCGTCTGTTTGTTGTAACTCAAATGAATGTCTCCCTTTTTCTACCACGTTGATACTGAAATCCCAGGTGTTCAACACAGAAGGGGAATTCCTGCTGAAGTTTGGTTCTAACGGTGAGGGTAACGGGCAGTTCAACGCTCCCACAGGAGTGGCAGTGGATGTCAATGGAAACATCATAGTGGCAGACTGGGGCAACAGCAGGATACAGGTCAGTATCGATAGGTCTGAAATAATAAAAAAAGACAAGGTCGACTCTTCCACCTGCTGGTTTTATAGTCTGGATTTCAGGGTGTGTCTTTGTGGCAAAATTATTTTAACATATAAAGATGTCATCCTGATTGAGAGCTAAATTATAATTGAGCCACAGAAGTTATTCACATGGCCTCGTCATGCTAAACTCAGTGATATTGACACATCATTTGCAGACATGCTCATTAATATAAAGTGTTAATGATGAGCGAGGCAAAGCATCTGCTGGTTTTCTCCTTTATGCAAATATAAACACAACAATACTTTGGTGTTTCTCCCTCTCTCTCTTTCAGGTGTTTGATGGCAGCGGTTCATTCCTGTCCTACATCAACACCTCAGCAGACCCGCTGTACGGCCCGCAGGGACTGGCTCTGACCTCGGACGGACACGTTGTGGTTGCAGATTCTGGCAACCACTGCTTCAAAGTTTACCGCTACCTGCAGTAGCCCATCTTACTCAGTGTACAGTGTATATATCTACTCACATGGACTTGTTAGTGTCGGGCGACCGGCAAATTTGCTCTCATCCGCTCACCCGTTTCTTCCTTGTTGTCGTCGTGCCATCTGTCTGACTGTTCTCCATGTGTTTGTCCGTGGCATCACCTCTGACACTGGACAAACAAGAGAGAGTTATTTGTGGTTTGAATAAAACAAGAGGATCTCTGACTTTCACAGACAGCTGATGCTGATTGGTGCTTTGAGGAGACACTCGTTACTTTCCTTAAGTTTCATCTTAACTACACAGTTTCTAAGAATCATACTTCAACAATTGTACATATGTTTGACTTTAGATGTGTTGTGGGATGGGTGTAAAGATGGAACTTGTTCATTAAAATACAGGTATGACACTGTGTTACATGAGACTGATATTAAAGTAAAGAAGCAACTTAGTCACATCAATGATGAAGGAAATCAATTTCTATTTCCAGTAACTGCAGCTTTTAAGAGTTTTCACATTAAGCCTGTTCACGTTGAAATAACACTGTAGGTAGCAGGGTAACATAAGGCATGATTGTGCATCTCTGTGCATGCTGTTTACACTTATATACACCAGAAAAGCTAGTGTCCACTATAAAAATCTACTTCTGGCTGATAAGAAACAACAGCATTAGAGCATAAGAAACTTTGAATCAACGCACTTATTTGAATAATACTTCTACCTGTATGTGGAAAAAATAACTATTGGATGTTATATGTCATCACTGAAAAGTAGCCAACAGGTGTTTATTAAAGTGTGCTGATAACTTCTGCTTAATTGGTTTTACAAATAACACATAATGTGATTGTGTGTGTTTGTGGTGATCAACTGATGTACCAAACAAAAGCCATTTGATACGTTGACTTACAATCTGCAGTGTGTGTTTCTGTGAATGTATGAAGTGTGTTTGGGTGTTATGTGAATGAAGCCTCTTAATTTACAATCTGCTGTGATTACTGTGCAACCATCCTAGAATTTAAATAATGAGCTGCAATGCTTTTCTTCTGTGGAGCAGAACTGTCATCAACGTCACTCCACTATGTGCACCTTTCCTTAAATAAAAGAATCTGTAGAACTACTAACTTAAAAAAGAGAATAGTCTATTTTAAAGTAAACTGATGCAACTGTATCTCATTAGTTGAGCTGCGTGTTTAAAAAAAAAAAAAAAAAAAAAAAAATGCACAATAGGGAGCCTTGGTCCAAACATGTTTGTCTTCAAGCACACAGTTTTCATTCCTGGTTATAATGAATTGGATCATACATTTTCTACACAGTTCTGTTAAATTATTTGTTTTTAATTGTCTTGCTTATATTTGTAATGCCAAATGGAATTAAAGTGCCCATAGAAAAGAAAAAAAAATTGGTTTCATCGTATTTGTATTTTAACTACTGTATGTTAGAATATAGTGATTTATTTGAGTTATTCACTACAGAGCTGCTTGAAACACTGTTATAATGGTATTTACTTGTTTATTTTAGTGTAGAATAACATAATTAATAAATTGGCTAATGTGTGGTATTAATCCATGAAATGATAATGAGTGTTTTCTAAATGAATTGATGTTCCTGACATACAGAATGGATTGGTTAGTCATTGTATGTGTACCTGTTTTGACTATTTGAACAATGTATCATAATAGACAGCAGAGGGCGTAAGAACTCAACCCTCCACGTTGATTGAGGGATGCTGCCTTTGCGTGCAATCGAAAATTATCAATACTGAACCGACAAAGAGCCTACACGTTGCCAAACATAATCAGGTTCAACAAACTCAATTAACTTGGATATGAAACGTGTTTCTTCGATGAAGAAAAGTGTGATAAAACGCTAGGCTTCGGCTGTACAGTAAATTTAGCACACGCAATTCCTCTGGTTTATTGTAGCTCTGCAGTCCAAAGATGTATATAATAGAGTGTACGAGGAGCAGTGAAGGCACCAGAACCCCCGTGACAGCATCCGCGGGAAATTCAGGCTGTGAACTGATTCTTGTTTGGATTAACGTCACAACGATAAAACAACGCAATTTTACAGCAAAAACGGAAAAAATAACTTAACGAAAGTTGAAGTTGCTGATCCAGCCACCGTTACAACATGGTAAGTAAATGTTTCTTGCAGTTGATGTGTTACAAAAGTCAAGAGGCGACCGACGCTTACTCGCTCATTGCTCGTGGTAAACGTAGCACTCACTTTCCACAAACTCGCAGTCACATATGAGCACAGAAGTATCTGTATGACACAATAAACAACAGACAACTCAGTTACTCGTCACATTGTAGGTATTTGCCGTATATCATGTATTGCATGTACGCTAGTAATCACTCCACTTGTGTAGTCAGCGTTCATTCTTCGCCGTGTAGTGTAGGACGACACTGCCTCTGGTGGCCGCACGCTGTATTACAACAACGATGAGACAGAAGGACGTGCAGGAAACAGCAGTGAGGGCTTTTATTTAACATTCATATTTAAAATTACTGCACATGCGTGTTGTTGGATTCTTGTATCATACATTTATCTACACAGTTCTGTTAAATTATTTGTTTTTAATTGTCTTGCTTATATTTGTAATGCCAAATGGAATTAAAGTGCCCATAGAAAAAAAAGTGGTTTAATCGTATTTGTATTTTAACTACTGTATGTTAGAATATAGTGATTTATTTGAGTTATTCACTACAGAGCTGCTTGAAACACTGTTGTAATGGTATTTACTTGTTTATTTTAGTGTAGAATAACATAATTAATCAAATGGCACTGTATTACAATAACGATGAGACAGAAGGATGTGCAGGAAACAAGCAGTGAGGGCATTTATTTAACATTCATATTTAAAATTGCTGCACATGCGTGTTGTTGAACCCTTGACATGTTTTGATCCTTGTTGCATGATCATTTCTTGGTAATCATTTAGATATAATGTTGGTGTTTGTATTGTATTTTACATTAAACTATCTGTTACAGTCAAAGAAGAAAGGACTTAGTTTGGAGGAGAAGAGAACTCGCATGATGGAGATTTTCTTTGAAACGGTGAGCTTTCCATTGCATGTGATTACATCACAGCTTTAATAAAAAAAAAAAAACACCTTAGTATAAATAAACTAAAAAATAATAACATTTGAAATTAATATGTTATTTTATGAGTGAGCATTTTATACGTTTGCTGTTTTTACTCCGTCTGAAAACCTGTTGATTGAATGTTGTTTTGGGCTGCTGTCTTTTGCTGAAGAAGCAAACTATTTCAAACACATAACTGGGCCTGTAAAGACTTGACACATGTGTGACACTTGTTTTAAAAACCTGCCGCAGACACAGAGCAGGGTTTCTTTAGAAGACAAGCATGACTTTGTGGTTTTCTCTGATCTGATACAAACACCCATGTCGCATGCACAGAAAACCACATAAAGTCATCTTATAACTGAACTGGCCCAACATGGTCAGAGTAGACAATGTTACTGCAAAATATTATTCAAAGCGTGCTTTAAGTATTTTGTTTCTTGGGTGTAATATACCAGAGCATTTAAAACTCTTGAAGGAGGAATGAAATTACATTATCATTACAATTCAATCAAACAGACAGAAAGCACAGAAAAAGGAAATATGTGTCTGCTAACTAAGCCTAAACTTTAAGCCACTGAGCAGCTGTGTTACACCGGCTATTTTATTAATTGACATGCTTGCCCATGGCTTCACTCCTGAGACTCTTGTGATATAAGACAGTCCAATGTCTTCTTCATTTATGGAGGATTTATCCTCATTCCAAAATGGTCTTCATAACTTTCATGCGAGATTCCAACAATTGACCATGCATTTCCACACAATGATTCACTTCACTCCGTGTTACATCGTATGACGTAGCGTGGCCTAGTGGTCAAAAAAAAAAACGTGTTTGTGCTCTCCGTCTTGCAACGCCTGACACCCCAGTGAAAGTTCCCACCAAGGAAGTGTATGACCTGAACCCAAAGGTGACATCTGCTGGAGCAATTTGTATCTTCCACTTCATAACTCCTAAACATGGCTCCTACACCCTGTGTCAAAGTAATAATGATACTGTTTACTAGGACCGCTCGATTATGGAATAAAACATAATCACGCTTATTTTTGATTAATTTATAGATCACAATTATGAATAAACATTAGTCATTGACTTTTATCTGCATCACATGCATTTATTAAACTTAAACACTCACTTTACCACATTCAGAACAATGAGGGAAAATCATACACTGTAAATAAAATGCAATATATGGAAAATAATTTGTAGTATATCAAAATAATTAATAAATACAAATTAATTAAATATGTATTTAGGTAGTGCTGAAGTACTATTGGGGCCAAACTATAACAAGAAACACTTTGACACCTTGAGCCATGGACAAAAACAAATCACCTGCCAAAACCTTTTTTACACCATTAAAAAGAAAAGTAGTAAGTTTTGTAAGGCAATATGTCACTTTGGAGGGTTTAAAAGATTTTTAGCTTCCCTGATACTATTATTTTTTTAAATACTGGAAGTTAGTCATCACTCTATGACCCATACACAGAACTTATTCTTGCTATCTGTCCCCAAAGAGCATCTTGAAATGGGGAAATAAGGTTTTAGGTATGCTGTTCATGTGGCTTGGAATCTGCTCCAGTGAGATCTGGTTCTGAAGGGGCTGGTCTCTCTAAATCTTGTTAAAAGTAGATTGGAGATGTTGGAGGAAGACGCATCGGGCATCACGCATTGACTAATGACTTTCTGCTCTCTGACCCAGGACTTGTTGACCTATGCTTTGTGTTTATGTCTCAAAGTAAATAAATACTTCCTTTTTCTATTTCATCATGAAAATGGTTCCCCTTTAACATTTTCTTTCAACTTCTTTGTAGAAAGATGTGTTTCAGCTGAAAGACATTGAGAAGATCGCGCCTAAGCAAAAGGGCATTTGTGAGTACTGTGTCTTTAACTCTTAACTTCTAAGTTGTCTGCTCACTTATTGTATGTTCAAGCTGGTCAAGCAAGTGTTCAGGTTTGCTCCCTGCTTTAAAAAGTGAAGATCTGTTTTTATGTGTTTCTCAAAAATGTAATAAATTCTAAACCAATTTTAAGGAGAGGGAATGATGAACGTCAGAGCTGAGTCTGAACAGAAATCACTTCAGTGATTTTTAGAGAAAACATAAAGACATTGAATGTTTGGTTATTATTAAATGTGTTCCAAGTTTTAATCCACCAAACAATCAGTTGGACAGCATGGAGAAGTCTCACAAAACGTAATTTAGGACTTAATAAGGAGAGTAGATATACTTGGTAGATATACAGTACAGTCATTATAGTTAAAATATTCAATATTCAAGACAACAACTTGACACTCAATCAACTGCTGTCCAGTCGCAGTACAATAGTGTCTGCTACTTTGGCTCTTCTCCACTTTACCCAGCTCTCCCACCGCTCCAGCAGTTTAGAAGCTGGACTATCAGCCTGGCTAATGCTAACACTATGGGAATGTTCTGTCTGAAAACTGATACCGTGTGGTGTTGAAAACCTCCAGTATGGGGATTAGTATGGGGGTCACTGGAAGCCAACTGGGATTGTATCCGCATGTTCTGTTACACCACAAGTGGATCCTACTTTCCTGATCAAGTAGGTTACTAGATTCCTTTCTATTTGATTCACTAAAACAACATCCCAAACAAACAATGGCTTAATGGCACTTGCTTTAAGTGTCTTTCTTACATTTAGTTTGGGATAGAAAGTTAAGGATAGTGTACTTGTTAAAGAGTGAATAGGGTAAATAACGTCTTTATTTAGAGACAGTACAGTCAATAGAGTCACAAATCAGGGAGAGTGAGAAGGTGGAGAAAGACGTGTGGAAAAGTTGCCACATGTCGGATTTGAACCTGGGCCACCCGCTTGGAGGGCTATAGCATCTGTACATGGGGCACGTGCACTAACCACTTAGCTACTGCCTGAAACAAGACTCTGCTGTCATTACTCCTTAAGACCTTCATTTGATTCCACAATGGCGTCATATTGATGTCCCAGTCTGTGAATTCAAATTGCCTACCACATTGCAGAAGCCTGGCCCAGCGGGAGCTCCACATACACACACACACACAGTACAACATGCACACACACACACAGTACTGCACTTCCCGTCTAGCTCCACCAATCCCGTCTTGCCCCTGAAACGCCTCTGTTACTACCTCCAAACACGTACAGAGCGAGGATCATTAGTTCTCCCCATAACATTTCCAGGAAAATTCTGATTGAAAGCAAAACACAGGGACCTAAATATCGAGCCTTGAAATGTGAGTTTGATAGCGTTTGTGTAAACAAAAACAGTCCTATCAATGGCTGTGATCTCCTAGCCTAAAGAACTGCTAAAACCTTTTTTTGATTATTAAGTAGAGCAGATGATCTCAATACAAACATGGAGACTGATGACAAAAGGAGAGAGGGAGGAATTTCTCAAAATATCAACTTTGATCTTGAAGTGATGAACCTGCGTTGGAATAAAAGTGTTGTGTGTGTTTGGGTGAGCTGAGGAGGGATTTCTTGTAGGGCTGGGCGATATATTGAGTTTTTAAGAGCATGATATGGACTAAGACAATATGGTGATATGGATACAGATTATGTTATGTTAGAATAACAATTTACGTTTGTATCGTAGAGCTGCCTGTTGGCCTGTCACTCCTCTCACTGTCCGTCTCTCTCTTCATTATGCCACGCCTCTCTCCCTCTCCGAGTAAAACTCAAAACCTGCCTGCATGACAAAATACACAGCTGCATGTGTAATTTTTATTTATTTAACTTTATTTACATTTTCATGTAATTTTATTATTTTTCATTTCACAAACGGTACTTTATGACATTTTTACTGTACATGTTGACATTGGGCAGCTGGCTGTTCATAAAGGTGCCTTTGTGACATTTAGCACTTGGCTCATGTTAATTTAACTTAGAACTGACTTTGTTTTTTGTTAATATTGAGATCACAGTTACATAACAGAAAAAACATCAATATATATATGTGTATATATATATATTTATATTTACATATATATGGTGTATCACTAGTCAGCTTAAAGATATAGAGATGTGATTTTTGGTCCATATCGTCCAGCTCTAACTTCTTGGTTTGAAAGTGTACATACATGAATCTGGAAAAGACTGGATTGTGTTGCTGTGATTGAAAGCACATGTTAAGAACCCTTTACTCGGGGAACTATATAGTTATTGAGGGAAGGGGGGAGGGGCAACAAGAGTTCTGTGTTCTGGGCAAAGGTTTCTGTAGATGGAGCCAAGGGAGTGATCTCACCCCTAATGAAAAAAACGTAATGAATAACATACAGGTAATCATTAAAAGATAGAATAGTCTGAAGTTGAAAAAGGACAGAACGCTATTTAAAGCGATAAAAGATTTAAAAAGACAGGACGGTCATTCCCCATGCTCGTTCACATTTTTGCTGCTGTCTCACATCCCCTCAGGACTCAGCGTAGCTCAGCAGATGAGTTCTTTCAGCTTCATCGTGGACTGGCTGAGCAAACGTGTGGGAGAAGTATCACATTTCACCGCTGACACTGTTCAAGATGAAGCCTCCTGCTGTACTACATCCTCTCATGCATTGCTCTCTTAGATAAGAACACAACTAGGCCGAGAGGCTGCAGATGTGTGGGTTTAGTTTTGTGAACGTTTGAGTGGTTATTCTTTCCAGCAGTAAAAATGAGACCGGATGCTGACTTGTGGTTTTAAAACCTCAGATTGCATTATTTTACCTCCAGTTGCGTCTTATGATGTCAAAAGTATTCTGAGCTTGTTACTATAATACTTCACCATAAACCAGTCATCCTCAAATGAAATCTCAGGTCCACAAATAGCATCATATCTGCTGGGAATGCCCTTTTGTCATGTGGAAGGTGTGTGTTTTATTTTCCTCTCTCTGCTCCTTTTCAGCTCCCATGACAGTGAAAGATGTGCTGCAGAGCCTGGTGGATGACAACATGGTGGACTGTGAGAGAGTGGGAACCTCCAACTACTACTGGGCCTTTCCCAGCAAAGCCCTGAACGCTCGCAAGAACAAACTGGACGAGCTGAAAAAACAAGTTAGCTTGAATCACGATCAACATTTTAATAGTTTCAACATTTTCATTAGTCTTTAAATTTGACATGTATATCTTTTTCTTTCTTCTGTTTTCAATTTCAGTTTATTTTTGATAAATTGTTCATGCTGATATGTCTGTTTTGTTTAATTTAAGTTTATTTTTAATTAGCTTTAGTTGTTTGTTTTTGTAATACGGGACACTTGTCAGGCGAGACCCAAATGGACAGAAAAAGTATTGTGTAATAAAAACTCCAAACATCCTAGCATTCAAACAAAATAATAATAATTAAAAGCAAAAGAAGACTGACCCAATCATCCACAAAAGAAAACCATGGTGAAAACAGTCACAGCCTCAAAAAGGGAGATAATATCCACCCGAAGTACTCGACATGTATAAGAAGTTGACTGACAAAGCTAAAGTAATGAAAACCCGCTCAACTCCTTCACAGCGTATAACAGCTGGCTGCTGAATCCTGAATGACTGTCAAAAGTAAGAAGTAACGGACTGCACTCTGAATTGTACTTTTAATTGCCACACGGATGTTATGAGCAGACGTAAGTACAGTTTGGAAAACTGAAGCTGAAGACATTTTCTTTATCATTTCATTTGAGCTAGTTTTGTTAACGCACAATACAGATTTAGTTTTTTGTAAAGTCTTGTTTTTAGTTGAAGATGAGTTAAAGAAAAGGTTTTGGACATTAATACATTATTATAATAAAAAGGATAAAAGACTTTATTAGCCGAATTAGTTGTAAAAACTGACTTGAATGAAAATCACTCTGAAACAAAATCCTACAAAAATAATTTAAATATAAAAAAAATTGTTATTCATTATAAACAACCGAAACACAAATATTAACCCTCACTTTGATAAACTTGTGTCGTTGTTGAGACATTTGTCTCATCTTTGAATTCCTCCGTGTCTGTTGTGTCCCACTTTTCTCTCCTGTTGCTCAGCGGGACAGATGGTGTGAGGGTGGTGACTCCTCTGAGAATAGTGGACACCAGATTTCTGCGACAGAAGTGAATTCTGTTTAGCAGCAATCTGTCACAAAGTAATGACGTGTTATTTTACCAGAGGCATTACAGCATACAGGCATGGAGGGATGCATTGCTCCAATGATTTCAGTACTGATGTAGCTGCTGATTGGTTACTGTTGTAAAATTGATCATTTGTTTGTCCCACCCAGTGGAGCAGATTAGGATTATTTTATGTGTAAGGCAACTTCAGAAATGTTGAAATGTTCACCTGGGAGGAAACTCCGCCATCAAACATCTACTAACAGCATCCCTGACTGGACGGGGCTATCTCTCTTCCCCCTTGTGGTGGTGCAATAGGCTAACTACTGGACGGGGAGTTGTTCACATGAGTCAAACATGTTTGAGCCTCCGAGTAAAACATAAACAAGCTAAAGGAAGCGCCATCGTGTCCCGTATGATCACAGAAAACAACAAGCCCAGCAGGAGTTTGAATTCACTCCTTTTAAAAATGCATTATTCAACAATATATTCTGTTTGGATATATTTGATATCTGTTATGTTAATGTTTCAAATGTTGGATATTTTACCTTTAAAACGTCAGTTTACATTTTTTATTCCTAATGCTTTGATTGAAAATGTTTAAGTGTAATAAACTACAAGACACAGGAAAACTTCTTAACTAGTAATTAATGATTAATGCCTGTAAAGCCTTCAATCCAGATTTAGACGGTGTTTACATAGCATTTAAAAGTAGCTGATTCTGGTTTATCTCCTGCTTCTCTAACCAGTGTTCATCTGCCTTTCAGAGGATTATTTGTTAGTCTCTTGAACAATTTCACCAAAATATTTTTGTCCTGAAAAGTCATGTTGTGTCAACTGTATGGTAGAGGAATATATTGGATGTTTGGATATTTTTCTGCCTGATTTAAATATTGTTTTATTTTAAAGGACTCTGAAGCGAAGCAGCGAAAGGTGTCTCTAGAGAAAGCGGTTGAAAAGGCAAATTTGGGACGTGAAGATACTGTAAGAACATTTCCATATTTCAAGTACATCAATGAAACGTTATATATTTAAAGAAGTGAATAATCTGTGTGAATAAGGATTCTATTCTCAAAAACATGATCTGCTTGTTTGTGTGCAGAAAGAGAGAAGCTCTCTGCTGAAGGAGCTGAAGGCTCTGAGAGAAGAGAAAACTCAGCTGCAGGCCGACTTGGAGAAATATAGAGAGTGTGACCCAGAAGTCGTAGAGGAGATAAGTGAGTACACACGTAACATGACTGTTTTTTAAATTAATCTGAATCTGGTCCTTTACAATTACAGACAAGAGAAACCCAGCCTGGTTTAATATTATAGAACACAACACAAACGCTTTGAAATAAAATGTTTGAGCCCATGATCAATGACGCTGAAGTCATTCAAGTATTTAGTTGTGATTTTCACAAAGGGGATATCTGCTGTTGCTGTGTTGTTAGAAGTTAGAAACCTTCATTGAAAAGATTTGGATTCGGATTATTGCAGAAAATTAGCTCTTTGCCAAGGTTTACACTACTTACACATTCTGTTCAGCAAGATAATCTTTACAAATGACCACCAAGGAGAAATATTTGAAGCCTGCGTTAAACAAGCTTAACATTTTATTTAAGGATTTTAATTAAAAACCCATCCACTCCCAGGCGAGGGAGCTGTAAGTGCAAAAATGCAAACACCTCTTTGGGTTCTAGGACTTATTCTCACAGTGCTCTTTGATTAATTCGGTTGTATTCAGACCTTCTTTAAAGCCTTCTGACGACTAACGATGGCTGTTTTATGTGTGAGGATCATTTTAGGGTATGAAACAGGATTTTCAACGACCTGTTTGTTTTTCGTTTTGAGTAGGGTTTTTTTCCTGGCATATTTCTAATTTATGTTCTCATTGCAAAATGATTTATGCTCTGAGAATCTGAAACATCCCAGAATTAGTATGAAGGTAACCTACATGCTTTTTGTAAATGATGTGGTTTATTACCACTTGAACTTTTAATCATGATTTTGGCCTTCTTGATTACAATTATGTACTTTTAAAATATGTGCTGAGCCTGTTGAAAACTCTATGTGGTTGTTTATTGAAAACATAAAAAAACATTACCCTATTTGAATAATGTCAGGTTATTTATTATGTTCTTTATGTATATTCACATGGTAATAACTAATATTAATGTTTGTATTTTCAAAAGCTGTCATATTTACCGTAAAATCTTGTGTATAAGACTTTTAATACCCTTTTTTGTAATGTAAAATGTTGGCTGCGTTTTATACACCGGTTCGACCAATATACCAGTTTAAAATGTTGACTGCACGCGCTGTCATAACCACAAGTTCAGCTGCCGCCATCACACACTGCAGGCGATCTGACACGATTGAAAATTCATCCCCCATTCATTGTTGTCTGAGATACAGAGCGTCTCAGACCAGGCTGTCTGCGAGGCTTTTTAACATCTTTTCTGCCTCATGGGCTCATAATCATGCATATAAAGAACACAGTGGTATATGGTCCAGTAAATAAATCTTGTGATGTGCTCTTTTGAGTGAGTGACTGCTATATTAAAGTTAACGAGTGACCAGCGGAGTCGGGCAGCGAGACTCGTGGGCTGTCGGTATTACACAACTTTCATCGTAGGCTTAGAGCTCAACTACTGTAGTGTTGCTAGTAAGAGTGCAAACTCCACAAAGCGAAAACGGACTGTACTAAAAGAGCGACACAGAAACTGCTTGTTTTAGACTTTGCTGAACACAATAGAAAGTCTTCACACAGGAAGACAGCTTTTTTTTCTTTCTGGGAAACCCCCGAAAACAGACTGCGACTTAGAAACTAGTGGGACTTACACAGTAGCTTAAATCTGAAGTACCAATATTTAACAAAAAATCTTAACTGATCATGGATACTGAACACTGAAGATCTTTTTTTTTGTACATAACTTTGCTTTAGTATGGATACAGTCGAACCGTTGGTGAATTTAGGGAGCTGCTGCTCGGTCATGTTCTGCCGATTGTTAGGGTTTAGCCCATAAAAGCCAGCCAAGTACTATCAGTCTTATTGACCCACCTGGGATAAAGTGTAACTTGTGTATTGAGCTCCAAACCAGGCATCCCAGAAAAATTATTTCATACAATGTGAAATTCATTTTTTTATATTGCTGATTTTCCACCCTTACTTGAGATGATCCTTTTACAGACATTCTTATGACTGTGACCTTCATTATTTACATTAAGAAGCCACAGCTGTTTCTTTGTCTCTTCTACAAAATAATGAAATACGCAAACATCAAACCTCAAACAGTCTCTCAATTCTCAACATGACTGATCTCTGCACTTCTCAGAACGTACATTATTTCTCTGTGTAGCAGCAGAGTCACAGCCTCTCACAGTTAGACTCAAACATGAAGACTAAGTGAAAGTAAAAAAAAAACTATCACAAGTGGTCACTGTATGTGCTTGAGATGCACTTTTACGTCAGGTCTAAATGTCAGCTTGAACCACAAACTGGTTGCATGTTGATAGAAGATAGAAAATGTCAACTGTTTGACTTCCTGCTGAAACAGAGACATCTTTTCTACCTGGTCTAATCTGAAGACTTGCATGTCAGTTTGTATTGCAGCCTGAATTAACCTCTGACCTCTCAGCTCTTACCAGTTTAGAGTAATAGGCTTTTAAAAACATGAATGCAAGGCCACTGGCTAGAAGTCTACTGTTTCCACACAATGTTCACAGCTCTTATCGGTATGAGAACAATCCTGCAATGACTCCTGTTCAGGTTACAGATGACCTGTGGTAAAGCGTGTGTGTGACTTAATGGACACATGTGACATGTGTGTTGTCATAAAAATATCTGTTGGGTTCACCTGCAACTCCCAATGTTACACCAAGCATACATTAATGAGTCCCCACACTGGCCTGCTGTTAATTTTTTCATTTAAAACCCTTTAAATTGTTAAAATTGAGTACTTAAAGCTACCCTCTTAAAACAGTTTATCACCTCTATCATTCTCTACTACTAAGATAGGACATATTGTTTTATTAAAACAATATGTCATATTCAGAATTGTATATCTTTATTATTGACCATTGACAGCTTAAAAAAACAGACACAAAGTTTCCATATTGAACCTTCTGAACTGGTCAAATTACATTAAGACTCTCGAAACAATATAAATACAATACAACATGACAGCTCAGACTGAGTCACTACCACTTACTCCTGCACATTGAGCTAAGGCAGAGTCAGGTTACACGAGTCTCCTGTGTGACGTTACGTGACACAATGTAAAAAGAAAAGAAAGGAAAAAAAGAAATTTGTAGCAGCTGAACTGAATCAGCCACTTTTGACTTCCAGATGTGTGCCCCATTGTGCAGTAACACGTTTAAAATGATCAACGATTAACTAATTCAACAGCCATTATCAGACAATGTTTAGTGTGAATGTAAAAAATCTAACCTGCAGGTTTCTCTATAAATATGAAGCCATACTGGTCATATGTTATTTACTTTAAAGTTTAAGAGGTTTATCTCTATTCTAAGGGTTAATAAACATCTGTCTGAACACTAGTGTTGTTCACTCTGTGGAGCTGCTTTCTGAATCATGGCCTGGATTTGTGTTGATCTAGTAAAAGTCGATCCCCTTCCACCCTCATTGGTTCGGGATGCTTCTTCTATAAGTTGATGCTATGGCAAAGTTTCAGACTCTTAACTAAAAAGTGTTCGCTTCAACATGTATGACACACAGTGAAAGTTATATAATTTGATACAGATCAGCAATACCGATTATGCCTTACGTAATTAGATAAACCCAAGATTTATTGAGTAGAGAACTTCCTCTAACTTTTAGTCTTTTGTGCTTTGTTTTAAAAAAATCATCTGTCTCAACTTGCCTTTTTTTTCTCTTCCACTTATTTCTACACCACACACACACACACACACACACACACACACACACCTGAGTAGAGATAACCATCTACCTCAGTGAAACTTGAATTGAGTTCAAAAAGCTGAAATAACTAACATCGCTCATATCTTATGCTAAGAGATAGATCTGTTGAGGACATTGTTGGACTGTGATCAAGGATCACAACTCATCCATTTTGATTATATTGAGGCTCAAAGTAAAATCTGAATTTAGACCCTCCATTGGCCAAATGCAGGTGAGTCATGACAGAAAACAACTTAGATTGAATCCTGTCCTCTGCTGGTTCTGCTCTAACAGATCAGTGATAGGCTTTCTGCAGAAACAGCTTGACTCTGTGTCACTTGAGCCCAGCGCAGCACGGATGTGTCCGTCACAGCGGGTCTACCTGCTCAAGGTGTGTTTAAACTGGTGACTTGCTTGTCTTAAAGTTCCCATGAAACTGAACTTAGAGAGTGTCTAACAAGATAGAAGGTGGAACATAACATTGGGATGAGTTTCATGAGATTGTTAGCTTCAACAAAGCTATTTAATTGTTTAATTGGTCGAAAAAATTAGTAAATGCCCTGCCTTGAGTCTAGGATGAGTCATCAGACATGTGAAACGTTTTACAAGAAGAGAAAACACAGTTATTTTGATGTAAAAATAATCGAATAAATGAACATTTAACACTGGAGAGCTGGATTAAAACCAGACAAGTTCCTCACAATAGTGTCCCCAATTACTATGTCTTTGAAGAGCTTTTTTTTTGTTAAAAAGCTGTATCAGGAAGTCGGGCGTGTTCAGTGGTAGCAGCTAAACACAACACAGACGTCTGAAATACGAACGCAGGAGAGAAACAAAACTTCAAACCTCACAGATTTAGATAGAGGCTACAACACTCAGTGACTCATAAAAACACCTTCCTCCCTTATCATGCAGACGCGAGTTGAGTGTTGCACAGACTTGTTTGAGAGGGATGATGGGGGGGGGGTTCACGCTTCATATGGGCGATCACAAAATTAAACTCACATTTTCCTTTCTTAAACAATAAGTGGATTATCTTGCCTCTCAATCGTGGTTTAGCAGAAGTTTCAGCTAAATCAACCTTTAAGGACATGCATTGAAAACTCTACCCAGCCTCAAAATAAAAAGATCATATTAGTATTTTCTTTAATAAACATCTTTCTTCATAAAATAGCCTTTTACTTGAATACTACAAGCCTTATATGGCATCATTACACAATGTTGCCAGTTAAAATAAAGTGGCTATTAAAAAACTAAGAGCAGCTGGTAGATTTTTTTTAATCCAACAGCCACAGTGGCAGTTACACTTTTTTTTTTTTTTTTTTAATTTCCAACCATGCTTGGGCCGTGGCTGATTTGACTGACAGGAGGTGAGCACATCGTTGTTAGCTAGAAGGCTAAAGGCTCGCCTTAACTCCACTTCTTCGCCTGTTTCTATATTGTTCGAAAGTGAGGTGGCGATTGCGTTTCATTATGGCGGTGTCCAATCCAGAATCCAATGGTACATCGCTGAGACTGGATCCATCTTTTCTACAGTTTGTGGTTTAAAATTGACCTTGTCGGGTCAGTTTAGCTATTACCAGTGGGTTGGTTTGTTCAATTGTGAGTGTTACTTTTTCATCACTGTTGGGTTACTGTTGGCTAAAGTACCCACAAAAATCTAAGATAGCACCAACTTAATATTATGTCAAATTGACCCAGGGTCAATGTGATGTTTTTTTGTTGTGGTGTTTAAGAAACAGGGATACCATGTGTACCCAGTAACCCAGTAGTAATGTTAAAATAACATTAACACTGGGAGACCCTATGTCCTAGGATGTTGTTATTTTACCACTCAGTTAAAGGTGGTTTTGAATTCTTAGAGTACATTTTGTTTTTGATACTTTGACACTTGTTTAGTGGGGGTTGTTTCTGTATACTTTGATACTTCACTCCCATTTAATTTAAGAATGCAACACTACAGTCAGCACATGGTTCAATATGTACTTCAGTTTTGCAATTCACACGTGCGTATTGACATGTCGATGCCGCAGTAAAAAGTTTGTTATTACTACTTCCCAGATCTGAATAGCTTTTCACCACAATAGTACAGCTTTAAATCACATGTATGTAATTGTTATTTCCCTATGCTTAAACAATTTAGTGAGAGATTTGAGTTATTTCTGGAGAAATAATACCAGTCTTTGGAGATAAATAACAATAGAGCTTATCAATGTTTGGTTCAAACACACTGATACACTAAGTATGTTCTTTTATTAAAGGATAAGTCAAAAGTAGGGTAACCACAATTGGCATTTTCCCCTTAAATAATGTATTTGACTTCATTTAGAAAGTATTGTGTTGTGCATTTCTTTGAGATATCTACTGCCTGAAGCATGTTTGACACCGATTGCCTCACTCTTGGAAATAATGTTTTGGCAACATAGCAACTTAAAAACCACAAAATGCTTTCGCAAATCCAACTTATTGCAACATTTAAAAACGAATACACATGGATATAAGGCTTTAATTGTTCCTGTCAAGTCGGCCCAAAGTACAAATTAAAGCAAAGTAATGCCTACTGTGATTAACACTGAATGTATTATCGGTGCTGCCAACAAGTGGACAGACAACTTTTTGATGTTGTGATTCGATTTGTCGGCTAAAAATGTTTAGCAATGGCCACCACACCCAAATTTACCAACACGCTGCTGTGGTAACAGGTGGAGTCAAAAACCAACAAACATGGGTTGGGCAATGAAATCCCAGCTGTAATCATGTGCAAGGCAGGTATGAGACTGTCTGAGTAAACATAAATCAGAGTTAAGACGATGATCACAAATTCACACAACTTATTTAAAACTATTACAACACCATATTTATTGTGGTTAAATAATTATTTACAAAGGAGAGCTATTTTTCTGATTTTATTCCCATCTTTCCTGTGGTATTTAATCTACATTTCTTATTGATGGATTTCATCAATAAGTATTCAACTTTGATTTATTTACCTGCGGCTGTGCAAATGACTATTTTATGTGAGATATTCTTTATATTGTATATATTAATTGTACTTGAAAAATGTTTCATGCAATCGTACCAGTGCCATTTTAACAGATGGCAAGTGGCATGAGATTATAAAATTGGCCCATTTACAGTTGTAGAAAGCAAACAGAGTTGAGTTGTCGTTGACAGCTGCTTGCTGTATTTGGTTCAGGTTAAGACTTGCCCGTGCTTTTCTCATATACTCTTTAGTTAGGATTCTTCTTGGCATCAGAATTAGTATCCATAATGTGGATCATAACATATCCAGGTCTATGAGTCAGAAGTTATTCAATTCATTCCCTCCCACATGCAGCTGCTCTTTATTATTGTGTGAATATCATTTGTCTTCAGTGTTTCATCATCAGTTAATGCTTCAATGACCTTTGGACTTGTGCAACATTTGGCATGAGTTGTGACAACTGCAGCAGATATTTTTGCCGAACATTGCGACTGGACATGTCTCTTGACCAGATCAGCATTTGGATTTTCTGCCAAAACCTGCTGTAAATTGAGCCCAGCCTAAAATAGCTTTTATTGGCTGGATTTAAGGATGCAGCAGCCCACTCTCCTCAGCACAGCAGCCAAAATGAGTCTTTTGAAGAAACAGAAGAGACATGTCCTCTGGTGAAAGGTTAAGCCATCATTCCAGGTGTTTACGACTTCACACTGTTACCTGCTTTAGTGGTAGGTTTCTGTTTTGTCATCAAATATGTCTCAAAACTTGAGAGCAAAGCTGTTTGAGCTCATTGTTCAGCTCTAGGATCTTAAATGGGTTGTTACAATTTACAGAGAGGTGTAAGCTAAAGTGCCCCCCTTAGTTTATACTTAATCATCACTTTTTTTATGAAGTGTTCCTTCAACTTTCTAACCATCACATCCTTTTCTCCTGAAAGGATATTGTTTGTTTCAGACCTTTATTTACATACTTTCACTTTCCTTATTTTATTTTTTTAACATTTCATTTGTTGCAGAAAACAGTGTCTCTGTAGTCGACTTTCAGCTTGGTTTTAACATTAAGCATGACTTAGTTTGTCCTATTTCTCACTCGCACAGCATTTGAGTTTGGCTCATAAACATGGCTCACAAAACATAAACATATTAACGTATGAATTTTTACCGCAAAAAGGGACAGATGGATGATGTTCTCTTATTTTGTGAAACAACTATTTCAAGTCGTTGAATGCAGTAAAGTGTTACTGTCACTTTTGCTTGTACTCTTAAAGAATTACTTTGACGTATGTAAAGTGTCATTTAATTTCCATAATTTAAACGAGCTGGTAACGTGTTCTGAGAGATTTTTGCTGAGCTAACATTTTCCTTCTTAAATGTGTTGAAACCTCAACATAATGTTGATGTCATATATGACAAATAATAATGAAATCATAAAAAAATCTTGCACATACAGTATAATGTTTGATGCACTTATTGATCATGAATTTGTTTTGCAGGAAAAACAAATGTTGTAGCAAAAGAAGCTGTTTCCAGGTGGACAGGTGAGTTAACTTATTCCTTTAGTTCATGCACATTTTAGTTATTGTGGAGCTACAATCATTGATGTTTTATCAGCAGAAAAGACAATCTGCCAAAACGATTCTAATAATCATTTAAGTCACTTTTCTAGAAAAAATGCTGAACATCTGACTGTTCTAGCTTCTCAGAGGGAAGACTTTCCTGGTATTGTTGTCTTTCAAAATAGTAAATCAGTTTAAATAAATCAGGGTTTGGAATCATTACACAGAAAAAAAGATTTGTTGTGCAACATCAGTTTGGGTTTTGGAGAATTGTCATGCACATGTTTTGATGTTCAAGACCAAACAATAGATTCATGAGGTAAAATATCAATATTAAATATATTCATTTGCTGGGCTGCAAAACAACACAATAAATAACCAGTAAATGTGGACTTCATTTATCGGTTTATAAAATGTCATGGAAATTGCAGCAGAACTTTTGTTGATTTTTTTTCAAACCAACAGAGTCCAAAAGACAAAATTGTCATCTCACAATTAAACGCACAGTATGCACATTTCATCGCCAGGGGGCTCTCAATTAGAACAATAACAAAAGTTGACGTCGAGGCTGGCAAGGATTCATGGGAGTGATTCTCTCTGCTACTCTGACCCAACTCCCAATGAAAAGGAACTCTGAGTTGGCCGTAGTCAAGACGAATGGGCGAAAGAGACCTGAGGAGGAGAATATGTTTAGCGACGAGCTAATGTATCAAAGTTAAATTTTCATGACGTTTTTTTTTATCACAGCAGCACACACAGCAAACAGTATGACAGCTTCGAGTAGCAGTTCCCGCTTCCTTAATGTAGCAGACTTGACATAATATCTGGTGTTTCTACATCAACAAGAAAACATGTCGGCTCTGTTATGGCGGCCACTGCTACAAGAAGTAGCAGCGTACAGATTTATCTCGCTTTGATAACTGTTGGTAATATTGGAGGTACGCAAAAAATATATAGAAAACAGGTAACAGATAAATAAACTCACACTGAGGAGCTTCAAGCATCAATTATTACGTACTTTCATTTTGAGGAATTTACTAAGAATGAATCTGTGATCAAAATTCTAAAAAAAAAGTTTAAATTTGACTCTACAGTTATTGCACAAAGTTCCCTCTTGAGTATTGAGTACAGAAATAACTTCAGAATCACTGTGGCAGGGCTTTTTCTATTGATCTCTCTGTTAAAGTGCAAGCAGCCTCCCAGGAGTCAACACTTTAAGCTCTGTGTGTGCATTCATTGACCTAAGCTGTAACCTTGGAGACAGCTGACCTTTTGGGATCATGGTAACCAGCCGGGCCTGTGGTCTTTCAACTCTTTCAGGTCAACATTGCCTGTTGCTGGTCAACAGAGTCACCCTGTCAGCTGTAGGCACAGTTTTGCTTCACCTCCATGTAATTATGTTCACTTTCAGAGACTATGAGTCATATCTTCTGCTTCCATGACTTTTACTTCCCTCACTCAGGGTGGACTTTGTGGAACAAGAACATATTGGGTAGCAATTGCAGAGAAGTGTTTCCTAACAGTATGTATAACTGTTTCCTCAGAACTAAAGAACAATATTTTACAACAAGCTGTAATGTTCAGCTGTCCTAATGCAACCCACAGCTCTATTTTATCACTTCTCTAAATTAGCCATCAGTTCATTTCTTAACACACTCGTGTCTGTTTTCAGCTCAGCAAAGGCACACCATCAGCTTCATGAAGGGAGATTTATTAACACTTTGGAGAGCTGAAATTCACACCACTTACAAAGCAATTACCACAAAGTCTTAAGTATTATGTATTGAAGCATGTGTTGCTGCATGTGTTGAAAAATTGAAAGGCACTGGCAGTAGCATGATTTAGACTCTATTGACTTAAGCTTTTAATAAACGTATTAAGTGATAAGTAAATATTTGATTCACCTTTGAAATTGTTGACAGTTTTGGAGTTTAAGGCTTGTCTCATGAATCATTTTGAGAGAGAAAATGTGTCCCTGACTTCCAGTATAAAATCAGTATTGAATGTGACATAAACGTTTATAGAGAGAACATAGGCCTATTGTCAGTTTTTAGTAATAACCATGTTGAAGAACAGCAAGTCCACTGGATGTATGATATAAAATACATTCAATCAAATGAAAGTCATTGTGTACTCACAGGTATACACTTGATGTGGTTGTGTTTTGAAATGACACTTTTATGACCTTCTGTTAACAAATATACAAAACGGTTTTATTCGATTAACAAGGTTGGTTAAGCATCATACTAAAGCAAATGTTTGAAGTAAACCATTTTAGGTCATTAGCTTACTAAACAGATTACTGTTGGTGTTAGTGCCTTAAACTACAGTTTTGAAGGAAATAGACGTGGGATTATATTTGAAGCCTTCATTAGGGATATTATTGGGGATCAAAGAATTTGCCAAGATTAAAGCTAATACATAGCCTAAATCAGTCAAAATGTTAGACTCTTTGACTAAGGATTATTAATATAGTTTCCTGAATATTCAGCCTCCTCTTGATGGTTTTTGAGATAGGGATAAATCAAACCGGTTTGAGTTTCAATCAGTTAACGTGCCACAGCGCGTTTTGCAGTCTTCAAAACAAATTTAAAGAGGGTTTTTTTTTTTTTTTTCCTCTCGATTTGTGCATGAAGTGCCAGAACCTAGTGGAGACCCACCCACTCACCCTGATTCCCAAAATTATTTTTTGATGTGGGAGATTGTCTCTGGTGGTAAATGTTACTTAACACCAAAAAAGCATAAAGCAAGTGCCTCGGAGCAATGAGACCAATGATGTATTGAAGCATTTGTTGCTGCTACTTGCTCTGTGACAGAATACCTTACATTTAAAAAACCCAAAAAGTGCTGCTTTAACCATTAGCCTTATCACTCTGCAACACACCCACACATTAAGACTCGCACACAAGCCCTGACAGTTTATTATTTAAGCTGTTAAACCGTCTTATCAGAACTCAAGTACAGTGACTTTATAAGGCAAAATCGAAAGGCACTTTAGACTCATGATTTCGACTCATTTAGACCGATGGTTTGTTCTTGGACTCAATCAACGTTCTCAAGTCCAAGATTATTCTCCTAATCCCAGACTGAATGTGTCTATAATACCACATAACACACTGGCGGCTTTTTCCATTCATTAAACACAGATTTCTGTTTTCAGATAATGTCTTTGCCATCAAGTCGTGGACTAAAAAGAAGTTTTCCTTTGATGACAGCCGCATTAATAAAGCCTTTGGGATCCCTGAGGACTTTGACTATATGGACTGACTGCCAACTCTTCTACCAGACTTCATTGTTTTTATTCTTCAGTTTGAAGCCAGTTTCTTGATCTCAGCAATTCAAGTTTATGATCTCTGTGTTAGAATGAACTGAAATGTAGCATTATTCGTATGAATGGCCCAGGGTAAGCTTTTAAGAAGGCCCGATATCAGTATTTCTTCTGTGGCAGATGGACCTTATCAGTTGATCTGTTGCTTTGGTGCAACCAGAGAAGAGAACCATTAGAGTGGTGAAGGTCCTATGATGAACACAATCTACCAGCCTGACTTTTGGGACACCTGTTTGCATGAAAACTGAGAGCCTCAAGTTGATGATGGAAAGGAATCAAGACTTAACATATCTGTTTAGCCAATTTATACGGTTCAAACAGATGGTTTGGAATCAAATGCTTGTGCACTTTCCCCCCTATGTTTCCTAGTCTTATTTTGTTAGAATGGAAAGGAACTTGATTTGATGAGCTACATAGTCCTCTTAATTCCCAGAAAGTGCACAGGGACTGATCTGACATTTTATATGAGATGTTCCATGTGTAAGACATGTCTACAAGTGCTGTAAACATTTTAAGTAGATTCACTTGTGCAAAACCTCTTTTTCTTGTGTTGCAAATACAATGTTTGAGTTTTACAAGATGTTGCTGTAACTGTGGTTCTTCTAAAACCTAGAGTGCAGTTTAAAAATGTGTTTGCATATGTCACATCTTTTGTGCTTCAATTCTTGAAGTTGTCACTGAAACGAAGTCAGAGCTGCACACAGACAAGAGCTGTGTTGTCATGACATTCCTAGAATGGCTATTTCCCTGCTTATTTTCCTCTGTCAAAACAGATGCAAAACAGGTCATTGTGTGTTCTGTTTTTACCTGGTGACCTAGCTGTTGATGTGTCTGGGTTTCATTATTTAAATATCAAATGTGATTGGTGCTTGTTTGTACTACTCATCAGTTTCTAGTCTTTCTAAAGCACAATATTTTAACCATCAGAAAGGAACATGTTAGAAATACCTTAAGAAACAATTTAAGTGGAAATTGTTTATACATCAAACATCCTGCAGTCTACTGATTTAAGACAGTTGATGATTTTCTATTCATTACACTTCCTAATGCATCTGTTTTAACTGGAAAGTATAACCTGATACTGAACAATATGCAGATGCAATTTTCTTAAAAATGGTCCCTTCTCATTAATGTTAGATGTGGCATCCCTTCTTAGAATCGCAACGCTGATCCAGTAAAAACAAAGTTAATACTGCAGTGCTGCAGTATTGTTTTGAGGAACTGACACACCCACTGAAGAGTAACCTGAGTGTATGTTCATGTGTGTACCTGCCCGACCTGTACAATGATTCATGAGCCTGACATGCTAAATGTCAAAAGCTCTGCTAGATGGTCTTGCATACCTTGTTTTACCTCACTAGCACTAACTTAAACACTGCTGATAATTGCAGCTTATTTGGTTAAAGGTTTTGTCCTTACAAGAGATTAGAAATGCAGTAATGACACTGACTGAGGATTTTCACCTGACTTTAAGTTAATGGCATACATTCATATAATGGAGACAGAAATAGCTTTTATTGTGTTTAACATACTAAAAGTTCCTATTAACCAATGCTACATTAAATAAAAATATATTAAACAAGTAAAAGAAGCTGGTTGAATTTTCTAGTTAAATAGCTTTAGCTGCTACATATTAGATTCAGTATTTAAGTTCATTGTTCCCTATAAAAGTGCAGCCCCCTCTGAATGGTCACAAAACAAGATCTGGGGTTCGATTTCTTTTTTTTTTTTTTTTTTACTTATCAAAACTCTTGAGCCTCTTAACAATTATGCCAGAAACAAAGCCAGTTAGTTTGAAAGGCAATCTCTTAAAGTGGGAACTGCAATCAATTTATAAACATGTCGATCATGTTGGAAGCCCCAACGTGACACTGCTGTCTTGAAAGGTGTAAGGCCGAAATGCTTCCAACCACTGGAACAATCTTTAAAGATATCTTCCAGTTGAAACATGTTTTACTACTTCTTGTGTACACTTTTATTAACTGTTATTGGCTTGTACAGGTAATGGAGTTAAAGAGTGGGCAAGTTTCCCCTTTAATTTAATGTAGGATAAGGATAGGATAGGATAATAATTTATTGATCCCCAGAGGGGAAATTTGGGCGTTACAGCAGCACAGACAAGAACGCTCAAAATACACATTAAACAGAATAGATAAGATAAATAAAAATAAAAACAGGGGGTATATACAAGTACAAAATGAATGATGAAATTAACTGGGGGGAATTAAGCAGTATTTGTAGAGAATGACAAGATAAAGTGACAAGTGATTAAAGTGACTTGGTATGATAAAATAGCAGCAAGTAATGTAAAACAGCAGAGAAGAGAGGCAGTGTTGTACCACAGTAATGCAGAGTGCAGTTATATAATATAATCTAGTGCAATATAATGAAATGTTATATAATATAGACGAGTGTAACTAATGTGATTTTGTTTTCAAAATAAGTTGACTTCACTTGATAATGTTTCCCTCTAAAATGTGTGGGATGGAAGTCTTGAGGTGGAAGTACTCATGTTCAGTATTATTACATCTATTTTGTATTTTAGTTCCTTTCAACCAGGGTGCATTAAACAAGTGTACCTTTGTATCATCCCTTTTTTTGGGGGGGGGGTGGGTGGGTCAACTTTGTTCGGTTTACCTTCAGCAGAAACACACAGACAGACAGCTTTGTACAAAGTGTGAGTGGTGTCTGCTCTCACTGTACAGTGTGTTTGAGGAGGCAGGGAAGGGGGAGCAGAGGGAGGGAGCTGCTGCTGCTGCTGCTGTTTCTGTTTCTGCTGCTCGGTAGAGAGAGAGAGAGAGAGAGAGAGAGAGAGAGCGAGCGAGCGAGCGAAAGAGCAACGCAGCGAAACACAAGGTAAGGCTGCTAGCTGAGAGAGAGAGAGAAAGAGAGAGAGAGAGAGAGAGAGAGAGAGCGAGCGAGCGAGCGAAAGAGCAACGCAGCGAAACACAAGGTAAGGCTGCTAGCTGAGAGAGAGAGAGAAAGAGAGAGAGAGAGAGAGAGAGAGGGCAGCATGGCGGGGCTTCAGGACTTCCAACAAGGCAGCCACTGTCACAGGAAAACGTGGATCAATATACTACTCGGAATACTACAATTGCTTTTACCCTGCGTACAGCACGGAGGGGCACAGCTGCAAGGTTTGTTACTCACCTTTTTTTTTTTTGTTATTTTCCACTCCGGAGGTGCAGCGTTGAGTTAGCCTAACCTGAACATGACAACCAGACATTTTAACAAGGAAAAATGCTCGTCAGGCTAAATTATCCGAACAACTTTGCCGAAGTAAAATTGGCGAAAAATATTCTGTTGAATACGCTTGAGTCGTTATTATTTTCCCACAATATTACACATGTTCTGTTTTTTTTTTTGTCAGCCTGCTAGTTTCACGCTAGCTGCCAGTTCCCTGTTCTGCTTTTTGGTGTAAATGTTTCACTGAAACCAGGCAGGGAAGTGTCGCATTGCGTGGACTTAAAAGCGACACTTTGCTGTTATTGCTGTCATTTTAGATACAATAATTACTCTACATGGCTAAAGGAGACGTCTGTGCTGCATTACTGCCAGTCCCAAGTTCGTTAGCCACCAGAGCTAACCTGCCTGCTAATCATGAAGCTAGCAAACAGCCTTTGTCAGCCTGCCCGAGTCCAAGTCATTTCCTCACTTGTCTGATTGATTAACATTCACGCCGTTCAAGTGTATTCATTTATGAGTAGTAAACAGAGGAGGGGGGGGTTGGTCCTGTGCACTTTAAAAGCTCCAAACCCCGTTTCCCCAACTCGTTTTTCTTCCCACTGTTGCTTTAAACATCAAACATCATTGTTGATTTGTGTGTTGATGTATTGTTTTTTTTGCTGCTCCCACAAAAGCTCTGAGTCAGATGTCCACCAGCGTGGTCGAGGTCTGGCAACCAGAGGATGCAGACCCATTAGTCCCACTTCAGGTAAATCTTTTAATTTCTCTCTTGGCTGTGTTTATGTTGTATTTTTTTGTGTGTAAACCCAAATAACTCATCTGTAGCCTCATGCAAGAACACGTGTGGGTTAGTGTACCCCCCATTGTGTTTTACTCATTGTCGATGAGTTGTGCAGTTTTGTATACCTCAGGAAATATCAGTGAGTGAACAGCTTTGTGATCACACCATTTTTTTTTTTACACATTATGTAGTTATCAAGCTACCTAATTCATAGTTAAATACTGAAATGAAACCAGAGTGGGAGGCCACCTGCCATGTGGCTCCTCCTTGTTTTCTTTTGTACATAGTGTCCATTATGTTGTTGAGTCTGCAGCCCGCCAACCACTCTGTAGTTTGTGTTGTGCAGGATTTTTCTTGCAATCTGACTCGAGATATCCTAAATTAAAAAATGATCAAGTATGCCGGTGTGATTGTGATGTAGTCAAGAAGTAGAGGACAAGCACACAAGGCAGGAGTTCATTGTTTACTTATAACCTGTGATGAGGTCAACAGCTGACTGTCATGTTACCTGAGGGGGGTGTGGCTTTTTTTTTTTCTGCAGGCCTTTGTTAACAGGTGTAAAAGGAATGATTTGGTTGCCTTGAATACAAGTAGAAAATATTATGACATTGCATCCAAGTAGTTTCAACATTAAGTATGTATCTTTTAGGCATGATCAATTGACCTCAGGGACATTTTATAAATAGTTATGTATTTACATAAAAATCAAATAAAGGTAGTTTTGCATATCACACATGTTTATATTTAGTTCATTGTATTGCTGTAATACTCGTGTGCAATCTACACACTGCAGAAATAACCATAGAAACACAAGCGATGACGCAGGAGGTGTTAATATATTTGCTTTTGAAATTTTGTTGATTAAAAGAAAGGGAAGAGGCCTGGGGTTGTTGTCAGTGCTTGGATATACATTTTCCACTCATCTCTACCTGACTGACCAGTTGGCAGATGGCAGAAATGTTGACATTGTTAGGTGTCATGTTTAGATAGGCAGCAGTGAATGCTGCTGTCTCAGTTACATGGGCCATGTGAAATAGAGCATGACATGGGTGTCTTTATTTCCTCTTTATTAGAGTGCAGCTGCTGGTTAAATAGCATACTGTATGTAGCTACTGTAGTGATGCAGGAGATGCAGTGTCATAACGCAGAGTAAATATCAAACTGGAGGTCAAGTTTAGGCTGCAGTGATCATCACTAAGCAGATATTGTCTGTAACTAGAGTTAAGTCATTTTTTCTATTTTTCACCTCATAAATCTCTTGTAACATTTACTCCCAGTTTTGGATTTGATTAGGGTTCACATGTTTGGATTGGCTGTAAATCTAACTAGGTGCTTTCCAGTCTCCTCCTCATTGTAAGATACAGTTTTCTATCACTTTCATTACCCAATTTGTGTTATAGACTAGTGACATCCATTTGGAGTTGTACCTCCATTGAAGTATCTTTATGGCATCATTTTTAAACTTTATGAAATAACATTACACAAACATTTAAAACTTAGCCTGATTCTTTAAGGAAAACAGATGTTGTTCTGAAGTCACAATTAAAATTACTAACAAAAGGGGGGGAAACTCTTTTGTTGAAGTTAAGTGAAATTGGTTTTGTGTTTGTTTCGTTTAATTGATCATGCAGGCCGTCCCTCCTAACAGATACACCTAGGAGAGACCCTAGAGACCAAAGCAGTTTCTTAACCCCTGTTAATAGAATTAAATGATTTTGCAAATGCTCCAATGAATATTCGTCGTGTATTACCGGCTCACCTGCTGCAACAAGCTGCACTAGAATGTGTTCTGTCATTGTTGAGCCTAATCAGCTGGAAAATCTGTTTTGGCTCTTTCAGTTAAGCCCAGCTATGAAGGTGTTGGGGGTGTTATAGGATATAATACAGAGATCTATTGGTTGGAAATTTTAATGCTGAAAACATGCACGTTTTGCCATATTAAGACAGTGGTCGTGTAACGATAGAAAGAATCAGTAGATCAAAGTCTGTCTCTGCAAAATTTAAAGTACGACGATTGAGAAACTTTTAGTAGATATTTAAATAGAAATGTGTGTTTTTTGCTTATTAACTGCAATCAAGAAGCCTGGTATGACACCATATTATAGCATATTATATTGATTGCCATAATACAATCCTACACCTTAAGATACAGTCAACTGAATACATATAAAAGAGAGTTTCTTGCTCTTAAGAATAAGAATGTCTAAAGCATTACTGGCTAACGGAAGCAAATGGTGTCATTGCTGAACTTGTCTTCAGATTAGAGATTGCAAAGCATCAGATACCTGCTTTCAAGATTTATTTTTATTTTACTTCTTTAAGCTGTGTGTTGGGCTTAGTGTTCAACACGGACGGGTTAGGAAGAAAACAGGTGGAAAGGTTCGAGGAGATAGCATGTCAACTGAAGATTCATAGTAGTGTTTATTGCAGTCACTATAATTATGTGTCCCGCTTTACAGTTGTTAGTGGTGTGGACATGATTTAGCTATAAGGCCAAGGATTGTTCCTATGGAAACTGTATGATCTGTGTTTGAAGAGACTAAAAGCTTATCTCTGTCGGCCATACATGAAGAACATAGCCTAGTACACTTCACCAGTGTTTGAACTGCTGTTGGAAGTGCTCTCTTGTTATTTTAATTGGGTTACTCAATATGCCACATTTAATAATAATGGAAATGTTCATCCCTCATAATTGTTTTACTGCATTTAAAAATATGTTGAAAAGATTACTCTCACTCTCGGGTCAGTGCCAAACTGAGCTATCCATCAGGATAGATTCAATACATATGAACATGCAGAGGATAAGCACAGTGATCACCTCAATTTGACTGATCAGTCCACTTCCCCCTCTGGAAGAGTGAACCAAAACAACACTCAGTACATGCAGTATGTTGACAGACAAAGTGTAACCTGGTTAGGCAATGCCTTGCAGTGTGAACATGGTCAATCTTAACTCGATTTTCACAAGAAATTCAGTTAACTTGATTTGTGATAATCAAATGACTTTCTGAAATGATGCTCCAAAAAGGAAATGTTATTTATGCTGCAAATTGAGAAAACACAAATGTACATATTTTATTGATGTTTATTTTTGTTTTGTTCAATAAAAATTTCCCCAACCACAAGCAAAGCATCTTAATTAGCTGATTGGCAGATGGATACAGATTTCTGATAAACTCACTAAACCAACACAAGGTGTATTATTAGAATGATCATTTGAAGTCTAGTTATATACATTACTGTTTGTTTTATAAGACAAAGTAAAAATGAAATCTCTATGTCAGCAGCCATCTGCTGCTTTGTATAGCGGTTTGTTTAATTATAGCCTTATTACAACTTGTTGCTGCAGATCGTCATAAAAGCGTCACTTATCCTGCTTGACCGACCACTGTGTGAACATGGATAGGACATCAAACTGGATGTTCCTTGTTTTATTCTGAGAACTGTAATATAATCTACCAACACTTGCAGAAATTGCTGCCTGCTTTCTAACCCTGAGAGTCGAAAAAGATGCAATGACAGTTTTATTTTCCTGAGGCTATGCGAGTTTCCTACTTGGGATACTTGTTTTATTTACAGTGAAATTATATTTTATGCAACATAAAACCTTTGGCTTTGTTGAAGATATAAACAAATATAAACTCTTGCACTGTGAACATTTTTCCAATAGTAGTTTTTTCTGTCAAGGTTCATTACCACTTACACACTACCACTAGTTTTTAGTATTAACTTGATTTGACTTAAGCAGCCTCCTGATATGACTCTTTCTAGGCCACAGTGTGAATGTAGAAAGAGTTGCAATGTGCTGTTTTGATCACACTGACTTATGTGTATTTTTCTTCCATTTTCAGATAGAGAAGGAGCGAAGAAAAGATGGTCTTCCAATTGAAGACAGGTACCCATTTCTTATTTCAGATTTCTGAGACTGCTCTGTTGTTTTGTTTTCACACATTTGATTACTTATCACACCTTGAGTGAGAGATGACTGTCATACATGGCAGTAAGAAGACCCAGATGAAAAGACACAAGAGACAAAGGAATGGTGGAAGTTGATGAAAGGTTTCCACTTGTTCATGAATGGCATTTGCTTTGGTTACTTGGCCAAAGCCAAGCTTTCCAAAAGTCTTAAAATGTATGAAGGAGATGTTGTTTATGTTGGGGAGTGAGGGGGGTGTGTGTGACTGGGAGAGTTTTGGGGGCGTGTGTTAGAGAGGCACAGAACTGAATTCCTGACTAATTTTAGAAACTCCTTGAAAGAAAAAGGAGGGGGGGGGGTGCTCTGTCTTTCTCAGCTGTTTTTGTTCTTGTTTTTTTTTTTTTTTTCAGAAAATAATTGTTTGCAGAAAATTAGCAACAATTCATTAAGTGCAGCCTGCTCATAAACAGATCAGTCCCTTTTACTGATGTTAAATACTTATTTATTTTTCAAGTTAAGCATACATATCCAACTGTTTGCGTTGGCTCCTTCTGTCTTTATCTTTCTAGAGAAGCCATGCCAGTAATGTAAAGAGCCCAGCCCATCATATGCCTAAAGCTACAAGTATGTTCCCAGCACCCAAAGTACAGTTTGGCTGACTCTTCTCTACAAGATTTTAATAAACAACAATGATTTAACTGGTATTTCTAGTGAGTATTGTCTTTAACATTTAATAACGTACTAGGATAAGGATAGGATTACAATACTTTCATTTCCGGAGGTTTGCTCATGGTCAAGCTGAAGTCAGCTTTTTACTCGTGAACAGTACTAGTCACGTCTTGTTTGGCTCTGGAGGGAGCTTTTCCAAAGTCTGAGTAACATGACTCTAATAGCCCCATAGTGATACTGAGCAGTGTGGGAATATGGGCTTTTCTAATCGAGGGTTAGAGGTACTACTGGTTGACCTGTCGAGCTGTGGGTTGCGAGCCCTCTCGTGCCTGGGTTATCAGGCACTCAGCAGGCCTGCCATCACTCTCTCCCAGCCTGAGGAGCAAAGCAGGCTGCAGATACAGAGGTCAAAGATATCTCTTTCTCAGTCCAGCCCAGTGTCAAAACGTCTCATCTCTCTTCCTTTTGAGCTGTTTTAAATATATATTTCCTCAAACAAAACTATCCATATCTGCAGATTATTGTAAATACTATGGCATAAGAAATAAAAAGTTGTAACTCTCTTGCCTGTATTTACAAGAGCGTATCAACACAAGGTGACCCAAACTCTCCACTGATCCTAACCTCTCCCATGGAGCACGGCTGAGGTCACTGCTAACATTGACTTTATTTGAGTTAGATCCAGGGGATCAAATAGCGCCAAACATAACTTGTTATTTTTGTGCTGTGGCAGTGGACAGAACCCTTTGGAAACAACTCAGCAGTACGCCTGTTGAGAGAGGTGAAGTTTTTCTCTCAGGGCAGCTGCTGTTGAATTTGGAGAAAATACTTAAACCTATGCCCAGCTTAAAGCCCTCATCTTCCTTTGAAAGAAGTACATGAGGAGCTGAAACTAAAAGAAATCGATAAGAAATACTAAACATTTAGGAGAGTGCACCTGCTTTTAAAAATATATTTGTGTTGTAGTTAGTTTGTGCTTGCCCAAGTATCTGCTTTTAATTAGATGAACAATTATAAAATGTTAAAACCAAAATGAAAACAAGCATGCTAGATGATCTTTAGCAGCTCTATGCCGTCACTCAACACTCCTCAGAGGCAGACAACCTCATTTCCACTTCACATCTGACCCCTCAAATGCTCACCCACACAGCTTTTCTGCTCTGACTCACGCTGTTTGAAGTTATACTTTATGACAGGTTAGGAATTAACTAACAATTACAACTGCAGTGAGAGGGATAGAGAAGAGCTCAATCAATGAGACACTGTCCCTCGTCTTATCATGTAAAACCACACCGGCAACTTGTGTTTGTTTGTAGAGTTATGGTTTTGAATTTGCGATAATGAACTTAATCTACAGCAGGAAGAGAGAAAGGGGATTTTTAATTTTTACCATGAGGCAGTATTACTCTTTCGTTTCTGAGAACAGCTAAATTAATGAATTCATTGTCCTTTTTTTTCATCACTGCACAACATATTCAGAAAGTTTTTTTGTGTTAAAAGTGATAAATTGCAGGATCTTTTTCTCAAACAATAGAGGGGGAAATGTACATTTAAAAGACTAACTATGTGTGGACAAGGCTGACAACCCTGCAGCCCTGTTTCTGTGAATTGTGAACATTACTGTGTTGCAATCTCCTTTTATTCATTGTGCATAATTAACTTCTTTAATAGTGGTTTGACCTCTGTCTTGGGGCAGTAATAGTTGCCTGTAAATGCATCCATGTGAACCGTCACATGCCCTGTTGGAAAACAGGACGCTGTTTTCTTGTCTCAAAATGTTGGGAAAATACTAATGAGATATAAATACTGTGCTAATGTTGTTTTTTTTCCCCACCAGCTCCTCTCCATATACACGGGAGAATGGGAGGACCTTGAATTTTCAGCCCCCGACGTTGGAGTTTGGGACGCAGTAAGTCCTGTTCACTAGACTTGGTTTTACATGCTCTGACATGCCGACAGCTTATTCATTTTCAGCTTCAATGACGAAATACTTTACTACACCCAATAACAACTATCCCTCATTTCAACTCCTCTTAGTCTTGATTAAGTTTAAAACTACACTTACCGTACTTAATTCAAATTAGAATAAGACAGTGACCTTCAAACACCTGTCGCTGTGATCAGTATTAAGAAAAGGGAACATTCATAAAGCTGGGGGCCCTCAGCCCTAAAAACAGACAGGATATCCAAGTATGGCAGTAGGCTTCCTTTCCCAGCATCCAGACACATAGTGGAGATGGTTGACCTCAGTCAGAAGGGTCAAGAACTTCACTGTTTGTCTCCATACTCCCAGAACATTAGACGTAATGCTATGGTTGGAAGGCAATCCCCATTGCCTATTTAATACAAAAAATTCACAAGCTGCGTCTATTTTGTAGCATTTTGTTCCGTACTTTTGGAATCCATGAAGCAGGCAAGTCACCAAAAAGTACTGGAAAAATATTTGGACACTTAAATAGTGCAAACAAAGTCCCCACAGTGTTGTGCTCTTTTTTTTTTTGTGCAAACTGTGGGAGCATTTCTATTTATACTGTCAGATCAAAAGCAATCACCAGTAAATAATCCTGAAGCTTTGACAAAATCATTAGTTTTAAACTAATGGAATCAAAAACTAACTGATTAACTTAATGTTGAATTATATACAATGATGCAGCTTATGTAATGTAGCAGCAGTATGCTTGTCTGTGTGGCTAGATGCTGTTTACTGATGGATTTCACACAACATTTGAAGCAGACTGTGTTTTGACAGGTTAGCAAACGAATGAATGTCGGCAGTATGCTGTTTGACAAAAAAGCCAAAAATACTGCTCATGTTATGAACATCAAACCAAAAAAGGAAATGTCTACTTTGACCTGTCCATGTTTTTCTGCTGAGTGGGCGTTTCATTTGCCTAAAGTGAAAGTAAATTCACACTTTCAAAAACAAACAGGAAGTGGAAGAAGCTCCAGTGTGGTTTCAATCAATGATCTTTAAAATAAAATGCATTGAGTGTAGTTATAGTACCCGTACATGGTGAAGTTATTTTTTCAATAGTATTTTCTTTGAAAAGACCCAATCAACTTGTCAGCTTTTACTCCTAAAGCTTTTCCCATATTGACACAATGCAAAACATAGTTATTCAGTGACCAATTTACTCGGTTAATCTCTTCCTTATGAACACTGACTCAGGATGGATTAAAGGCCTCTCTTCTCTAGTCTTCAAAATGCAAATGGACATATTTGAATGATTTTGTTTCCTGGCTTTGATGGTTTACATATTAAATGTTGCTCTAATTGTGGTGCAACACAACAAAGGAAATAAATTATGGTAAATGTTTTTTTTTAATATCTAGCATTAAATAAATGATCATTTGACATGGGAAAATGTTACTTCCTTAAATTAACTTTCACCACTGCAACTGCTTCAGTCCTAATGCAAATCTAATTTCAAATGTGTCTGTTTCATTGAGAGCCCTTTGTTTAAGATGCTGTTCTGTCTGTCGTTTCAGGCCGCTGGGGCTGGCAAGAGCTGAAACCATATATATACAAAATCCCAGCCAGGATGTTCCTGTGACACTGCTGTCAATGTTTACATCCAGCAGGCATTTTTACATACCCTTCTTTCACAGAAGAGTGAGTGTGTGTGTTCATCTGTGTGTTCAAGCAGAATTGTCTTACCTGTAAAACAAAATCTGAACTAACTTCTCCTGTCTCCTATCCTGTCCTAGGTAATCCCACCCAGAGGGAAGGCATCTTTCAAACTAATTTTCTTGCCATCTGAGGAGGGCAATGTAGAAAACACATTATTTATAAACACATCAGCCAATGGGCTTCTCTCATACCAGGTCAGTTTACATCAGTCATGGCTGTGTAAGTTTTACTCATAGACACTCCGCATCAGAGTGGTGTTTTTCTTTTTACATGAAAAAAACATTTATTCAGTTTATATACCATTGCCTTTAACATAAAACACTGCGTTTACTTCACCTCAAGAGATCTGTGCCTGTTTACTGTGTTACTGAAATAATTAGAAGACAGTGTGGTAACTTGCACTTTGCCTGCCTCTAACTGCTGCATCCTCTTGATAGGTTTACTCTCCAGTCTTTGAGTCCTTGTTGTTATTCCTCTTGAACTGGTTGTGCTGTCTCTTGAGTGTTTAACTATTGTGTGATTTCAATGTCTTTAAAATCTTAATTTAAGTTGTTATAATGCTGGTTTCAACGTTTACCAGTGGTAAAACTGGACCTGTGTCAAACTGCAATATGAAAAAAAATGTAATGAAATCAACTTAGAGGTGTTTCATGTTTCACCTGTTCCACGTTGAACTTGGGCCACTGTTTCTCATATGTAAACAACACACCCAAACATGCATACACTGCCTTTAACAGTCCCATTTCCTTCACATCATTCAAAGACCTGTTAAGTTTCAGAAATTCATTTGCTTTTCTACTATTTGTACTGTATAAGTCATTATTGTCTGCCATTAAACCATAACCCCAAATCTTTTTATATAGCTAAAATTAGGTTTTCTGCTCACCACTAAGTTGGGCACGTACCAATTCCTGTCAAAATATATAATAAAGTAGGGTTTTACTTTATACATAGATTCTCTAGGCATCTTGGTGTATTTTTAACACCACCCACTGATAGATTACAAACTTTATTTGGCTAAATCAGCTGTTTGTTTTCAGTTTTATGTTAATATTAAATCCTACTCCAGGTAGCATTAGAAGTGTTCTGTAACCTACAAAGTGCCCTCCTTATTTTAAGAACATAACAACAGGTCAAACATAATTGTAACAGTTTGGAAAATGCGACATCATCTGTGCTGCTACATTATAAGAAATGGACCTTCTTTATTTAGAAACACAAAACACCAGCTAATGTGTTACAAGCTCCTGTGGAAGTTCAGTTCAGACATTTGTTTGCTTCTACACTGTCAGTTCTTGTAATAATAACTAATGTGCTGTTCATAATCTTTTTCTTAATGGTAGCTATGCTTGTTTTCCAGGTATTTGGTGTGGGAGTTCACCAGGGTTCATTAAAGTCTGTCCAAAGAAAAGACAGTTCGTTGATATTCCCTCACATCCAGAGCATTAAGCTGACCCAAACTCAGGTATGTATAACAACTGCTGTGTGTTAGTTTGTGCAGTCTATGCATATAAGTGAGTACGAGGTCATCATTGGAAACAGCTGATTTCCCCTTTCCTTCCAGCCCAGATAAACAGACGGCTGCATACATGAACACAGAAAGCCTTGTGATACACACTGACGAGCGCTTGTTGTCATAAAATGACTTAATATACGTGCAGTCAGCATGAATAATCTCACATTATTTTTTTTATTTGTTCTTTATTCGTTTGCATACAGAATATATCTCACCCGCACCCTTTTAAAAAATACTCATGCTTATGCACATTCATTTGAACACGTTTTAAAGCCTTACAGAAACACCACTACATTGACAAATTCAGTTCACGCTCTTTGAAGAAGTGCGAGAGATCTGAGAGGAATTCTCGCCCACACAACAGGAAGTGGGGTAGCAGTTGCAAAATGTCATCTTGGCCGAGTGTAGAGACACTTCAGCTTCCACAATCACTCAGACAGCTGCTGCTTGTGCTGAATGCAGACTTAGAATCTCTCAGCAAGTTTCCCTTTTAATCATATGCTTAACTAAAATATTCTTATATTATATTATGTTCTTATCATCCTCATTGGGTTCCTCATCAGCCTTTTCTGCACTTGCCTCACGTGATATTTAAAGGCTAAAACACTTTGTCTGGCCATTAGATATTTAAAAGCTTATGATAAATGGGTGTGCATAAAAGTGTGAGGGGAGTTTGATAGTGGAGCATGATACTAAATGAGAATGTTAGAGATTGAATAAAAAAGAACCCAAAATTTCAGATCATTTTATGTACCTGTTAAACACTTTATAGCTAAATGAGGGTATATTCAAGAGACTGAATCCAATCATGTTTTTCTTCCTGCAAAAAACATGTGAAGTGTGCTTATCCTAGCTTGCCCCAACCAATTGAGACAAAAACATTGTGCCTATTTAACTAAAATCTTTATTTTTTAGTTGCAGATTATCTAATTATATCTTAAATTATCTAATTATGTGGCCATCAGCATCATTGTGTTGTCGTCAGCTGTTCCTTGTAAAATGACATGCCCACTATTCAATGTTTATAATCTAATACCTACAAACATTTTAAACCAACAGCCTATCGTGGTTTACTTCAATTTTATTTTATCAAGATAAAACAAGTTAAATTCTTGGTTATATTTGTATTAAGTGTTAAGTTGCCTGTCAGGGGTTTTGCATATTATTTGTGGATGCTGTAGTTGTTCAAGATGTATAACTGACAGCCTTTGACAGACAGGTTTAACTGCAGATATTTGGTTAAGTATAGTTGGTCTAAAATGATCATGATTAGAATTAGTGATGAACTTGACAACATTGAATCCTCATTCAAAGATTTCAGAAGTTTACAACCACAGTTTTCAGTTGTTAAGAAGTCTGTGTTTGCAGATCTGTGAGTGTAGAAAGTTGTTTAATTGCTTTAAATGATTTGCTCACTTAGCAACCAAACCAACCAATGCTGCTCTGTAGAAGGTTGCGTTTCTATAATTTGCGCATGACAGCGTGTATCCGGAGAGTTCAGTTAAATTTGGCTTTGTAGTTACTAATGGTCATGAAGGGTCATGTAGGGTGTAAAAGGAAAAAGATAAGTGTCATTGCTGATGTTTCTACATATTCTTCAATGCTAATGACAATGCTGGATGTAAACATTGATGACAATCATTTGTTTTTCTAAAGGCCTTTTCCCCATTTATATTGTCATTCTGTGCCTCCTGCAGGAAGATGCCTCTAACATCACCATACTTGGTCTACTCCTGGAGTGCAGCTTACCCAAGAGTTTGTTCAACAATCCTCAGGTACTTAAGATTACATTTACTGAAAGAACCTCGCCTCACAGATTCTAAGATGTACTCGCATATCCTGTTTACACTAAATATATGTGTCTTATATGTTTTGTTTCAGTTTACACACGTTTAATTACCTCAGAAATTCTTAAATTGCATCTACTATTTCTTCATAATGAAAAAAACACAAACTATGAATAATCAGATTATTTCAGTAAACCTTTGATTTCAGTTTGTGCAATGACGTTTTCCATAAGAGATGATTCCCCAACTTCTTCAAATGGAGACAGAAATAAACTATTTTACTCAGATAATATACACTGTAGGAATTTAACTTGTTAATAAGAAAACAATGAGCTGTTTCTGAGGAAAAAGGGGAGTACAAAGAGAGTTTAACTATTTAAATGTTAATGACGTATAATCCTGCATTATTTTTAGCTTGTTCATACAAAGAGTCTTTTTCACGGCTCTCGTTTCACCCACTCTTCTAAGTTTCAAACTTACTGGCCCTCTGCCTTCTGTTTTTGGCAGAGCCCCTGAGGAGGGGGAGATCTTCCGCTAGATTTAAAATTTCTCAAGAGACTCCATAATTGACGTCTGGTTCCATGTGATAATGTGGTGCAATAAACATGATGCAAAAGTCATCTGCAGACAGCAGTAATGTGGTGATGATACAAACTGAAACCTTAAGTTCTCACAGCTGTGACATTCCAAGATCAACACCTGCTGCTGGTTCGTTTTAAAGAACTTCATTAATAAAATCAAGGACTGGCCTTTGGTCAGAGTCTACGCTGTAAATAGACCAAACAAACCTTGAAGGAAGTTAGAAGTAGTCTTGGTTTCATGGGGATTAGGTTTGCTATTGCATCCTTGAGCCCCCATGGCTCCAGGCCAGGGCTTCTGTCGACAGGTCGTCAAGAGCAGATTCATCCACTGGTTTATGGGGAAATTTGCACTCTCCCAGCATTGACTTGTCTGCTTCTGTAGAGTGTAACTCACAGGGTATGGGTGGTTAAGGGGGTTGAAGTGGGCTGCTGCCAGCTTATTTCTATCTTCCCATGTTTCAATAAGAATATTAAATATTTTTTAACAGTTTTTATTTACACTGGTGAGTTCATATTAGTTCAAGTATTGTGAAAACAGTTAGATTTTTTTTAAATAATCTTATTCAAAAAGTAAAACATTTATTCTAGATTGAAATATTCCAAGCCCTTTCTTTTAGAATTTTTAAGATTATGATTTACAGCTGATTTTGTAGTTCATGGCTATAATTAGTCAAAAACCCAAGATCTCAAACTATTAGAATATTACATAAAACCAATTAATTAAATAGAGATTATAATACAGAAATGTCGACCCTTCTTAAAAGTGTGTTCATTTAGGCTCTCAATACTTGGTCGAGGCTCATTTTGAATAGAATTGCTGCATCAACGTGGCGTGGAGGCAATCAGCGTGTGGCACTGCTGAGGTGTTATGGAAGCCCAAGTTGCTTTGATGGCAGCCTTCATCTCTTATTGTTGGGTCTGGTGTCTCTCATCTTACTCTCGACAATACCCCAAACACTCTCTATGAGGTTCAGGTTAGATGAGTTAGCCGGCCAATTAAGCAGTTATACCACAGACTTTTCCACGTTTTCAAATTCTGTGAGCTGCACCTGTATATATTACACTTTGTCTCTTAAACATCCAAATGACCCCTTTTCTTTTATTGTCTTGTTTGTCTTAGTTTCTGTTTCCATTTACTGAATGTCTTATCTCTCAAATATCTCCTCATGCTCCCATGCTTTTCGTCCTGTTTGGTGCATGACTGATGCGACTCTCCTGTCCCGTTTCAGGGCTCCTGCCTCCAGAGTGAGGAGCGCCTCAGTCTGCAGATTAATCTGTCTGCACGAGGCGAACGGCCCGCTGACCTGGACAAGCTCAAACCCTACGTCATTGAGCACATTTTGGTGCTTCTGATGGCCCCCGCTGGCATAGGTGGGTTTTTTATAACTCATGATCCTGTGTCTGGAGGCCAATGAGACATCATCACTTCTGAAGAGCAGACAGCTTAATTCTGAGGGATTTGTAGTTAAAATGGAGGTCATTTTTATGATTTACTTATTATCATTGCTTTTCTCAAGATTTGCTTTCTGTCTTACCAAGCAAATTTTCCTTATTGACATCAAAGTAATGTAAAGGAGACTTTCCAATAGCAGATTAAGTACATTTATACATCAGGATCCCATATAATGATTAATTTTATGATTTTATATAATATACTGTACACTGATTTTATTTGTCTCACTTTTTCTTTTTTCTTTTTACAGGGGAACTGAGGCTAGGAGTTCATTTGTTAAATTCTGGAGGCAAGATGCTCTACATAGAGGTAAGAAGTTTGTCCTTTATTTTTCTATTATGTGTGTGTTACAGGAAGCAATTTATAGACTCTAACAAGATGATTTATCTCCCCAGGACATGCAGGTGTTATCAAAAGTGGAGGCCAGCCTGGAATTTAATCAAGTTCTCCTGAGACCAGAAGCAAAGAACTTCACTGAAGGGGCTACACTTGCCTGCAGAGGTGACTAATCACTTAACTTCTAATCATTTCTTGCCAAAGCCTATAATAAGTGAAATGGCATTTGACCCAAATGTCTTGAACTTTTTTATCAACAAGACTTCTGTGTCTCGTTTCAGGTTCGTTGCCCGGCCACGAAAGGAAATGCACAAGTCATATCGGTTTAAATTTTCTGGGAAACCAGACAACTAACAACTTCCCGGGATTCCATATCGCACAAGGGTAATTTGGAGTTTTTCGCCATTGCACACTCAAGTTGTTGTTTGGAAATTATTACAGTTAAGCAAATTGTTCTTCTACTTGGTGACAAGGCCCTGAATACAGATACTGAAAATCTCAAATCCCATTTTTTCCTCCTCTCCAGACGAACCGTTGGGGATTTATCCAGCATGGTCCAGCTGAAACAAAGGGACGCTGCCCAGGTGGATCTGTGGTTGACAAACTCCCTCAGTCTTCCTCTCACTGTGCTGAACGTCAGCCTCTCACAGAAGCTGCAGGGAGTGATGAAGGTGAGCACCACTGCTTCATGTGATGATATAAAACCTATCAGAAAACATTAACTCAGTGCCTTAGTGCACTGCATTACAAAGTTGTGGACTGGGTTTGACACTACAGTCTCTGCTGCCCCCTGTCTGTCAGGTGGTGAACTTTAGCAGTCCACTGCTGGTTCCTCAAGGCTGCTGGCATATCCTGTCCCTCCAGTTGATCAGCAGGTCCCTTCCTGTCAACCAGCTTTCCACCCTGAGTCTGGAAACCAGCCTGGGCACAGCGCTGCACATTCCCCTTTACTTTCACTCTACTCCTTCTAAGGTAAATAACCAGCTCTATTGGATGAATGTATTGAGCTCTTTTCACCCATGCACCCCTGAAAACGTCATACTGTCTGTCCCTGAAATGTTCCTGAGTCATTTATTCACACATTTCCCTAATGACAAGTTAGGGACATGTGTGAATAGGGACACATGTTAGGGACACCACATTAATGCGACATGTAATTGAACTTACTCACTGTATCAGCGAACAAAATGAAAAGAACAGCTTTATTTTGTGCAAGAAGGTTGCACTGGTCACATGATGTAAACGTCATCCGTCCTGTCTGCTAACACGATGTGAATATTCCTGAATATTTCCTGCTGTGTTTACACATCGGCTCACCCTGACTTCACACAGACATTTCACCAGGTTGAGTTTTGTGCATTTATGAAAGCATGATTGTGTTACGTTTGTAAACACTGGACATGATTGAATGTGTTAATAAATGACGTGTCTGTCAGCAGGGGGAGGTGGTGTTTGAGGCGGAAAGAGAGTGCGGAAGACCCTGCCCACTCAGACTGTCTGAAACAGGTGAGATAGTGCACCTAAGATGTGAGAGAAAAGGTTGAGTTTTCTTTCGTTTATTTACATTTTTGTCTCATCAGGTCGTTCAGAGTGGCAGCAAACCCTCCTCCCAGACTTTTTTACCTCGACTTGGGCCACAGACAGCAAACTGGCTGCTGAACTCTGCTCCCGCTGGAGGAGCCACAAAGAGAAACTGCCCTGCAGGTCAGTCTCAAATCACAGCTTTGTTTTTCATACCAATGTGTGTCATGTCATTTCTGATTGTACAGTGTTTGATCTTGGAAGTCTCTTTTCTCTTCTCAGGTGGCCAAGACTCCCTCTAGAGACGTCCCATCCTCTGGACTTTGGTGCTACACCTGTTAATGAGAGCAAGGTGGGCAAAACTTCACAATCCCCAACCAAAAAATTAAAAACATTTTCTGCTCACAAATTATCAAATTTTTACTTACTTTATTGATTTCATTCCCTCCAGGTGAAGACATTTACATTGAAAAATCCTACTTCTTCAGTGGTTTCTGTTGAGATTCGATGCCTCTCTCAGTACCCTGCCCCCCTGGAGGCCCTCGACCTCCTAACCAAATGGTAAGCAAGAGAACCAAAAATTGGGTGCACAAGATATCCATTATTTCATCTAAAAAGTGTGTTGCATCCTATATGAATGTGCGACCATTATACCAGTGTAAAATGCCGTGACATGAACCATCAAGACCGAAAGTGCAGCTGCCACCAGCACCCACTGGATGCAACTGAAGATTCGCCACCATTCATTGTGTATTGTAAGCAGTTGCTTGGCTACGCAAAACTTGATGTGATATATAGGGACACAGACCAGGAAGGCTACGTATCTTTTTTTAAACTTTTTTCCCGCATTAGGTCATAACCATGCATTTTAAGAAAACACTGGTATACTGCTAAGACAATAGACATTGTGGAGTACTAGATTGAGTTTTTAAAAAAATCCTCAATTTAAGACAAGTGAACCTAAGGAGGTGGGTTGCGCAACTTGGGGTAAATTGGTCACAGGCTGTGGGTCAGTACTTTAGCTCTCAGCTTACAGAACCCTTAAACTATTGTACTACATAGCTAGCAGGATTGCAAACTTGCCTTGGAGAAAACTGATGGTACTAGAAAGAGCTGCACAGAAACTGCATGTTGTAAAATTTGCTTAACAAAATTGAAATCACTGCACAGTTTGAACCTCTTTTGTCCTCTGAGCAAAAAAAACAGAAATCTTGTGTCCCGGTGACACTTGTATTCTGGAATTGATGGTATTTGTTTGATACAGAAAAGCGTTATTCATCTGTCTGAAGCCCTGTGCCCCTCTGATAACACTTTCTTGTTATTGATTTGTCTAACTGTGTTTTCTTTTTTGATTGGCAGGTTTGATGTCAGCCCTTTCTCGGTCAACATCAGCACTTCAGAGTTTTCTCTGTTGGCCTCTCCTCCAAAGGTAAATCCTGAGAAATCCTGGGGAATAATCTAATGGCAAACTTGGAATGTTGTTTTATTAACTTTAAATTTTTCTTATCCTATTTGTTATCTTAAACACATGGCCAACACTGTAATTGTCATTTTTCAGTAATTTTTTTTAAGCTGCTTTTTACCTCATTTCTTCCTGTGTGTTTGTGTTCAGGTGCGGAACAGTGTGGAGGACCAAACAGGAGAGGGCGTTGTGCGTCTGCTGCTGCAGCCCTGGGAGGCAAGAGAAGTCGCTGTAGTCTTTACTCCCTCTGAGCACAAACGCAGCTCTACCATTCTCATCATCAGGTAATCATTAATATCACTAAGATGTGTTTGTTCATGCATTTTCAATATGTATATCTGGTTTTATCATCTCGTAAAAAAATCTTGACCGTTTGAAAGCAAACTCATGCAAAACTTTGGTGAGCCAGCATGCATGATGCAGGGACCTTAAAACTAAACCTGTGAAATGAAATTTATTGGTCATTCATTATGGTGTGTTTTGGGTAATTTGGCAACACTATTTAATACATAACATTGAGTGCAATGACGGTTCTTTGAAACATGATCTTAACAGATTTTTTTAACTGTGTTTCAGAAACAACGTGACAGTGTTTGACATGATGACAGTGCAGGGTCATGGGGCCAAAGAGCTCCTGAGAGTCGGAGGCAAACTGCCCGGCCCTGGTGCGTCGCTGCGCTTCAATGTTCCTCAGTCGACTCTAATGGAGTGTCGTGATGGTGAGATTAACCTTAAACTTGAAACAGGGGTGTGATTACTCCAGATTTATACGGATCTCTCGATTTCATAACTTGAATAGTTGAACCACAAGACTTTATTTGTTCCTGATAGTGTTCCCCATAAATAGACTAAACCTGGGCACACCGTCCAGTTGTCCAAATATCGTCAACCTTTAAAAGAAAATTGGCATCAAATGTTCTGCATTAATGTTTTCCTGCTTTTTTGTAAATCAAATCCCTGTTAATATCACTGTTTGACTGTAGAGCAACAAAGTTCACTTGTGAATATTTACCATTAACATAAAAACGGTGACAAACATATAAAGTTCCTGTTTTTTTTACACCTAGGCCTGCGCACCGACAAGCCGCTCTTCGCCATCAGAAAGAGTTTTAAAGTGGAGAATGCAGGAGAGCTTCCTCTCACCGTCATGTCCATGAATATAAATGGATACAAGTGTCAGGGGTTTGGATTTGAGGTTCTGCAGTGTCGCCCATTTAGCCTCGACCACAACTCCTCCTCTGAAATCACCATTGCGTAAGTTTGCACAGTGGATTGCACCTTTTTATTTTTAAATAATATTTCCATGTGGCCTCATTTATGCTGAGTCTAAATTAAACAAGGTTTTTATTTATTGCTGAGGCAGGGCATACATCTATTTCTCAATTTCTCTTTCCTCTCTACTTCCTCTTCAACACTTTTGTCCTATTTCTATCTCCCTCTTCTCTTTTATTATCTTGTTCTGTATTCCCTTTACTCCTGTCCATTTTTTGTCTCTCATTGTCTCTGTCTGCGTGTGTCCTCAGGTTCACTCCAGACTTCACCTCATCCTGGGTGATCCGGGATCTTACCCTGGTGACATCAAGAGGCACCTCTTTCCCTTTCACCCTGAATGTGACGCTGCCTCACCACATGCTGCCTCTCTGCGCTCAGGTGGTCCCTGGCCCCAGCTGGGAGGAAACGTTCTGGGTGGTCACCCTCATTTTCACCTGGTAGATATAAGTTATTACGGTGATGAGCTCTCTCATCAACATGTTTTAGGAATGTCTGTGTGTTATCATATTTTTCCAGTTTTTTGTCTTCACAAATATAAAGGAGGTTAAAATCTGCTTCTTTTTGCTTATGAGGAATGTTATCTGTATGAGTAGTATTCAAACAGTGAGATCCCACAGGACTGACAGCTATCAAAGCTTTTTGTCCCTTTAATTGCCAATTTGAATCATGTGATTAAAAAAACAGACACTTTAACAACAAATGTTAGTGAAAAGTATGTGTTTTAAAAACAAAAGCAGTGTCTGATGGTCCTTCACTAAAAACATTAACCAATCTCAGTTTTTACTGTTTTAGACCAGGTAGTATATTTTAATTTTCTAGGTGTATTTGAGGAGTTATCCCTAAATATCTGCTGCATGTTTGTGTTTCAGCTTCTCACTGTTTGGTGTGTGTCTGATGGCCTTCCATCAGGCCCAGTATATCCTGAATGAGTTCTCCACACCCAGCATCAGGAGCAACCACAGCTCTGTCCTCTCCCAGGATAACGGCCCCGTCAATAATATCACACCCAATGGAGTCAAGTATGTCTACTTCTCAGAGACTCACATGTTGACTATGAACTTTTGGATTAATCCTGTAAGTGTATTTTATTGTATACTTTATTTTGCATCTTTGTTTCTTGCTTATGCAGTAAAACCAAGGGCAGTTGTAAGAGCTATGTGGACACGGGTCACACCTCAGATAAAGGTAAAGGGCGGGGCTCTCCAGCCCTGGCCAACAGCCCCGCCCCACGTCCTCAGTCCTCAAAGAAAGGATCACTTGTCACCCCATCCCAGTCACAAAAGAAACACAAAGTTTCACTCTATTACACCAAATACAAGTCCAGCTCATCCGCAGCAGCCGCTGAAGCTCTGTTGCTGGATGAAGACCATGAAGACTTAACACCGGACTCTCCCCTGACCCCAGACCCTGATGTCTGCAACAACAACGAACCAGCTTTCATTAGCGAGCTGGACAAAAAGATACCTGCAGACTTTAAAGAAGACCCCCAAAGCACTATAGAAGATAGCGTAGCAGTTATGTTTCCCATGGAAATGCCTGCTGGTTTCCCAGATAACGTCACGTTAAGTCCAGGACCCAGACCAGGCTTGTTGGTGTGCAGTCCTATAGAGAACAGCTGCGCTAAGCACTTTGCAGAGAAGATCGACTCTGAGAAAAGGGACAATGCTCAAATGGAGGTAAAGATAGTTTTCAACGTTTTGACCTTATTTATACATTTAGACATGTAAAGCAAAGCATATGTCTTTTAATGAACAAAAAAAACATCATGTCTTCATTTTATCTCTATTTAGTTAAGAGAAGACGGCAAAGGGCAGAAAAAGAAAGCACAGAGTGCTGAGACTGGCACTGTACCAGTAAATAATAAGGGAAAGAGGAGTCGCAGGAAGACAGAAAACTTCTCCAGGTAGACCCCATTTTCACTATTCTTTTAAAAAATCCTCTTGTAAATGTTCATCTTGTCATCATTCTACAGTGAAATATTATGTGATATTTTTCTTGGTTGTGTAACAATACAAACTGAACAAATTGCTACATTAAACAACATAAAGCACAGACATTGTGATAAAGCTCCAAACATTTAGAATCCCTGCCCTCATTGTTTCTTCCTGATTATTGCCATAGTGCTCCTGAGCACAATGTTGTAGCGATGCAAGAGAGGGAGAAAGAATCTGAATGGAAAACAGGGGACCGGAACATCAGTGGACCCGCAACAGGAACCGCTGCTGCAACGGCCCCAAGCCAGAAGCACCAAAGCCCGGACAGAGTACTGAGAGCGCCCTCAATCAGAATGGTTGGTTTCATCCTGACCTGTCACTGTTCTCTCTCTGCTGCTTTAATAACCTGACAGTGATGCCTAAAGCTAATATCACTCTTCCTGTCCATGTTTATCAGGTGTGTTTCCAGCTCGTACACGGCGGAAGTGTGCCACCGATCGGTGCAGCAGAGGAGTGTGTGAGTCGGGTTCAGACTCTGGCAGCTCGTCAGGCAGTGTGAGAGCCAGCAGGGGGAGCTGGGGCAGCTGGAGCAGCGCCAGCAGCATGGAAGGCGACAAAGACCCCAGTGCCAGGACACACGCATGCACTACCTCATCTAAAAAAAGTGAGAAATACCTGTGCACCATCTCAAAGAGACAGAATAGCTTTTGAACGACTATGAAGTTTGATTGTGGAAGTTCAAAATCAGCGTTGAAATAACAATGTGTCACTATAATTACGGTATCTTGTTGGTCATGTTTTTCCTCCCACAGGGGAATCCATGCAGTATGGCGTCTACCCAGTAGAACGAGACTGCTACCAGAGCATGAATACAAACTACAAGGCTCTCAGGTAAGCACACGCACTCATATGCATACAAGAAGTGGCTCTGAAGATTGTATGAAACTCCACAGAAACAAGTTTCCTTTTTAACCAATAGTTAAGAACATAGGAATACCTGTAGGTGTCAAATTTCTGTCAAATTGAAGTTAAATAAATTTTCTATGAACATAGATGCTACTGACAACTGTTTCAGATCAATTTAAAAATGGTGAGTAAAAATTTAACTAAAAAGTCCTTTAATGTTGTAGATGTAAATAAACATCTATGTTGGACAGCAAAGCGTTTCTTCAATGCTACAAAATAGCATCAGAGACTTAACAGAGTACAAATTAAGCTTTCAGTTTATTTGCTTTTGCACATCATGGCCGCTGATGAGAATGTTCCCATTATAAACACTGTTGTTTGAGGAAAGCCAACATTAAATATTAAAAATATATTAAAAAATTGTATCCCTCCCTGTCTAACTCGTGACTCTTTATCTTTGTAGCATGAACAGCTTGTACCGTAAAGAAGTTTGCCAAAGCCCAGAACCCACAACTCCCAGCTTCACCCCAAGTTTTGCTGCTGTTGCTGCCGGACTAGACAGAAACACAGGTATAGTCACAGTAAAAAGACATACTTCTTTTAGGGTACATCTGTCTGTGACGTCAACAAAAAAAGATGTGTGCATGACCTCTGATATGTACTGAAGAGTTGTCATGTATCCTCCAGATCTGACAGGTCAGTATTTGCCTGAGGAGACATGGTCCGCTCCCTCCATCCCACTCACCAATGAGTTCAGATACAACACCACTGAAGCTCTGCCCTACATACCTCAGCCAGCAACCACCGCAGCATACAATGGGTAGGTTTCTGAATGCACTTTTGTCAAAGCTCAACCCAAAAAACTGTTTTTTACAATAAAATCTAGTAATACAGATCTCTTTCGTGTGAAACTCCGCTCTTACTAAGAAATCCAGCACCGAAAAGAAGCTGATGAATAGAGTTGGATATAAGACGATCTGAAGAGCTCAATGTTTAGAGCTGCTAATGAAACATAGACAATAAGAGGCTGACTTTTGGATTTAATGTGTCAAAAATCTTACCCTGAATGTAAGCTACACTTCAGAAATGACTTTCTAACCATAGCAACAACAACATTATGTTAGACTTTTAATATTCATATTTGCTGTGGCGCAAATATGTCGTCAAATTTGCTATTGTGTAACTTAATTTATGTGTGTAATGGACATAATGGACACAGCTAATAAAACCAACCAAACACACACACGACGTAGTTCTTCTGTGTTGAGGGAAATGATCCTGGTTTACAGTTTGAATAAATACCTTCCCTGTGCTTCACTTGATGTGTCTTTATGGTTGAGCAGTTCCATGTTGAAGTTTTATCTCTTCGTGTTGAAACTGTTGCATCAAATGTTCCCTTGTTTCCTGCAGGTTTACTTGGAGTAATGCCAACAGCCACTGCAACAGTCCCTACACCTACAGTGAGGGAAACAACTACATAGGTACTAACTCAGGAATGAGTTCTATATTTAAATTAGAGGAAAATGAAGAATATAAATTAGTAAGAAAAGTCACTGAAACATCATTGACTCTACTCTGGATTAAAGTTTGTTTTTTAAGTTGTTGTGTTTTTTTTTCCTAATAATCTTTCAGGTAATGGAACATTTCCGAGTAGTTATCCCAGTCAAGAGGGCCAGAATGCACACTGCAGTCAGACCAGCTGGAGTGAAGAACAGTCTCAGGAATCACCCTCAACCTGGGACACAGCAGCCTGTGTGGGCGGCAAGGTGATCATTCACACTACAGAACTACCTGGATGCTTCTCTGCTACATTTAAAAAATTAATTAATTAATTTGCTTCGATATCCCTGTTACCACAGCAACACATAAGAGGGCCAGTTAACACATGTAGTTTAAAACAAGCTGTCTAGTGTGGTAGTGTAATTTTAACAGCAGTTTACTGTAGAACACATGCAGAGTACACACACTAAACTAAACAGAGACTTCTCTGTTGTGACTCATGACATCATGAAGGGAAGTTGTCAGCTCTTTTTGTAAGTCACTGAGTTGAAATAAGCAATTAACGATATAAAGCAACGTTAATTGCTTTTTCAGTTTTTCTTGTTAATGAAATAATGAAGCAAACTGCTGGTGGGCTGATGTTATTAGACGATAGTTATACAGATATAACTAAAATCCATATTGCTAAGTGTTAAAAGAAACTTACTTTATTAAACATCTATGTTTTTTTTATTATTATGATTGTTATTTTCAAAGTGTTTCGGGGAATTAAACAGGGTACAACGGGCTGGGGGAAGGGGACAATACATGAGGTGTATCCCACACATAGACTACGTGTATGGGCTGCCCAGGTATATTTGCTCTCCACATTTGCATTTAGATTTTAATCCGTATACAGTCGGCATTTGAGTGTAGCGTCTGGATGCTCTGCAGATAAAGGGAGAGAGAACTGTTGCCTTCCTCTTCGAATGAATGATTGTGGTGCGACGCCTCATATTGAACATGATCCTCCTAATGCCGTTGATTTTATCATTTTGTGCAGCAAGAATGATTAACTCAACGGCATCCCTGCTCAACGCCCACCTGTTGTGTAGAGATTAAAGCACAATTAATGTGATTTAAAACCAAATCTAATACAAATAGGGTAATGTGATTATTTATTTATAGAAAATACTTTCAATCAACAAGAACCCCCCCCCCATGTCTTCCTTACCTTCGCCCCCGCCACAGGTATAGTTTCATTCTGTGGGAAACACTGACATGGAATTAAAGCAGTGTTTACTACGACTCTGGAAGAGACATTTTGTTGAGGAATAGGAGGAACTCTGGCATCTTCACTAGAGAAGGGAGGTCATTTTGTTTTAGCCAAAAAGGGAGAGACAAGATAGCAAACCTGAAAAAGTGAAACCTAGGCCAGGTATCCCTGCAGGGAGCAGACAGCAAAATTGTATTAACACAGTCGCAGGTAAGGTCAGAAAATATCATGGAAGTGTTATACGTCTTTTGAAAACTGCTTCAGACAGTGCACAGTCCATCTATAATAGATCAAAAAGTGTTTGACAGCTTATATCGTCATCTCTCTTGTCCTCCACAGCCATACTTCTCTGGGACCCGCAGCCTATCTCCCATGTCCAGCCTGTTTGGGTCCATCTGGACCCCTCAGAGCGAACCCTACCAGAGCCACCACTTCCAACCTGAGCGATCAGCCCCGATTTCCCCCGTCTCCCCCATCACCCCTCCTCATTCTCCCTTCAGCCGGGAGACAGAGGGGAGGTGCGCTCCCATCCAGTATTCCAGCTTCAACCCATTCGGCCCGCACATGAACCTGGACATTTGGAACTCTTCTTCAAACCGCAGCTCCAACTCACAGCTCTCAAACGACTCTGGCTACTGCGGAGATGTTTGAAAGGGAAAAAAAAAAAAGAGGAAATGGCAGACCTTAACAATAAGTGCAAACGTATAAAACATTGATATGTAAAAGAAAGGAAATGAAAATGAATGTTCTTTTATCATTATTGGGGGAAATGTGAATATTCCTTTTCTTTTATGTTCCCATTTTCAAATGTTAAATGTTGTGAAAGGTTAAGCATTTGTTGTATATTTTTCTAGATGTTTTGCAGTTTTGATCATAGAAAATAAAAAAAAAGATTTTGTACTTGAAGTAGTTATTTTTCTACAACATTACCGGTTTGTCATATTTAAGTAATGACTCTTTATCCATATACCTGTCTGTCCTACTTTCTCTCTTACTTTCTGAGACCATCTCAAAAGTCTGCCGTCTTCCACCGACTGTTCTTCATTTGTATCAATTATTTTTAATTTTCCACACAAGCATAAAGCTTTAAGCATATGAAAACTTGAATCACGAAAGAGAAGTCTGCTGGCTAAGCTATTGTTGGAACAAAAGCATGGCAGCCACTTTGATTGTTCCTGCATGTGAACTTCATATCACCTCAAATCTAAACATAAGACTTGAGACTTTCGATACTTGACCTCAGAAATACTGCTGCTATGTGATTTGATGTGAAATGATTCCAACTTCCTCTTCCATGTTAGTTGCAGAAAACTCAAAAACACTCCGTTAGAAACCTGTAACCCACTGATTCAAACCTTTATTGTCCATCAAAGGGAATGACAGAGGGAATGCACTGCTCTGTTTGAGGTGCTGACTTAAATCCACATCCTGATTTTGGCTCAGCCTGCGCTCCACACATCTCAGCTGAACGGATGAACCAAACAAACAAGTGACTCATCTCATGATCCAAAGCTCATCTTCTCCTTTTTGTTTTTAACTATTTCCCCATGGTTACCAATCATCTGAAAAGGAAATAATTAGCATGTTAGAGAAGCTGCCAGGAAACATATGAACGAGTTAATTCCTCATTCAGTCATGCCTTGACTGTTGAACATCGACAAGCATTGAACCTGCAAGACATAAAGGACTCATTAAGGTATGTTTATTTTTGTATTACCTCTATTCCCCTGACACACTTCAGTGTAAAGTAAGCTACTGGTAGTATTGCAGGCTTTCTGTTTTGATTAGATAAACTTTCAGATTGTACAAAGACATAACGAATTTGAATGGATAGGCTTAAATTTGGTATGAAACAAATATATATATTTTTTTTTTCTAGTGGCTCAAGATGAAACTCCTGACCTATCTCATGTTTGTCCTGCTTATGCATCAAAGCTTCTCATCTTCAAGACCTCAGTGTCACAGCTGTGAACCAACATCCTGTGACTGCTCCAGACAAAATCTCAGCGACGTCCCTGCAGCCCCTTCAAAGCTCATCACGGAACTCGATCTATCATTCAACATGTTAAAGACAATAGGTAACAGTGATTTTGATGGATATGCCAGTTTACGGTCTTTGATCATGAGTAACAACAAAATCAGCACAATCCACGAGCAAGCATTTGTCAAGCTGGCTACATTGGAGAAACTGGACTTGTCCTTTAACAGATTGGGGAATTTGTCTGCTGGATGGTTCAAGAACCTTTATTCTCTGCAGCATTTGAATCTTTTAGGGAACACATACACAGTGTTAGGTCAAGGCAATCTCTTCGAGCCACTGAAGAGATTAAAGAGCCTTTTTTTTGGAGGACCAAACTTTCAAAATCTCAGAAAAAGTGACTTTTCCGGCCTCAGTCATCTTGAAGAAGTAGTTTTTGACGGACCCAACCTTGAGGATTATGGGGAAGGTAGCTTGAGACAAATCGGGCCAATTCAGTTCGTAACACTCAGTCTGTATTTTCCGCGTCCTGCAGAATCATCAATGATAGAAACGATTTTGTCGATGTCGTTCACGCAAACACAACCCTGACTTTCACCGACACACGGTTCTTTTCAATAGCTCAGATGTTACCATTTCATGTGGTCTCAGAAAGTGGAACCAGAAGAATCGCTTTTAAAAATATGATCATGACATTTGCAGCCTGTTTGGCACTTATCAATCAATTGTCAGACTCAAATATAACTATGTTTACACTTGAAGATATAACGCTCTTCTTGAGTTTTGAATTCTTTTTCCCAACTCGACTTAACATTCAACACTTGGAGGAGGCTGTTTTCAAAAATATCGACATCCCTCAGTTTTACACTTTTCCAGCCCCAAATTTCCTGGAACCTCTGCTGAAGGTAGTGCGTCGGGTTTCTATTGTAAACTGCAAGATGTTTGCCATACCTTGTGAGTCCTCTGTCCTTTTCTCACAAATGGAGTATTTGGACTTAAGTGAAAACTATTTAACAGATCTGGCTCTTAGCAAAATGATGTGTGACGGCAAAGGTGCTCTACAGAGTCTGCACACCCTCAATGTCAGCCGGAACCACCTGATGGTAATAAACAGCCGGCTCTTCAACAAACTGGAAAAGCTTGAAAACATCGACATGAGTGGAAATACGTTTGACAGTACTCCTGAGTCCTGTTACTGGCCACCCAGTCTACAGTTTTTGAACCTTTCATCATCACGTTTAACTAAAGTGACCGCTTGTTTGCCGGTGAGTTTACGCATTCTCGATCTGTCACACAATGCCTTGACAGTGTTCAACATCGAGCTGCCTTTTCTCACAGACTTATACATCTCTGGAAACAAGCTACACTGTTTGCCAGATGGGGGTTTCTATCCTCATCTCGCAGTGCTCTCCATTCAAAACAACGACTTACACACGCTCAGCAGAGATATTTTAAATGGTTATGATAACCTCAAGAGTCTGGAGGCCAGTTCTGACACGTATGTCTGTTCATGCGACTTTGTAGCTTTCATGACAAGTGACCCGACAAACCATCGGGTCACAATCGGGGATGAGTTCAAGTCGTACATCTGCGACTCCCCAGACGCTGAGAGAGGAGAGAGTGTGGGAGATGTGAGGTTGTCTGTGTTTGAGTGTCATACAGCTTTAGCTTTTTCTTTACTCTGTTTAGCGATTGTTGCAGTGATTCTTCTCATTGCAGGTTTGTGTTTCAAATTCAACGTTTTGTGGTATTTAAAGATGACCTGGACCTGGCTAAGAGCTAAGAGGAAGCCAAAGCTGAAGAAGGGAGAGCTAGAGTTTGATGCTTTTGTGTCCTACAGTGAAATGGACTCTGGGTGGGTTGATGCACACCTGATCCCAGAGCTTGAGCAGGCTGAGCCTCATCTCCGGCTCTGCCTTCACAAGAGAGACTTTATTCCCGGAGGCTGGATCCTGGACAACATCATGGATGCCATAGAGAGGAGTCACAGAACACTGTTTGTCATCTCTAAGCATTTTGTAATGAGTGAATGGTGCAAGTACGAGCTAGATTACACTCATTTTAGACTGTTCGATCATAACGAGGACACAGTTGTGCTGATTCTGTTGGAGCCCATAGACAAAGATAGCATCCCTAAAAAGTTCTGTAAGCTGCGGAGGGTCATGAACTCCAGGACGTACCTGGAGTGGCCTGATGATGACAACCAGATCCCTAGATTCTGGCAGAGCCTGAGAACAGCTATTATGAGACCTGAGACAGATGATACAAACTTTTAAAGAGACACTGTGGGCTAATACAGGGCGACTGTGGCTCTGTTGGTAGAGCCGGTCGTCTCTCAAGCGGAAGGTTGGGGGTTTGATGCCCAGCTCCTGTAGAAACATGTCCGATGTGTCCTTTGGCAAGACAATTAAGCCCAAATTGCTCCCGCTGCTTATTCGGTGGCATATTCATGTGTATTAATGGGATTAGTTACTTTTGATGGTAGCAGCCTCTGCCATCAGTGTGTGAATGGGTAGGTTTGACATGCGGTGAAAAAAGCGCTTTGAGTAGTCAGAAGACTAGAGAAGTGTTAATCAGAATTAGAATCAGCCAGTGCATTTGACTTCCTCATATAGATGCTCCCAAAATAAATAAAAATGCAGTCAGAAAATACAACTAGTATTGCTCTTTTGCTCTTTCATTGCAACTGTATTAAGGGTTAATTGTCCAGCAGCTTGTACATGTGCCAGCTTATTGTAGCAACAGAACTGGATCTCTTGGGTATCCATTACTCAAAGTTTATGTTAACAATCTTTTTTTATTTCATTTCACAACATTACAACACCTGACCTATACATTTAACTGAGATGCTTTTAGGGATGCACAAGTGCTCCATCATGGTTACCCTGAGACCAGTTTCTGTGTACTTTTGATCTACTTTTTATTTTCAATTTTTTATGAACAAAAAAAAAAGGTGTAGGGTGAAAGTAAAATGTTGGATATAGTTGAGAGTATGTTAAATGTAAGTTAAAAAATGGTTGACAAACACAAATTATCCTAAAAGAATTCCAGAGAAACTGATCATCATGAATACAATTTGAAACGCTGTGTACATGATACATTTAGTTTATATAAACAGCTGTACTTTGGTTTTCTAATGTATTTGTTACCTACAAAAAAAAACTCTTTAAAAGCTACTTTATGAAACATTGATTTAACCTCTTTTTCTGTAATGATTTTGTTCACATTAAAAATATTTACTTTATAAACAAATAACCAAGCTGTGTGTGTGTGTGTATTTTGTCTGTTTTGTGTTAATGCACCATGTGTGACCATGTGCTTGTGTGCCTAAAAGCGTGTGTAATTCATTGTCGGCCTCTTGAGAGCTGACATATTGCTGCTATTGATCTTTAGTCCCAAAATCAACATGGAAGCCTGGATACTGATGACAGGCAGGCCAGGGGAGTCAGAATGTCCTGATAACACACACACACACACACACACACACACACACACAGCACAGAAATACACATTCATACTGGATGTGCATGTATAAACTAACGCACATGCACATATTTACAGAGTTGCAGATGTCGGTGGAATCTGTTATCACTTTCATCTGGGCATAGATAATAAAGCCTTGATCTGTGGGAGAAAGAAGGTCTGTAAAAAAAACAAACTACATGTCATTATACAGGGCTTTAGAAACAAACAGGAGCTGTACACATGAGGAATTTAATCCCACAAAGATGCTAGTGCAGAATTAATATACACTTTTTAACGTCCACATAGAGGTAAGGCTCCAGTTTTCCGTCAGCTGTGTATGAAGGTGTGGGTGATACCAAAGTACAGGGTGTAGCCCTCACAATAATTGAATCTTGAGGACATCAGAGCATGGATGACTTGATACTTGACAGGATGAACTTCTGAACTCTCGTGTTTCTGATCTAGGAGAAGTTATATTTATAGAAGTACAGTATATAGAAGTTGTATTTGGCAACTGAGTTAACCTGACCATCAGACTTCAGATTATTGTTGTATATTATTCCAATGTTTTTTTGCACAAGGTCTGATATATTTGGATAACTGGTTGAGAGACTGGGCAGCAGTGCAGGAGGAGCTGGGGGGAGGAAGTACGCTCTCCTTTGTTTTTTTGTTTTTTTTATGTGTATGAAGTTATCAAGTTCTGACTGCAATTAAAAGATTTCTGTTCCTGTCTGTTCTGAACCTGGAACCTAGGCAATGAGGACTCAGCCTTTGTACATGGGGTGTGGGCTAAACTGGCACCCCAATTCAGGATCATTTTGCCAAGCAGAACATTATAGATGGAAAACAGGAGGATACAGGCAATGAGAGTTGCAGAACACCCCATGAGAAAAAAATAAGTCGGGGTCGAAATGTTAAAAGTGACTAAGAAGGTCAAAACCATTACAAAGGGATGGTGCCGATTAAGAGCTGGAGTAAAATCGACAACTAATGTTTATGGGGAGAATAACTACTGTTTTGTTACCTTTTTTTTATTTCAATCCCTGAAAAACAGGCCAATCCATCCTTGTCCTTTAATTTCACGTAAAGTGCCATGCAAAGAGCTGAACGTCCTGTCTGTTTTATAGTTGATTCGTGCCTCATGAGGTTGTGTTGTTTCTCAGTCTGTTGTCAGTTCAGAGTGTCCCCCCTCTAAAAGTCAAAACAGCGTATGATTTGATTTCATGCTCTTTTATACTTTAACTAGCCTGATAACAGGGACGGAAAAAGCAATGATATGTGTGTGTTTGTATGTATAACAACTCTTCACTATCCCCTAGCAGACGATCCATTAGCTTTGGACCCCCTCCCCGGTTGCCCAGTGATAAAGTAAACAAAGTGTGTTTGACCAATACAGCATGCAAATATTTGTTCTGGAAGCGTCCTCCTCAGACAGGAGGCACACACGTCTGCGGTGATGTGCGGAGGTATATATACAGAGACGATCCTGACAGTCCTGTATTACATGCACACACATACAATCAGAAAAAGGGGATCCTTCAATGACCCTTGAGAGATCTTGCTTCTGACTACAGCAAAAATTCAACTGACCTTGCAGGTAGAGTGCATTTCTGAAGGAATAAAGCTTTACATTTGTATCCTTCTAAGAAACTGATTTCCAGTTCATTTCTTAACTTTTTCTCTTCTGTGACTTGTTCTCCAGTTAAAAAACAAACAACAAATGGCTGCAGGCGTGGTGACAAACTTCCTCGTCCAGGCCCAGACTCCATCCTACTTCCCTCTGTTTTTCAAACACTCTCCATCCCAGGAAGAAGAACAGATGCAAGAGGACAAGCCAGAGGCGCAGGACGAGGAAGAAGAAAAAGAAGTAGATGAGGACGAGGAGGAGGATGAAGAATCAGAAGCTCAAGAGGAAGAGGAGGAAGGTTTAGAGGAGGTTTTCTTAGATGTGACCAAGCAGCTTCTGAGGTTTGCAGACCTCATAAGCCATGATGTACAGCGGTATTTTGGTCGCTGCTCCAGCGATCAAGAGGCCTGCAACATCTACAGCGACTCGGTCACTGTGACAGGCAGCGGACGCCTGCGGTATTACGACGATCTCCTGAAAATCGCAAGAGCAGAAAGTCCAGAGGAGCAGGAAAACTGCTTTGTTACTTGTGCGGATGATCAGGAGGTCAGGCATCCAAAAACAACAGTGGTTTGGGGCCCCTGGCTGAACTGTTTGACCAAAGGGGTCAGAGTCAGGGCCGCGGGAGAGGGCGCCCCATGATAAAGCGACATCTCCCGCTTAGTTTCTGGACTGAGCCGATCCCATGCTGCTCTCTGCTTGTTGGTTTTAACACCTCTGATGTCGCACAAGCAAACAGTGAGAACCTTTTACAGGACAGCACACACACGGACGCTATCACACAGATCCACTACAACCTGCTGCCACACCACAACACACACACCCTGGACAGTGCTCAGCCAGACTTCAGCGACCTGCTGGCAAACTGGGATCCAAACCCGGAGCTCACACATACACTGACGGAGAGCACACACATGCAGCGCTAAACATACAAAATACTTTGACCTTTGAACTTGATATATATTTGTGAAAAGTTTAATAAAAAGAAAAGAAAATCAATATGTTTTGTGCAGAGTTCTTTACAGCTCTTGTAAGGAGTTTTTGGGTGGTTATCAAACAGGCGGGAATTAATACTGACGTCATTTACTGACCTAAAAAAGCAAAGAAGACCATTAGGGACAGGATTGATTATTTCTTTATAGTTTTTTTTTAAGTCTTAATGCTGCCTCAGGGTAGATGTCAGACTAAGTTATTCACTGTGCACTGCCCAAACAGCCCTTTCATTTTTTTTCTTTTTTTTCACTGCAGAAGTTCTCAGTGATGATACATCTGACTGTTATAAGAAAGCAGAGTGACATTTGTTGTTAAAAACAAACAAACAAACATGGGGCTTTAGGGGGCCTATTGGTTAGTGTGTGCACCCCACATACAGAGGCTTAAGACCTCTAAGTGGGGCAGCCCAGGTTTCGAAATCCAACCTGTGGCTCCTTGAGCATTATGCATTTACAGGACAAAAATCGAAAGATGAGAGCTACCACTTTTCCACAAGGGGTGCCAAAAATGACACGACGCGAAAGTTCCTCCGTTCATGTGAATCTTGGTTGAAAGATCCATTTCACCTTAATTCCAAAAAACATATTTCCTCCAACACCCCAAGTGCCAGTGATGCAGAATGCCTTGTTTTTGTGCATCAAGTTTTTTGAGATATTTACTTTCTTCAGATATAGACAAACAGCAGTGACAGTAACAGTAGGTTTCAGTGCCAACAATTACTTTTTATCGTTAAAGCAGCCCAGCAGTTCAGATAAACCACAATGTGGAGAGACATTTACAGGAGAGTCGGTTGAAAGTGTTTGCAGAGTAAACATAAAAAACAAATATGATCATTTAACAACAAAGGGATATGGAGATCCAACAACTGTGCTCTTGCTGTTTTTATGTAAACGGGGGTCTGATAAGGCCTAAAGAGAGCAGCGACACTGTTGAAAGAGAACATAAAAACAGTGTACACATGCTTCTATCTGGGTAATTTGTTTGGACCACAATTAAGTAAATGATCAAGAAACAGTTTCCAGAAAGGACAGGGCTAAAGAAGTGAACAGTTAATCAGCCAGTTTCCCTGTTTCAGAATCTACAGGGCAACATTTGATTGGCTAAGACTGGAAAAGTCCCCTGCAGGTGCATCATCTGATTGGCTTAGCAGGAAGGCCAGTTACATTTCGACACACACTCTTCATCTTACACAAATAAAGGTACGATCTCTCAGTGACACATGTACTGTAGGTGCTGTTACCTGAGCGGAGGTAGGCCAGAGCAGCAAACATGAGGACACGCACTCTTCTGTCCATAACCCTGCTTGGCCTGCTGCTGTGGGCCTCCTGCACCCGGGCCGATGACAATGACGCCAAAACTGACCAAGAGACCGAAATAGATGAAGAAAAGACATCATCAGATCCTCCAGGAGAGACGGACGAGGAGGAGGAAGAAGAAGAGGAGGCACCAAAGAAAGAGAAAACAGAGGAGATAGAGGAGGAGAAAGATGTCATGGTTCTCCACATCAACAACTTTGCCAGAGCTCTCAGTGAAACCCAGTTTTTACTTGTCGAATTCTGTAAGTATCACTGTACTATTGTTATTGTTACTATTGTTAAACAGCAATATTGTTTTTACACCAAACAACAACATATATTTAGCTAAAATAGAGTGCTCCTCATTTTCTTATTTACACATAATTAATGGAGTAATGCACAAATTAAATAGAAAAAGAAAATCAAAAAGTTAATTCCTGTGCTGCAAAAACTACAATGAAGCTGAAGAAAGCCACGGGAGATGAACCAAAGCCACATGAAACGTTAACTTAGTTAAAATTGAGTTATTTCGCAGAATGAATGTAAAACTGTTGCAGTTTTCTTTGATGTCTTTCTGCTCTACCCCTCAGAAGTACTGAGGCGTTATCATACAAATGTGCACACATGGCCTCTCCTGTCCAGATGTTCTCTTGGGTCAATTCTCCCACAGATGAGTTCAGCACAGCGAGGGCAGAGGTCCCAACAAGGAAACGAGCAAAGGGAATAAAGGAAAGCTTGTCCCAACTGCCACTGTTGCTATCAGCAGCTTATTTCCATGTTTATCTGGCCGTGACTGGCTAAGAGCAGAGGACTGTGGAGAGGCTGCATGTTGTTTCAGTCCAATGCTGCATAAAGAAGATAACTATATTATGTGTGTTTGTGTGTTTGTGCAGATGCTCCCTGGTGTGGTCACTGTAAAACGCTGGAGCCGGTTTACGCCGAGGCTGCCGGGAAGCTCAAGACGGAGGAACCTGCTGTGCGTTTGGCCAAAGTGGATGTCACAGAGGAGAAGGAGCTGGCTGATGAGTTTGACATCAAAGGCTTCCCCACGTTGAAACTGTTCGTCAAAGGAGATCGCAAGCAGCCTTTTGACTACACCGGTAAACATATACTACACACAGAGATACACTTTTCAGACACGGTTGAAGCTGCTGTTCAGCTTTTCAAATTCACAGCTATATGTGCCAATGTCACCACTAAGCCTGAGTGTTACCTGAACAGTCACCTCTGTGGCTAGAGTGTATGTGTGTGTGTGTGTGTGTGTGTGTCTGTTTGTTTGTTTGTTTGGGTTTACTTTCCCTCACTGAACCTGTCTACCAGCTTTCAGATCCTTCAGTTATATGATGATCTCATCTGTTCATTTTCTTGTGTCATTCGTTGTCTTTTAGCATCAAGTCAATACAGTTTGACTGAAAAATATGCTTCTTTATCCCAATTGTTCAGGAATTCAAAGTATATAGATACTATTTGTGAAGTGGACGTTTATGCTTTTCTTCAGATATGTTAAGATTTGCCGAGCTTAGTGTAAAGACCAATTTCAATCAATACTCACTGTATGTACAATCAAAACTCACTGTATGTACTGTAGGTACTTTGTTGTTAAGTGTAATACAACAGACAAATTAATAAATAAATAAAAACATTACCCAACCCATAGACTAGCTAAGTACTGGCTGTAGATTTATAATTACGGTATCACTTTACAATAATAAAATACAAACATAAGAAAGTGATTTTCTCAATAAACTCCAAGCAGGAAAGGGTAAATACTCCCCACAAATATTTTCCTTTCATTTATGAACTGGATCTTGTACAAAACCACGCTTCCTGTATGCTTCATATTAGCTTGAAGACACACAAGGAGTCTCTCAGCAGGAACTATCATTAACTTTAGAAATTAAAAACAATCACTATAGTTATTAAAATGTAATGGTGGCAGTTTTTTAACTAGCAAGTAGGCCATGACAGTTGACTCTTTGTTCAGTCTCGATGCTAAATTAAGATAACAATCTGGCTCCAGCATCAACGCCCACAGGCGAGCAATATTTGTTGAACTAAGAGCATGCAGGCTAGCTGTTTCTCTCTGTTTAGGGCATTTATTCTAATCTTGGCTAACTGGCTGCTACGCTTCATTTTTTTGCGCACATAACGCATCAATGTTGTCATCTAACGACAAGAATAAAAGCACATGTTTGACTATTTCCCAAAATGTTAAACTGGTCCTTTAATGCTGTTTTATAGTCCAGTCAAGTTTCACTTATTTGTCAAACACATTTAAAAACAACAAAACCAAAGCAATTTTAATGAATAATTGTCATAAGTACCTACAGTAAAGCACATTTACAGTTCAAATCATGACTTTAAATGCCATGTCTGAGTCATAGTGTGTATAAAGTATAATCGTGTAACTTACATGTTTAGAGTTTGTTGTGTGACTTGTACATAAACACACCTCAGCCTAATCGGTCACACAACAGCATTTTAATTTAATTTAATTCACTTCTTAACCTGTTTTAATCCCAAGTCATATTTATTAACACACATGAAAGAACTGTTGCATAACTTGATTTGTTTGTGTTGTGTGTTTTTTTTTTTTTTAAGGTAAGAGGTCATTAGAGGGAATAATCCAGTGGATGAAGCGTCGCATGGGCCCTGGTGCTGCAGTGCTTGAATCCACCGACTCTGCAGCTCAGTTTATCGATTCCCATAACATAACTGTTGTGGGATTCTTTGAGGTATGTGTAGCTTAATTTATCTGTCTCACTAAATAAATCTTAAGATTGTATTCTTATGTTAAAATGTTGATATTTGTGTCAGAATCTGGAGAGCGAGGCGGCCAAGACGTTCAAGGAACTCGCTTTAGATGTTACTGACACTGAGTTTGCTCTGTCAGCCAGTCCTGAGGTTTTCCAGAAGTATGAGGCGAAAGCCAACACAGTGGTGCTCTTCAAAAAGGTATGAATAGTTTTGATACTAAGTAAAATACACAGTCATTTTTATCACAGAAAGAAAAATCCCTTGTACAAGGAGTCATGATGTTAGTGTTGCTGCCATCTAGTGTTTAGAGGAGGTGCATATAGAAAGACAATTATGAGCCCTCACAAATCGACATATTTGCATATTTCTCTGTCACATCTTAGCCTGCTTTGTTTACATTTAGGGGTTTAGTTCGACTTTATTTGAGTAGTCTATGTTTGAGAGTGGGAAAGTACTGTTAGTGTGGAGATTGAGATTGGGCAGAAATGTATTTGATTTAGCTCCTTCAAAATATTATATTGAACTTTAAGATTTAGATTGAGGGCTTTTGTTTAGAAGAGGGACAAGGCTTAAGCAACGTTCATTTTTATTATCTATATATAATATGAGGAAATAATTGTTTTAATCATTATAATAGGACAGGTCAGGACAGTTACCAGGATCACCAGGTCAATATGTTATTTTGTGTTATGTCATAATTTGCCAAATCTCTCAAAGTACCTGTGAAGTGTTGAGTTACATCTGTGTACATTTTTTTTCCCCATGATACCTAAGGTTTCTTGTGTGTGTGTTTTGTTAGTTTGATGAAGGCAGAGCAGACTTTGCGTTGTCTGAAGATGGGACACTGGACAAAAAAAATCTGATCGACTTCATCAATGAAAAAAGTCTGCTGCTGATCATCCCATTCAGCCAAGAGGTAAAACGCACACATATGTAGACAAATAAAAATGTTTACAAACTAACATAAATCCAAAATTCTATTCAAATGATAATCTCTTTTTATTTCAGATTGCAGATAAGATCTTCTCCTCCAACATCCGCCTGCACAGTCTGTTGTTCATCAACTCATCTGTGGACAGCCAGACGTCTCTGATAGAAGAATCCAAGGCTGTGGCCAAAAAGTTCAAGGGCAAGGTAATAGAATGATCCATAGCAATCTGTTTGAGAGTGTCTTTAGAAATAATGTATCAACAGAATCACATAAAACTTCATTAACCATTATTGCTTTTGTCTTGTTTTTTTTGTCCCTTCTGTTTTTCATAGATGCTATTCATTTCAATAGATGTGACTGAAGCTCTTTCTCATGTGCTGAAATATTTCGGCGTGTCAGAGAAAGACGCCCCAACTTCACGCATTGTCAACATGGAGACAGGAAAGAAGTTTGCCATTGCTTCTGGGGATCTGACAGCAGAGTCACTGGGAGAGTTGTGTCAGGCTGTTCTGGATGGCACTGCTAAGGTAACACAGACACACATTGTTTAGCCCTGTCTAAAGGTGACTCAGACACAACATGAAAAAAAACACATTTTCCCAAGTCCCAAGCAGCCACAGAAACTCAAATTTGATCTTATAAATAAAAGATTATTTAAATTTTAAAAAATTGTATATCAGGTTACATTTACATATCATTCCCTCAGGAATTAACTTCAAGGTGAATCAGGGCCAACATTACAGACAAAACAAGTCTAATGGAGAGTTTACCGAAATGGCCTAACCTGAAAATCAAATAAACCCAAATACAATCAACTTACCTCCTTAACTTTCAAAAACAGGAGAAAACAAGGTTAAATAAACTGGCGATTCACCCCTATATCTCCTAAATTCTAAAATGAAGCATAGGAAAGGGGAGATATGTGACTGTGTAGTTTTTAAAGAGTAGTTCTTCTAGTCTATTAACATATTATTAATGTTTTAATATCATATGTAAATTTCAACATGGATGAAGTTAATGCTGTTGTATAGTCTAGGGGGGCAGTAGCTCAGTCCGTAGGGACTTGGTTTGGGAACCGGAGGTTCGCTGATTCAAGTCCCGGTGCGGATCAAATCTGGAAGTTGGTCTGGTAGCTGGATAGGTGCCCTTGAGCAAGGCACCGAACCCCCAACTACTCTGGTGCACTCTCTGCTTAGCAGCTTTTTTAAAAATAAATGGTATCAAGATCAAAAAAAAAAATAGTTGTTATGTGATTTACTGTATATTATGTTTCTCTGTCTCCTGCCCAGGGACTACAGATGTAAATTAGCTATAGCTAACTCTGGTAAAGCTAAGTGGCTGTACACTGTCCCTGTCAAAATAAGCCAATAAATTAATAAATTAACTCGTTGCAATACCTTCAACATGCTCATTAAATAAGGAATGACTTCCGTTGTAGCCTATGACCTGCTGAAGCAAGAGATCACCTCCTGTGATTGGCACTCAAACAGAGAGCACATATACTGATGAATCCAACAAAGCCAGTCTGAGGCAAAAAATAAACCTCAATACAACTAATAACAACCACAGATATAACAACATTAATACACATGTTTCATATTTAGTCAAACAGCAACAATAAACCCAAAATCTTGTGTTGTGTTGCAGCCCTACTTTCGTTCTGAGGACATCCCAGAAGACTGGGACAAACTACCGGTCAAGGTTCTGGTGGGGAAAAACTTTGAGTCTGTCGCTCTGGACCCGACCAAAAATGTCTTTGTGGAGTTCTGTAAGTCTGTTTATCTGCACTGTCAACAAAAAGGTCAAACTGGAACATTCATTTCAAATGTCTGGTTTCCCTTTCTAAATATTGTACAACACCAACACAACAACAATTTCTTTATATCAATATTTTTTCATTAAAATTAGATTTAAATTGAATGGGTACAACCCCCGAGCTTCCCAGGTCACACTTTAGATTGTGTATAAGAAAAGGGTGTAGTGTAAGAGCCTTAAATTTGCATTCTTTGTGAATGCCAGTATGGAGCAACTCCACTAGTTGCGAAAAGAAGTCTCATGGTATAAAACCAGAAAAAACTAATAATTACCTTTTCAGTGAATTACGTATTTGCAGATATATAGCTGTTTGACCCTCTAACATTGTTTTTGTGTGCTCGCGTGTGTCTGCAGATGCTCCATGGTGTGGACACTGTAAACAACTGGCTCCCATCTGGGATCAGCTGGGTGAAAAATACGCAGACAATGACGACATCATCATAGCAAAGATGGACTCCACAGTGAACGAGGTGGAGTCTGTTTCTGTTGAAAGTTTCCCAACGCTCCAATATTTCCCAGCTGGTGAAAAAAAAGAGGTACTCACACATACACTCATAATTCCAGAGATGATTTATTCGGGGATTTATTTCATCCTGTCCTGTAATTTTCATTCTTATTCTCCTGTTTTGTTGTCCTGCAGGTGATAAACTACACTGGAAAGAGAGATCTTGAGACCATGTCTAAATTCCTGGATAACGGAGGAGTGTTGCCTAAAGAGGAGAGTGATGAAGAGGATGACGATGACTTGAATGATGATGACGATGATGATGATGGTGGTGCTGAGGAGGAAGAGAAGAAGGATGAAGACTCTGATGATGACAGCAAGGTTTGTATTTTTACCACTATGTATTATTCTCATCAAAATGAATCTACTTGACTCACCATCCTTCTATCAAATGTTTCTCTCTGTAGGAGGCTGATGAGTCTGAAGATGGATCAACCGAGAAGACATCTAAAGATGAACTGTGATGTCCCTTTGGTTTCCAGCCAATCGGGATCAACCTAGCATCTTTCAATTTTTTCATATTAAAATGAAGTTGGTTTACAAACATACATGCGAGTTCCACACATGACTCATTAAACAGGCTTACAGTAATGGGTGTCCTCATTCTTATATATTTAAACAACACAACTCTATATAACACATACTCCCTTTTAAAAATCTGACATAAACTCAATAGAGCTTTCTATAGCCTACTATAAATGTAAATTACTATAAATAAGTTACATTTGCTTCCTAAGACTTTTTTTAAACAGAAATTAATTATGTGTTGCAGCCGGAAAACGCGAGCAGTCTCTGAAAGGCTGTTTCACTTGTCTTGTCTATTTATGCATTTAACAAAGAACCCAGTACCTTCATTCACTCTGCCTACGCCTTTTTTCAGCTGCTGAATAAACACAACAGAGTTCTCGCTCACTCCCGAGCATCACAACAACATTTATTTTCTCTAAACTCCTGCATGTCACTGTTTCTCACTCACTGACACCACCGTGTGGCGTAAATAAAGAATTTCTAAATGACTAATACAAGTTTGTGGGTCCCTAATAACAACGCAATAAACATCAACGTTCTCAATGGACCTGTCACATAAGTTTAAATAAATCAGTATTGTGTAATGAGATATATTGGCACCATAAAAGTCAACATAATCATTACTTTAGCAATTTGAAAAAAAAAGGAACAAATTACAGAGTAGGAAGAGATTGTATTGAACTGTGAAGAAAGAAGTGTGGATAGAAAGAACAACAAAGTTGATACAGTGAAGGGAAAAGAGCAAGATGTAGGACAGAAACAAAGTGCGTGTTTCATATTCCTGAATGAAATCTGCAAGACAGACAAACACATGCTGGTCCAAATGATGACTGAGAATAAATTAGCTCAGTTTGTTGCCAGAAAAAGCGTCATGTAGTATTTGAGAGAGGATGAAGGAGAGAAAAGGTTCAATTTGAGTATTCAAGATAATGTCAAATTGTTTGAGAAGAGAAAGAACATAATCGTTTTTTATTTGCCAGACTTATGCTGATTTCACTGTGGTAATAAATGTGCAAAATAAAGATGTATAAAAACAGCTGTCCCTCACTCAATGTGTATATGTGTTTTCCTCAAGGCTTTGAATATCCCACCAGCTGAGCAGACAACCAAAACATTTCTTTGTCTGCAAGGTTGGTGATTGTCTTTCAAATCAAACTCTGCTAAGTGTTTTTTAAGTTTATTTGTAAGTCAGGCATTAGCTCCTCTTCAGTTTAGACAAAATTGTTATTAGGATTGAATTCATCCGTTCTAGTGGACAAAGTTAATACTTAATCTAATCTAATCCAATCTAATCAATAATTAATGAGTGGTTAATGATATAAATATGTTGATACATACATACATACAGTACATACATCTGCCGATACTGTTTATATTCTGTGTATACTATCTATGTATATAGATAGTATACATGTATATACAGAGAGAGAAAAAACTATTTATAGATATATATTATAGTTATACATCTATAATGAAAAAAGTCCATTAACACTTGCTCAGAACATATGTCGAGATTGATGCATCATTTGATGCAGAAAAGATGTTTTGTAAAGTCACATGTGTTTTCAAAATAACATTGAAAATAATGAATTTATGGTTCAAATTAACTCCTCTGGTGCATTGAGGTAAGCCCAACTATATCTAGCTGGTAGTGCTCCACCTCCTGCATCAGTTCCACGTCCCTAAAACCAATCTGTGCTGCCAAGAGAATAGCATACTTAGGCCCCAGCCTATACCTGCTACCTGGTTTAGCATGTACCCAACCTCCATGCCTCTCCCTGTGGGTGTTGGGCTACAGGGTGTAATACATATTTGTATTTATAAATTAAGTAAATCAAATATATGAAAATGTGAATAATAATTTCATATATTTGATCAAATTTTTGTTTTGACCTAATTTGTATTTCGGTTTGTAGTTTTATTCCTGTATGTATTTAAGGAAAAACGAGACATTACAACCTAATATGTTGTCAGTTTCGGTACTAAAAATGAAGTTGATCAGTTTGTCAGAAGAATTTAGAGTAGAGGAACAGATGTCTGTTGTGAAAGATATAAAGTTCTGAGCTAAGCCTATAGACGAGGTAAACAAGTACACAGAGCTGGTTTTCAGTCTGTGGAAAGTAAAATGTTTCTAATTCCAGAGGAAAACAGGTTCAGCAGGTTGTGATGTCACCACTGTCACCAATATGGTACGTGTTCCCTCCTGCCAGACAATCTTCCTAAACGTCCCAGGTAAGACCACTGCTTTCATCTAACTCAACTGTGAATGACTGAAAAGAGGAAATTTAATACCCTGCAGGCAGTTTTTGGAGTTTATTCTATGTGGATTGCAAACCTGTACTTGTTTGGACCAGATACCCAGGGCCGGACTTCTTCTTGTTTATATAAGAGAGGAGTCTTGTGTGATCTGGAATGACTCAGCTACTTTCAACAAGTGTGTTTAATGGCTACAGTTGGTTTTAGGTATCATATTGGCAGGGAATCACAGATTGAGGTAAAGCAATGCAGTGAGATGACATGATTCAGGATTACTTTGTTACATGTTAGGTATAACTCTATGATATTTTGAACCTTATCGTGTTATTCTAAGAATCTATGGAGATGATGACCTAGTTTAGACAACAAACATACTTTAACTACTTTAATAAGAGTTTAAAGATTTGATATCTCTAAATGATATCTGTTCTTTTGTATAAACTGTGCTCTGAAGTTTAAAAATATAAGTTATCCAACGCAATACTTAGTAGCAGACAAAGAATTAAAACATCTTTTTTTTAAACAGTATCACATTTCACTTGGCAACAGTCACACAGTGTCACAGTGTGTTAATGTCAGACTTAAAAACTAAAAACAAATACTCTGTCTTTAAATGTCTGCGGCGCCCCTCACAGTTAAAACTGGTGAAAACAATATTATCTGAAGAGTGCCTCACTATTGTCTGATTTATAAAAATGGAGGGAGGAGGTGACACCAGAAATTCTCACAAAAATAAGAGTATAAGCGCATCAGACTCAACTACAGCAATCAGATTCAAGTCTTTAGCCTCTGTATGATGGCTCCATACTGTACAATTCATTTATATTCAGAGTCAGCCTTGTAATGTATCCAGGTACATTTAAGACAAACTGTTGTGTTGTGTGAGGTTTTGGTCTTGACAGTAAATTCATGCTAGAGAGGAGCTGTGTCAAAAAGTTTTTGACTGGGATTCCCAAAAACTTTTTCACCTTGCATGTCCAGTGACATCATAAAAAACAGGCGGGTTTAGAGAACCTTTTTCATCAAGGAGAAAGAAAACAAGACAGATAGCAGTGACAAAACAGCACAGTCACTGCCATCCCCTTTCAACAATAAACCACAATTACCCCTAGTGGGATTAATTAATGAATGAAAAAGTATTACATTAGAATTTATTAAACCTCTACAGATTCTGCATACAAATTCAGAATCTGAAAGCACAAGGCCAACTGTTGGTCTCTGAAGTGTTCTGTTTTTTGGTTTGTTGTATAAGTAGATAGAGAGATAGACTAAATTTAGTACACCTAATTAGAATTAAGAAACATTATATTTAAAAATAATAATAATAAAGCTAATTTCTGAATTAAAATGTAATAAATGTGTTGTCCCAAGACAATGATGTAAAACAAAACTTATTGCATGTTGTCAGAAAAAGATCATCTTTGACAGCTTTCGTCTCACTGTTCTCATTGTCTTCATCAGTGGGTTGCAGTTTGATCACACTCAGTGAATGAGGAATGATTGTTTTGATCTTCTCTGCTGAACACTTGCTGTTGTCACCGGAGCTCATTATACCTGTGGATGGAAAGTGTTCAATACAGCTGAACACTTGTGAAGACAGTTATTTAAAAAAAAACCCATTAAACTCTTGTTCCTTGTTCTGTTTCATAACTTTGCATCAAATTGAATTTAAAGGGTTATAAATCCAGGTCTGAAATGATAACCTCTTAGAAGGAATCAAGCAGAAAAAAAATGCAACACAAAGAAGAAAAAATCTGCGAAAAGTCAAACAAGTGTGCGTTTGTGTTTGCATTACATGTGAATGATCTGCTGTCTCCTCTCTTTAGCTTCCTGTCTGACTGGATGATCCCCTGATGGAACCCCCTTCATATGAGGAGGCACGTCTCCACCCTCCTGCTCTGCACATAGAAAGATACAACATCCCCCCTCCCCCTTCATATCATGTCTCCCTCCACTCTCCTCCAACACCTCCACCCACCTACGGAGAAGCAGGTAAAAGAAATCTCCCTCATCTTTTTAATACCACTTCTATCACTGTCAGGTGATTTGAAAACAACCTCTCAGTCTTTGTTTTGGCTCTATGAGCTTAACTTTCTTACTCTGTTTTTAAAAAATAATCCCATAAGAATACCCAGACACAGCAGACTTTGTGTTAATTAAGTTAAGAACTGATGTTTCTGGGGCGATGGTTGAGCTCGGTTAGTAGAGGATGCGTTACATATTACAGAGACTGCAGTCATTGATGCATCCCTCGCAGAGTCGTATCCCAGCACGTACCCCACTCTCTCCTCCCTACATTACCTGTCTCTATTCAGCTGTCCTCTAAATCAAGACCAAATGTCCCAAAATTAATAATTAAAAAAGTTACGTTTCTTTTGCCTCTTAGTCAGGTGACGGAAACCTGCCATGTTTGCTTTGACACACTGTTTTGTTGTTTGCTAACTCAAAACACTGAATACTGGTCAATGTCAACTTTTTTTTGTGATGCATTCATGAGTAGATTTAAATGAAAATAGTCTTATTCTACTGGAGTTGAGTTTCTGTTTCTTGGAGACTGTTTGAGGGTATATCTATCATCCTTTGTGTTCAGCAGTAATTAAGAATAATTAATTTGTTTGCTTGATGGAAAAAAGTTAGAAACCGAGCACAACAAAGCAAAGTAAAAGAAAAAAACGGAGAAAAGAATTAAATTAGTCAAATCTGAGTGAGGTTTGAGCCAGACAATTAAAGTGAACCCAAGATAAAATGGAACAAATAATTAGTTCGAAAGTTGTCATTATAGAAGGCACACATGAAGCTGTTTTGACTCCAAGCCTTGGCCCCTTGATGTATAACCCCACGCTCTCCCCTTTTTTCCCACTGTCTTCAGCTGTCCTATCAATAAATGCAAAAAGGCCCGAAGAAAACTTAAAATAAAAAGGTATTTTGTCTTTATAAAATGTAAATACGTGCATACTGTAAGCACTTTTTCTTTCTAGTAGTAGTCCAGCAGAATCCATTTCCTGTCCTGACTCCACCTCGGCTGCCAACTGCTGTGACATCACCTTCACGAAACACTGGAGTCATAATCCATCCAACTACACAAAGTATAAATCTACTACACTCTGAATTTGAATGCATATCAGACAAACTGAGAAGGTAAATCATGACTCATTTGCATCTTGTTTTCTTCCTGATATCCCCCCCCATCCTTCTTGTACCCTCTGAATGCCAGTAGGTGTATCATCGTCTGTCGGCGGCAGACAAACGCAGCCAGTCGTGACCCAGCCGCAGCCTGTTCCTGTCGCATTGACATATCTGGGAGACGTCCCAGCCGTGGTACGCTGCCCGCACTGCCACCGTGTTGTCACCACCAAAGTCACATACCTGCCTGGGACGGCTGCCTGCTGCATGTGTTTACTTCTCTTCATGATGGGGTGAGACACAAACCCACACATGCATGATTTCTAACGTCAGTGTGCTAAACAAAGCTTCATCTGTGTTTTCTCTTGGCATGTGTGTGTGTGTGTGTGTGTGTGTGTGTTTCAGGTTTATTTGCGGTTGCTGTCTGATCCCGTTCATGGTACGTAGCCTACAGAACGCACATCATTCCTGCCCGCATTGTGAAAACCATCTGTACACAAACTCAAGATGACACTGTCAGGATTAATACGACCCCTCTCCTCCAAGGATCAACCCAAAATCTCATAACATTCATAAGATATTTTTGTCGCAGTATGGATGAATAAAATGTATGTTGTACGATAGGAATGCAAACAGTTCACTGCATAAGCTACTCAGTGAAGTCAAAGTGAATATAGGTGATAAAAAATATATATTATTTAAGGTTTTAAAGGAAATATTGATCAAAGTGAAGGACAGATCTGTAAATTCAGCTGCAGGAGCTTTTTAAAAAGTGTCCTCTGAAATTATATACACTTACTCTAAGAAGTATGGTCACTGTTGTCACAATCTTGTAAATTCAAGGATACCCTTGCTTGCATTTATGGCAGTCAGAATTGCTGTCTTTAATATGTTATGCCTAAAAACATTTTATTTTCACTTTTTATTACTAACCTTCTTTTCAAATACCATCTCTGACTGTTGAGATGGTCGAGTTTTACAATTCTGGAAAATGTAAGAGTTCTTTAAAGAGCGGACAGGCATTTCTTGGACACTGAAGAAACAAGGCAAAACACTTGTTGCACTATTGAACTTTTGTAAGAATGTATTTTGGGGTTTATAATTCAATGACAATGTCAATATCAGAGTAAGAGAGTTTGTTTTAGTTGTGCACTACTTTACCAAATGGGTGCAGGATATTCTACAACAACAGCTAAACCAAAGTGAACAGAGCAATTTTTTGGCCTAACCTTTTCCAGCTACGGGATTTAGTTCATAGTTTACATATACAAAAGCATTTTCTATATTTAATATCAAAAGATCAAACTGTGTTACTTCTAAATGCATACAAAGTTACATTTTATGTTTACACTGATAATCAAATGGGCAACTTACCAAGCTTGGATTTCAGACATGATTTTATTTGTTAAAGCCAACAACAACACATTGACTTGACATGTTATCTTTTCTGTCTGAGTGTGCACCGAATGCACCACTGACCTCTCCTGCACTATACTATTTACTTTATTGCACATTTTAAGCTGGCTTATATAGCACCGTTATCATTTTATTAAGTAGATGGAAGTGAAATGACCTGATACAATTCCAGTTTGAACTTTGCCCACCTTGAACATGAGCTTCATGAACACCTGTGTGGCTGTGAAGCTCCTTTAAGGTACAAACTGCTACAACTCAAATGAACTGAAAGAAATTTTAAAACAAAGAGGTGCACAAGACGATAGCTACGTTAAATATTTTAATTGTAACTGCAATTTTTTTTTTTTTTACATCAGTTAAGTTTAAACCGGGTTATAATTCGATTCATGCAAAGTAAATAAAGATGTATGATTAAGAATTTTTAATGATTTCAGCTAAATCATGAATTGCTAAGTACATCACTTACAGGATGTAAAAACATGGGCCTATGAAGTTGTTTCGCTAGTGATATAAACTTAACATACTGTGATATAAACCTGCTGTAAATACCCGGTTATTACCTGAAATATGATGCTCAGAATGCCTGCTAAATAAGTCTTTCTTTTTTAAGATATAAATGTTGTCATTGTATTGTTATTTATCATTCTATCATGTTGATAGAGAAATAAAAATGTGTCTTGGTTACTCTAACAAAGGTGTGAGGTTGTTTTATCTTATGAGTGACTCCTACATGTGTGAAAATAGGCTTTAGTGACAGAGCATTATGAGCGTGTGTGTTTCTTTGACCTTGTTTAGGCTAACTGTGTTAGCACAAGGGCATTTAGATATTAGTGATATACTTGATAGGAACAGCAGCCAATAGCAGAGATACAGCAAAGCTCAGAGAGCAAAGTTAATCAGCAACAGGCAGGTGGGTCTAGTCGGCAGATAACAAGAGCATTCACAACTACAAGCTCAGCACTGATACAGACACACACACACACACACACACACACACACACACAAGACTCTTAATATATTCCCTCCCTTCCACCCGTCCCTCCACACCTACCTGAAGCTTCTTTCAACACCTGATCCATCAGTCTGAACTGTCATGAGGACACTGTTGCTGCTGGGGGTGTGGGCTTTGTGTCTATGTGTGTTTGTCGCCGCTGACACACAACCTAAAGGACAGGAATACGACTTATCCCCTGAGAAGGATGAGGTTTTACAGCTGACGAAAGGAAATTTCAAACGGGCACTGAGAAAATATGAGCAGCTGCTGGTGTACTTCTGTAAGTAACACACAGAACAGGTTGACCCACATGTTTGTTTGAGATGTGAAAGACACAACAACAAAGAAAAAAGAAAGCTAAACAGCCACTTCACAGCAGTCGATTTATTATTTTCTTAATTCCTACTCACTGAAAGTGCGTCTGTTTTTCTGTGTGTTTGTGTAGCTGCTCCTCTGACTGTAGAAGGCCATCGGGTCTCAGAGGCATTTGAAGGAGCTGCTGCAGAGCTTCAGGGCTCGGAGGTCAAACTGGCAGTGATTGATGTGAAAAATGAGAAGAACCTGGCTGAAGAACTAAATGCAACAGACCACACTATCAGGCTGTACATCTCTGGAGATAAACACAACCCTGTGTCCTGTCCTGGTATGTGCAAAGGAAACAAAACAGTACATGATTTGTATGTATATTCATTTAATTGAATGGCTATGGTAAGCAATTAAAGCGCATTTGTTTGTGTATAGACATATATTTATTTCTAAACATTGCCAAATTTGTAAATTAAATTAGAATGTTATGCCTTTTGAAGCAAGGAATAATATCCAGTACATCCCGCATATCATCAGTATAGCCCCACTGTAGGTTACTGGCTAACAACATTAGCCAAAATCTGTCTGTTAGAATCCTGCTGTAACCTATCTTTTTACCTCATGAAAAAACACTTAAATGTGTTGGCTAGTTTGCTACTTGAGTAAAAGGACAACTTGTTTTGCTTCTGTTAATGTACCGATTAAACTCTTGGGTTATAACATTTCACTTAACACATACTTTATTCTTAAAAACAGCCACACTAGCTGTTTCCTGACCCTAAGCTAACCACCTCCATGGCTCTAGGGATAGCTAAATCATGGAAATGAGAGTCGAATTGATCCTTTTTTCTAACTTGTGGCAAACATGCAACTAGGCACATTACCTAAAGTGTTTAACTTTTTGCGTAATATCCATAAAGCTGTTTAATCATTTGTACAATTCTACAATTCACTTAGAAGACGCTTTTATCCAAAGCGACGTACATCAGAGAGTAACAACAACACAAGCAAGGGTCTAGAAAGAAGTAAACAACGTCAGTACTGTAAGTTAGAACCAACAGCTTTCACAGGTGCTGACAGGCAATGCAGAGAGGCATAACACAACATCGACAGCTGTTCTTGAGAGTTCTAATCAGCATGAAAACCATCCTAAATAACATCATTGTCATTATCAAACAAAAGCGCAAACCGTCATTATCATCATGAAAATCATCATCAGTATCATTAAGTGTGAAGATGTTCATGAAAGAGCTGGGTCTTTGTAGTTTGGCTACAGTATAAAGGGGAAAGCTGATTGGCTGGATTGTGGTTTAGTTCCTCAGAGTGCAGCCTCCATCTTGACCTGGCTGAAAAGGAGAGTGGGGTCTGCTTCGGACCTCATTACCGATCTGAGCCAAATAGAAGCCAGAGAGGAACTAACAGTGGTTGGATTCTTCAAGGTGAGTAAGAACAGTTTTCCTCAGCTCCTCATTGGTGTTGCAATTGTCATCAAATTGTCTGAACATCAGTTTTTTTTTTTTTTTTTTTTAATATGTGTGTAGGAGCTGAACCAGGAGTACATCCAAGTGTTCTACGCTGCAGCAACTGACCTTCCTGATGTTCATTTTGCTGTGACACAGAACATTGAAGTTATCAGCAAATATGGTCTCACATATGACACTATATTTCTGCTTAAAAAGGTAATTTGAATACATGCCAGGCACAAACACGTCTCTGATGAAATGGTATGTATGTTTCTGAGTACTGTGAATGTTGCCTCGTTCCTCAATACCTTTAAAAAAAAATTATGAAATGACGAGGAATAGGACTGGATTTAAATCATAAAACCATCAAATCAAGAAGAGGAAATGTATTAGATAGTTCAGAACTGGAGGTTCATCACTTCTTATCTGTGTGTGTGTGTGTGTGTGTGTGTGTGTGTGTGTGTGTGTGTGTGTGTGTGTGTGTGTGTGTGTGTGTGTGTGTGTGTGTGTGTGTGTGTGTGTGTGTGTGTGTGTGTGTGTGTGTGTGTGTGTGTGTGTGTGTGTGTGTTACCGTTTCTATGTTTGGCTGCTGCAGTCTAAGCTCACCCAGGCTTATAAAATGTTGCCTCAGACGGCTAAAGAGGAGCTCATCGTTTTTATCACCGTCTACCAGATGGATCCCGTCACTGAGTACACTGGAAAGGTACAGTTGAGTATGGATTCACATGTGGAAATGTTATGTGGCCTTCTTTTGTAATCAATTAACCGAGATAGAATACTTCTCGATATCTATACATTAATAATTTGTGTGATCTTTGTCGTACCCCCTTTTTCATGTAAATGTGATGAGTATCACAAAGATAAGCTTTTTCACCAGATTTTTAAATTTCCCCCTCACATTTAAAATCTCCACCCAGGGAGGGCAGCCTATCTGGCAAACAGACACAGTTAATGATTATTATTATTATCGACTGAGGTTTCAAGTCTACACCTTCTGAGCACTGTGTGTTACTTAAACAGATTAAGTAAGGGGAGTTGTCTTTCTATAACAAAACAAGCTGTTTGTTAGATTTGCATGGTGTCATATTTTAATAGTTACAGTGATACCTGTTGAAACATGAATCTGTATTGACATTGGGTCATATATGGAGTAGAAATGTGAAATCAATTTTGAAGTTGGGGCCTTCTTGACCTAGAAAAGGCAGAAAGTGTTTTTTTGGCTCGTGGATGAAAGACACCAAATCCCAGAATGCACAGCACCGCAGGCCACTCCCACTAAGGTCCTCTATTTACAGACATTTACTTCAACACATACAGCCGTTTCCTCAACTGATTCCCAGATTTCTTCCAGAAGGAATTGGTATCTTAGAAATTCCAGAAAACAGACTCTATGTCTGTGTCCATAGGCAAACAGTGAGAGCACCGACAGGCCGCTCATCGTCCTCACCGCTGCCGACAGGCTGGTCTTATGTCCCTACTGCAGCAGCCGAGACATAAGGCCTGCCTGTCGGCGGCTGTGAGGAAGCTGACTTTATTTTGCAGCTCGTAGAGATAGCCACAAACATCTGATTCGAGCACAAGACCTACAAAATTCCCTTCATCCATATCAGTTTGAAGTTGAAACATACTTTTATCAGCATTATCAGCTTTCTCCATAGAGCCTGTTATCACAGCTTCCAAGCAATATGGCGGACGTTAAGTTTCGTTTCTGGGAATGAGTTCCCACCCACTGATCTGTGATTGGTCTGTAGCTTCAGTGGTCGAAAATATGAGGAACTAGCGTTGTAGTTTCACCCTGCTAACCGCACTAGCTTCCAGTGACGCAAAATGATGATTTTTGTGTCATCAGAAGCTCCTTTTCAGACTTAGAAATACAAAGATTTCGCATCTCAGGGGGAAATGAGGGCGGGATGCACGACCATTTAAAAGTACTACCAGGTTTCTAATGATACAAAGCTTGATGCAAATGGGTGAAGTATCCCATAGGTCTCCTTTACTTCTCAGTACTTTGAATAGCCAACAGTGAAAACCGCTGAGAACATTAATGTTGATTTATAGAAAACACAACCGTATCTTAAATGGTTTCATGTCATTCTCTCTTGTAGTCAGCCCCTCAGATATTAACATCACCTGTGTTAAACCACGCTCTGCTGTTCATCAAAGAAAGTTCTGCTGATTTCAAAGAGATCCACTCTGCATTTCACAACACTGCAGAAGCGTTCAGACTAAAGGTATAGAGTTCAACGACACACACACACACACAAGAATGATTCAAACACCATCCTTCAAACACATTTTAGAATGATATTCTTGTTCGTCATTGGAGCACTTCAACTCTGCATGTGTGTGTTTCCAGATTTTGTTTATTTGGGTGAACGTTGAGGAGCCACGTAATGGCAGGTTGATGGAGTATTTCCGGGTTCGGGATTTTGAGGCTCCTCTCATTCGACTGGTCAACCTGACAGACCATATAACCTACCACCTGCCCTCTGAAACTCTGGACGCAGAAACCATTAAAACATTCTGCCAATCCTACCTGGAGGGCACTGCTAAGGTAACCAACACTGTCATCTGGTTGTGATACATAACTGGTTGTGAAATCGAATCCTTATATAAATGATGTGTTTGTGCTCATGTTAACATCACAGCCTAAGATGCAGAGCGAGGAGATACCTGAAGGATGGGAAGAGCAGCCGGTGAAGGAGCTGGTGGGAATGACACTGGAGGAAGTGGCCTTTAACCCCAACAAGACTGTTTTTGTCCTCTTCTGTAAGTCAATACTCCTTCATTTAAATACTGTCCAGGAAGCTTGGAGTTTATCATTTGCAGGTATAAACAAATCTGGGTTAATACCAGGGTTGGAAACTAGCACCCTCCACCCACCAAATGCTTGTGTGTGGTGTGAATTTGCTCTACTTACTAGCAACAGTGGCTGGTAAATATAATGAACATAACAGAGTGAGTTGTTACAAAAACAATGTCATTGAACCCCTGTCTTCTGCTTTTTCTGCTCTGACTTTGTGAGCAGAGTGATGCTGATACGCACGCTCACTGACCAAACGGCTCTACCTCCTTCTTGTGTCGGAGCAAGTTTCAGTGTTTACAATCATAGGCATGTGCTAACATGGCTTGGCTGAGAAGTGAACACGCAGCCACTTTCATGTTATGAAAACATCTTTCTATGGTTTCATGCGCTCACATAAGTTGAGTATCGTTTTGAGTATCAGGCTTGTTTTAGAGGGAAGGGTTGGTGGGTGGGGTGGGTGGTTGCGGTTGTCTCGCTAGAACATTGCATTCATAGGCGCAATTGTATTTCCAGCAGAAACCTTAAGAAGACTTTGAAGACTCTTCAAATAAGCTTATATACTTATAAACTGCAACTAAATCTGCCTCTGAGGACATGGCTGCAATAGCTCTAAGCATCAACCTGATAAACTAAAATAACTGGGGGGGGGGGGAGCAATCAGTATGGAGAATTTTTAGCACCTTTAAGCTCATTGTTTTGCTCCTATTAACACTATTAAAGCAGGCAACTGCTGTCGTCAAAAAGCTCTCATGAACCTTCTTCTCACCCAGAAACAAGAATCAGTAAGATACAAAACTAGAGCTAAATAGTGTAACTGTTTAACTGACCTTTATCAGTTAACCAGATATATGACTGCCTGTGATTGATAATGTTGCTATGGTATGCTGCATTTGTGAAAGACTGGTTGCTAAGACATCATCAGATAAAATGGTGGTATCAGTTGTGTTTGCATCAGCTTCTTACAACTCACATTTACCTTATTTCTCAATGGGGATCTCAAGCGGCAGTATTATTATGATGGTCAAAAGGAAGGTTACATCGTGTTATAAGTGCATAAGTTAAATGAAAGCAAGACTCACTGTATGTGCAACTGTTTCACACGTTTGTTTTGGAGAAAGGTCCAAAGTTGTTTCAGGAGTTATTGACAATAAAAAACTCTGTTGGGGAGGTGTGAGGACATGTTGACAATCCTTGCTTCCTGGGCTAAACTACTGTTATTATATCACTTGTTCACACCACTTGAACGTAGAGGCCCATACTGAATGTGTGTTTTAGATCTTCCTTACAGTAAAGCGTCCCACGCTGTGTTTCCTCTGTGGGAAGAGTTAGCTGAGGCCTTAAAGGACCGAGAGGACACGGTCATCGCTCGCATCGATGCCTCGGCTAATGTCATCAATATGTCGATGCTGGGCTCGTACCCATCTCTCTGCTTGTTCCCTGCTCTGTATGCTGAAAGGGTAAGCAGTCCTTTGGTTATTTTGCAGCATTTATCTTTATTGTCAATATTTTTCTGTTTATGATAATTTGACACAGTAGACATAAAAAATGTAGAGGGATGATTTTGGGGACATTATTTCCCTTATGAATTAAGAGCATACATTGTTTAAATTATAGATACATACAGTAGTTTAATAAATCCCTTTAAGTCATACCCATTAGAGAAGCAAATATTAGTAAAATAACTTATCCAAAGTTTGATGTTTGATATCCTATCCCTGTTCTGTTGGGTTAACAATTGCTGAGGGAATAATATTGTGTGTGATATCTGTGTTTCTATTAGGTGGTGGTTTACACTGGTAAAAGGAAGCTGAAGGACCTGATTAAGTTTATTGATGAAGAGATGGAGGAAGCCAAAAAATACAGAGTTCTGGTAAATTAACTTCCTAAATTCTCTGTCACACGAACAGAAAACATCAACCACCATGGTTTGAGTATGTATGAGCTTCCTTTTTTCTTTCTGTGATAAAAATAAACTTGTTTTTTTTGTGTCTGCAGGAGGATGAGGACAGGAGGAAGTACATGAAGGCCCTGAAAGCTGAAGAGGCAAAAAAAGTCCAAAAAATCAAAGAGGAGCTTTAATCCAAAAACAAAGAGAGTAGTGCAAAGTGTGTATGTGTGTGCGCGTGTGTGTTTGATACCTTTTAGTTGCATCTCTCTGAAACCAGATGGATTTTTCTACTAAATCAAGTTGTATTTAGCCGTCAGACATATCAAATCCAATAAAGTTTTTGATCAAAAACACAGAGGTTTAAAAGACATCTTTCATTTATTTCACTTCTTGGGTCTCTGTTGTCATATTTGATGTCAAAGGAGCAATATGTAATTCTGACACGTAGCATTTAAAATGGGTACTGCAGTCCATATTCAAAACATTGCTAAACCCCCGTATAAGGGCGAACAAAGGAGGAGGCTGGGGTGGGTGGGGCAAAGCTTTGTCAGCAGCAGTTACATGTTAAAAAAGATTCTAGACATGTTAGTCAAAATGTATGACAAAAGAGACACATCATGAAGGTTCATTTTGTTGTCATTTTTATTTTATTTTTGGGACTTTAGGGGCTCTGTACAAATTTGTGTGCCACACACATAGTGTGAAAAAAATAAAACTTAGCCAAAACAATGGACACCCATAACATATGCAACTGAGTATATAGAAATAACAAAGAAGTAAACAAAGGAAGAAGGAATTCAACTCTCAGAAAAACATGAAACAGACAATTTTGTGTAAATAACCAGAAAAACTATGAAATATGCAGGTGTATATTTGACCCTCCCTGTTTATTATTGGGTTACATTTACGTGAGTGACGTAGTCTTGTGATGATGCTACTATACTGTGAATCGTGTTGTGGAGAGGTTTAGGGACCATGGATAGCAGTAGGCTATAGCCCTCAAAAGTAGGCTAATTGAAAACGGAACTGGTTGGCTTCTTTTGATCATTAATTGATCATTGGTGGGTCTAACAAAATCTTTGTAGGGGTGCAGTCGACCGACCTAGCTCTAACCTGCCGCTGTTAATAAGATAACTTTAGATTAGGCTAAATGTAATCCAATAAAATAATAAGAAGATAGGCCTACTGCACTATTTTTTAAATATTGCCTGCCCTGAATTAGCCTATTGTATTGTGTGGCATTGGTAAGTTTATTAGCATTTCCCTTAATGAAAAAAATGGATACTGAAATAGAGACAAAGAGAAAGATAGAACAATAAAAATACAATTGCAAAACAATAGGCTACACACAATAAAAACGAGTTGAAAAAAAATCCATGGTTTTACATTAAGGATTTCTATGTAATGCCATAATGAGCAGACATAGTCTGTAGCCTATAGTCTGTATTCTGCGGTGCAGCGTGTTCAGCTCTCGGTGACGCGCTGTGACTTCACACGGAGGCTGGAGGAGGACGCCGCCGCTCCGAGCAGCTCTCTCTCCGTCTCCTCTTCTTTGTCAGCGACCGTCGGTGAAGCAGAAAGCCGGAGGGATGCAGCCAGCGGGCGCGTACGGCGCCGGGAAGGCCGGGAGCGTCAACTTTGATCCGGTCGCCTTCTTCACGCATCCCCGCACCATCCTCAGGCTGATGTCATGGGTAAGTGAGCATCCTCTGCAACGTAAAGGTTTCTATGAATGGACAGGCCTACCTGCAACCTGCTCTGTTTCATTCACATTGTCTTGGTATATCTCGCGCTTTGTTCATACACAGCCAGCTCATGATTAATATAGGATACTCCAGATTTTAAATTAAGATCTAACTACTGATGTGTTGTAGATCGATAAGGATGATCAGAAATCATGTGAGTGATGCTGCTCGAGCTTCAGCAGCAGCTTCTGATTACCATATGTTTATCTGGAGCCTCTTTGTGTCTAGATGGTGCTCATGTGTTTGATTAAAATGCCCGCTAGCCAGAATGTAACACCTCTCTGTGTAATGTCAGTGCAGCGGTGAGTCACCACACAGCGTTTAATTTGTGCCCTGAAGGAATATATAAGAAGTAATTCGTTTTTTAAAGGAGGCGCAGCTCAAAAGAGGGACAGAAACCTTCTCCCTGTCTGTCTTATAATTACATTTCATGATACATCTGCAACAAAGCACACCAAGCAGTGAAACATAACAAGGGAGGAGAAACAAAATCAAGTCAAAAAGAAGATATCTAAAGAAAAAACAGATACAAATTGTAACATGTCAGCACTTTAAACAATAATAATAAAAAAATAAGCATACATAGGCCCTACATGCTTTTCAAGAATTTACATTTAAAGCATCTGTACTCAACTACAAAAGTTACCAGTTACTTTTCAAATTCAAATAGCCCTTAAATGTATCACCCACAAAATGATTATGATTTTTAAAGGTTTAAGCCGCTGATAATGGTTGTTTAGATTGGGTTTAATTACTCTAACCGCAGCCTTAACGTCATGTGCTTTTAAATGCTTTAGTGATCATGTTACAATACACATCAAGACAATGATTTCAATAAATGTGACACAAAGCAGCTGAAATCAAAGTGCATCCTTCTAATTACGTGAAGAGCTTCAAAATCACAATCTCGTCGCTCCATGACCGTCCAGTGTTCACCAATGACTCAGGTTCATCTCGAGGTTTCTGCCTGTTAAAAGAAGTTTTTCTTTGCCACTGTTCCCAAGTACTTGACAAAGCTATTCATGTCGGGTCTCTAAATAACATCACAAAGAGAGCTGTCTAGACAGGCTCTTTATGTAAAGTGTTAAGTGAGAGAAAAAGTCCATCATATTGTGTTCTTTTTAAATGAAAATGGATTGAATGGGCAGAACTACAGACTGACATAAAATGACCACAAATACATAAACAACAACATATTCCGAATACATGCATTACCTAAACAAACAAAAAGTCACATTTCAATTGAATTTAATTCAATTCAAAAAACTTTATTTTCCCCCGGGGGGCAATACATTTGCAGGTTTGATACATAAATAATAACCAAGCGCTCAGAACATATCTGCCTGGCTAGAAACATTTTAGGAAGGGAAAGTTGGAATTATGTTGTTGTTTTTGCAACATGGGTGAACAAACAACGACACCATGAATGGTTCTTCATCCCAATTTGGATGGAGGAAAATCTATAGTTAGTAGACAATCTTATGAACGTATTTTCATTGATCGCTTCTGCTCGGGCCCTGATCTGCTTTTCTCTGATGCAGAGTTTTTAGGTTTTTTTTAATTCCCTCTTTTTTCCTCAGTGTGAGCTGTTTAAAGCAGCCTGTCTAAAGTTTTGATATCCATTCTTGGTTGTTTGTAGACCCAAAATAACTATTACAAACTTCATTGTGTTTGTATCGTAAATCAGTTTCATCTGTGGCCTTTATGAGGAATGATAGGCATTCATACTCCAGTGTGAGTTCATTCTCTTCTGCCTGTTAGATAATAAATCAACACATGTGTGTTTCCCTGCAGGTTTTCTCCATGGTGGTGTTCAGCTGCATTGTGAACGAGGGCTACATCAATATCGGCAGTGAGCGTTTGCTTTGCGTCTTCAACAACAACGCAGACGCCTGTAACTACGGAGTCACTATCGGCGTGGCCTGTTTCCTTGGCAGCATCTTTTTCCTAATCCTGGATGTTTACTTTCCCTCCATCAGTAGCGTCAAGGACAGAAGACGTGCTGTCCTGCTGGACCTTGTCTTTTCTGGTACACTTAATTATAAATGGACCACTGTTGAAAGAAAATTAAATGAATATGCAGTGAAATCTAAACATTTATAGTTAGGCTTCAACATGAAAAAGCAAGAACATCCGAAAGAAATGGCAAAATGTTAACATCTGTATCATTTTGAAGACGGAATAACATTAAGAAATATCCAGTATTAAGAATAAAAAGTAACTAGAAAGACTCTTAGAGTGCATAGACCTCTGCTGAGGCCTTGTTCAAGCAACAATATGTAGGTTTGGTGGGCATCACGGTCTCTGAGTGAAATAACAGTCATAAGACACAGTGCTGTTACGACACCTTTTAGACAACTTGCATTTGTTTAACAGCAGAGAGTGCAAACTGTCATTACATTGTTAGAAACCAAACATAATATTTGAGGCTTTTTCACAGATATGACTCTCAAAGTGTCTTCACCCCGATGTCTGCAAAATGATTTGCATGTGGAGTATCTGTGTGCGTATTCAACTGTTACCATGCTATCTTTAGGCTGTGGCTAAATGGCTTCATTGGAGAGGGTCATTATTATGCTAGTTGTTTGAAAGTTTCTAAACTTAAAAAGCTAGCTAGAAGATCAACAAAGAAAGAGTCAACTTTTTGACTTAAGAAGGATTTGTTTGTATGAACTACTGAGACATTACTTATGTTATATGACCTTCTGCACCCGATAAAGCTGCCAAACATGAGTCAACGATGACACCGAATACGCAGTAATCAAGTGGTCCCAAACATTGTTGATAACAACACAGCCTAAAGTTACATCCAAGTCTGTTAGGAATAATACCTGTAAGGAAGTGCACTCTACCATTGGATGGTTTCTTTATGTCCGGCTTCTTGCTTTTTTACGTACAAGCTTCTCGCAAGATGACCTCGGCCCGCTGCCAAAGTTACATAGTGCAGTAAACAGGCAACCTGGACTTTGGAAAGACGCCATTCTCTCTGTTAAAAGTTATTGTATGATCAAATTGACCTTCGGAACTACTATTTTAAGGTGGCAAAGTTACATATTGTTGCTTTAATGAATTACGTCAGTCATTATTGCCTGTTCATGATTAGAAAGTATCATAAATACATGATTAGAAAGTATCATAAATACTTCTTAAGCCAATGCTACACTTCCAATCAATTCTCATGAAATCTTCCTCATAGTTTTTTTTTTAAATCCTCTTGACAACAGGCTGAAACCATGACCTTCTAATCCACGATTATAAAAATGGCCAAGATACGTGACATAACCCAATTTGGGTTATTGGTTCCACTGTTCAAAGACTTGAAACACTAGTTTAATATATTTAGAAAATATGCATTCGTATTTAGTTGACAAGAGTTGTGTTATTAACTATAATTTTTTTGCCAATATGAAGCTACAGCCATTAACTGCTCGCTTAGATTAGTTTAGCAGAAAGACTTTGCAGAGGGAAAGGCAACGACCAGCAACTTAAAAATTGTATCTCCTTTGTTTAATGTAGACAACTGTTGAGTTGATTTATCATGTATCTGGTTGGTTTTTATGTTGGGCAAAAGTTATGCTTTCACTTTCATTAATTAAGACATAGCTATTTTGACTGACGGATGCACGTTGTAGCTGTTTGCCTGGAGGCTTTAGGTCCACCTCAACAGGAGCTCTTTGCCTTTTCTAGATCCAAATTTAGTTGGAATCTGCATTATCATTATGGCAACTGCCATTGTTTGGCTTCAAAATGCTCAGAAACCACTGGGTGACATCATTTAGACTGCGCTCATGTTTTATACAGTCTTTGGTTCACTCATTAAAGTACAGTTCAAAAAAACGTATGCAACATACAGGTGAATGATGATGATACATTTTTTCCCTACCTCCAGGTCTTGCCAGCTTCCTGTGGTTTGTTGGCTTCTGTTTTCTGGCCAATCAGTGGCAGTCGACCTCTCCAGATGAGCTCCCATTGGCGCAGGGCTCGGATGCTGCCAGAGCCACCATTGCTTTTTGCTTCTTCTCCATCCTTTCCTGGGTCTGTATTGTATGCTTTTTTTTTTTTTACCTGTTCGTGTTTGTCTGTGTAAACGTGTCCTACGCCTGTGTCTACATTCATGTGTGTTTGTGTCCATCATCATGTGTGTGTGTGTGTGTGTGTGTGTGTGTGTGTGTGTGTGTGTGTGTGTGTGTGTGTGTGTGTGCGTGTATTCCAGGGGTATCAGTGTCTGCTGGAAATGAGCAGATTTAAGAGTATTTCCTTCATGGAGGACAAGCAAAGGCTCCTGCCCAGGACCCCTCCCACCCTCTCTCTAGTCTAACACACACACACACACACACACACACACACACACACACACACACACAAACACACAAACACACATGCACAAACACGTGCACAAACAAAGTCCAACCTGTGTATTTCAGATTGAACCGCTAAAGTTTGTTTGTAGTGTCAGGTTTCATTTAATAATACTAAGCTATAGAATTGGCTGATTCTCATTTAGCCATTTGCAAACAATCACCGTTTTTAAGACAAATGGGAAAATCTATTTAGCTTGCAATAACCACAGACCTTATTTCGGCCATGAAACCAAAAACCCTTTTGGTGGGTGGCACAGTGGTTAGTGCGCGTGCCCCATGTACAGAGGCTACAGTCCTCCAAGCTGTCAGCCCGGGTATGAATCTGGCCTGTGGCTCCTTTCCTGGATATCATTCCCCACTCTCTCTACTTGATTTCTGACTCTATCCATTGTCCTGTCTCTCTAATAAAGGCTCAAAAATCCCAAAATATATCTTAAACAAAAGAAAAAAAAACTCAATCTATTTCAAGATCAATGAACCTGCAAAAATCTGCAAATGAGTTTCATGTCTTCAAGACTTATTCACGCTAGAGTCTGACTTTGACCAAACAAAAAAGAAACACTTCAGATTAGCCACCAGTGCTCTTTGTAAGGTTTCAAGGAAAGAGTGTGGAAACAGGACCTTCTCTCAGCCAGACTTCCCTGCTTTAATAAATGAAAACATGACCAGTCAGACTGATTTATCTTCAACTGAAAACCCACAGTGCATAATATAGCAATCTTACCACCAAACCTAAAGCAGCCATTCATCTTGCTGTCAGAGAATGTCGAGGAGTTAACCTGTAATTGTGTCAAAGAAGTACAATATCTTACAAAAGATCTTATTTTAAACTTTGAAGTCATTTTTTATTGTTCCATGAAGACATAATGCCATTCTTTTATGGAGGATGTATAGCCTTGGACAGAGAACTAAATCAATTGTGTGACTTTTTCCACTCTTTTTTTAGGTAATCTAAACATTTTTCACATTACTTTAAGTTTGTTATGAGAAGTGAAACTCTGGCTTTCTAACATCATCTTCAGGGTTGTTGTCTTCTTGTACTTGAAGAGCACTATCTGCTGATCAAAAATCTACATAGGAATCCTTGAGTAAGGAGTATTTAAAGACATGGGGATACCAATCAGTGAGGGTGTTATACTATGATCTATTACAAGTCAGATGATAATGGTTCTGTTACCTACAAGTTTTAATCTGAATGTGCATCTGCTTGGTAAAACATAAACAGCAAACTGATGATGATGATTGATGTACCATCATTTAAAATGTTAACATAATTGTAGGTACAGATTTTGTTTCCATGATTTGTTCACTTTGGGGAAGACTGGAAATCATTGTCAGCACTTCTCAGGAATGAATGATAAATGAAAGTTATAGGAATTATTCTATTTTGTTTTTATTTCCACAATAAATGGCTTGATTTAGTGAAGGCATCAATGTTCTAAATCCAAAATAAGTTTCTCAACAACTTTGTGAAATGATTACCATTACATTTGTACATGCGTTTCTGGTCGTTTGGAAGACTCCAACAAACCTTGGTTTTCCTTTGACTTTTTAAAGAGCCATCAAAAGATTCAGCCAATGATGTTCATTGCCAAATACCTGCAAAACTAAAGGCTCTCCTTTCAGCATTAACTAGATTGTCATTCCTGCTTATCCGCCAAAATTAGCATGTTAACACACTAGCACCTAACACCTAGCATATAAGCATTGGCATTATTGACATTAGCACTGATTTTGTGCTACCTAGGCACAGCCTTGAAGGACTTCTTTACATGGTTGTTACTGTTGCAACACATTGGCAACTGGGGTTGGTATGACCAGCATGATTTCCATGCTGGTCAATGCTAGTTTGTCAAACAGGTAATGTAGACAGCTGTGCTTTGAAAGACTAATAAAATATATCTGTGGCAAGATTTCCTTTCACCATGCAGCAGAATTATTTACAGTCTGACTAGCAAATATAGAATTAGGTTAAAGTTTAGAGACAACGTGTATGACCAGACCAGTTACGTAAGCTGCACTAGAATGCTGATTTCCAGAATCTTAACTGCTGATGGGTCCAGGATTGAACTTCACATGGACTGATTTCCATTTACAGTATACAGCAAATACTGTACCCCCTGATCATTATAGTAAACCAATTTCATAGATTGCATATCAAGATTGATGGAAAAAAATCTGTCAGGAATTGAAGCCAAAAGACTTACAGCTCCCCCTGGTGACTGACTACAGGATAGGTCATATGCTAATCTAGTACTAATTAAAGGACACGTCACATTTTTCTCACACAGTGATAGTTTTTACTGATTTAGTGCTAATTTTTCTGAGAAATTTAGTGGAATCTAAAGCAGATGTAATGTCATGTTAGACAGCTTGTTGACACATGCAGCACTTCCATGATCTTCAGGTGTGTGTCTGAATTAGAAAAGTTAAGGAAAAAAAGAAACATAAAGAAAAACTAACAATACAGTCATTGAATTTTCCAAAATAACTGAATTTGTTCTCTCTACATTTTTAAAGTTAATCCTGCTGGTCAAAATAACGCTGCCAGTACAATATGTCAGCGCCCATAGCCATGTATTTTGGTTTCACGTGTGGTCTATGTTGATGTACCATCAGTGGTCTTTGTATTTACACAGAGTGTAACTAACAGCTTCTGCTAATACGTGTGTTTGTTTGTGTGTTACTAACAGGCTGTGCTGACTCTGAGTGCGCTGCGTCGCTTCCTAAATGGAAGCAGCCGAAACTTGTTCACATGGCAACACCTGGAACCCGCTCCTAGCAATGCTCGAGCCACACCATACCCTATCGCAAGCGGAGCTACCATTGTAACTACCAACCCCTATCAGGCCCCGCCCTTCACTGAAACCCTAGACCCGCAAAAGCTCACACAGCAGAGACCCATGGCTCCTGCCTTCTAGAGACAGGCGGACAGACAGTCAGACAGAGGAAGCACGAGAACAACACTGAGAGTGACGCGGGCACAGACCCGCTCCTCTCTTTGGATTGGGGGGAATTTCAGGTCACGTGATGTATGATCTATTTTCACCATGGCAACTGCTAGCTCTGCTTGGTTAGTTGTAACTCTCTTGTGTCGAGAATAACTGTCCTCTGCTCATGCACACACAGTCACTCACGCACACAGACAGATATCAGCGCACGTAAACACAACTGTACTCACTCTAACACACCTGGAAACACGTGTATACTTGGAAGAACCCCCCCCCCCCCACACACACACACACACACACATGCACATTGTGACTGCATGTTCATATGGTGAGGTGCAGATTAACATAGATGTAGATCAGTGAAGAAGCTCCATTTGCCTTAGAAAAGGGTCTTTCAAGAATGAGATACAGAGAGTGAGGCTCTTGTTGCCCCGTGACCAATCACTAGCTTGCAGACCTGGGGCTTGTCATTGGCTGAAATTTAAGACGGACAGGCAGCTTGACAAATAGGAATGTCAGTAAATGAGATGCAGTAAATTTGGTATATTTTCTTGGCAAGGAAATAAAGGCAGGACAGATGAATGCATTCAGAATGCTGTAGTGTTTCAGTGTGAAATATTCATGTGATTCAATATTTTATTGTGATATGCTGAAGTGGCAAAATGAAATATAAAAAATAAAATCGGTCCTTTAACACACCGCACACTACACCGGAGCTTTGCGTCTGCCTTTGTTCACATCATTTTTTTTACTTCGCTTCCTGCTATGTGTGAAAGTGTTTCAAATGTTTTTATGTATTGAGACCAAGATCCAAGGATGTGTTAGGCATATTAAACAACATCAGCTGGAAGATTATAATTAGAAAGTGTGAATGTTGCTTATGAATGTTGAATTCATTAGCAGCAGCAGACGACAGATGTGTTGGCTTTATTTTTGGACATTGGAGGAGTGAATCACACATTTTACATCTTTATATGTGGAGAAAGAAGATATCTTTAGCAAAGTAATGTAGGGAAATAAAAGTCAGTCAGGAAGTGGTTTTATTCCATCACTTTCCAATCATGTTACAGCAAGTGAGCATTTTATTCCCTGCTTTCATTCTGGACCAATGTTATCAACATTTGCATCAGCCAGAGTCGTCATTATAATCATCATCATCATTATAATCAACATCCTATAACACTATCATCCTCATCATCCATCATTTCCAGCAGATACGTTGACATTCAAAAATGTATAAATTCCCCTTTGTAGTTCTCACATCATTGCTGCTGTGTTAATAAAATATACTCTTTGCCTTTTTCTACAAAGTTTTACACACCTTAAAATCACCTGAATAAGCCCTTCTGTACATCTGCATCTGTCTAAACTTCACCCCGTACAGCTTAATGTCTTTACGCATCAGGAGAGACGAACCAGCTCCGGCTTCAGACAGCAGGGGGCAGTCTAAATCTGTATACCTCTAATCACATGCTTCATCACACTCGCCTGCATCTGAACTACCTCTACCCTGAGAATACTAGGACAGAGAAAAGGAAAGTGGAGGGAGTGAGTGAGAAACTTAGCAGTCCGAATGTTCAAAAAGATGGGGTCAGGAAAAGAAGCGAGGTAGAGAGTATGAAAGCCGAGGTCAGACAATTATTTACTCAGAGGCTCTTAGTGCAAATGTATTTCTTTCCATCTGTCAGGGTAGGATGTATATAAGGGCAGGAGTTTCTCAAATTCCACAAAGATATCCATGTTTAATTTGGCTGGAATTTAAGAACGATCGAAAAAGTGGTGGCTCCAGTGGCAGTTTACTGTAGATTATGAGGTATGTAAAGATTAGTCTTAATAAACATACAAAATGCCACATGGTTAAATATATAGAATTCTCATGTTGCTTAACTTTTAAAAGATGCTGTAATGCTCTGTACTATATTTGTTATTTTTGTAGAATTAATTATCTAATAAAATGTGCCTGCACCAATTTATGTAAGAGTGCCATTATAAATGGCTAATGAAATCCTTTGTCAGCTTTTGTGAAACTCAACTATACTTCTAGATATCAGGGCAGGATATAAGGTAAAGTAATGGAAAACCATGTTAAGCTTATACACTGTTTACTTGTTAGACAATGAACAGAAAATGAATCAGTGATTCATTTTCATAATTGATAATTGAACATGCTGAGTATTTGATGTTTTATCTTCTAAAATGCAAAGATTCTGGGTTCTCTTGTTCAACATTTGAATAGAGGGGGTCTTTGGATATTGAGCACATTATAGGACAAAAAGGTTCTTGGAAAAAAAATGTGATGAGCCTTTTTCTATTATTTCTGATGTTTTATAAACCAAAATATAAACAACTAGTCTATCAAGAAACAAAACTGTTTGAGCAATAATTAAATAATCGTAAGATGCAATCAGAAGCTGTGTTTTTCTCTTTTTCAACACATCTTTGAGTACACGAGCAGATCACACACTAGCTCACTCCATGCTGCATCTCTGTGGTATTTTATCTCATACTCTCACCAAGGCTTGAGTTGTGAGGAAAAAGATTAAGAGTGAGAGTAGAAGGAGGAGATCAAGCAAGGGGCAGGTTAGTGTTGGAGTAAATATAGAAGGGGGAAGGGGGCTACTGTGTTTGAACTAAAGCTAGGACTATGATAGAAGAAAAGGAAATATCTTCTTGTGTGCATATTGTGTAAAAACTTCACAATGGGTCCTTGAACTCCTACACACCTACACACTCGGCCTGGAAGAGTCCTGCTCAAACACCCTGTGAAATTCTAGTGATTGGGCAGGATGAGGCGTCTGGCGGGTCCTTAAAAAATAGTAACAGGTATCTTTCCTGTTTTGGACTGTGGCTCCGCCCCCACTTATGTGCGCCAGTGGCACCAGGGTCCACCATGTCAGAAAATGATCTCTCCTGTCCCACTGAGTTTGTTCAGTCCTCCACAGAACTTCCCTCTGGTAGATTAGGAGAGAGGGTTGTGGCATCGAAGGACAGAGTCCGCCTTCTCAGCTCAACACTGCTGTTCATCAGCTGGGTTGCTATAGTAACAGGCTCCTCTCCTGGCGGCGGACTCATCCTCTGCTTCTTGTTCCTGCTGGACACCGGAGACACTGATTGGCTGAGGCGGCTCCGGTGCTCCCCTGGGCTCGGAGAAAGGTGTCTGCTTTTGTGTGAGGAGCCTGCTGGAGTTTGTGTGTGTGAGTGTGTGTGAACAGAACTGTTTATACTGCTCACTTCCTCATCTGCAGCGTCTAAATGGGGGCTGGGGGCTGAGCTGGGACCGGGGCTCACTGCCCTGGAGCTACAGAGCGGGGCTGATAATGTGGAGTCGCCGCTTGGGACCTTCTGACTGGACAGGCTCTGCTGGCTGACGGGCCTCTTCTCCACATCTGTTTCAGAATCGCAGATGGTCGGCTCAGGTACATGTTCCTGCCCAGTGCTTTCACTGTGGCTGCGGCTGTGGCTCCTGCATGAGATAACCCTCTGGGCGTGTGCGTATTTCAGTGTGTGTACGCTGGAAGATCGCTGGCGTTGTGGTGTGGAAGAGACAGCTGGAACAGTAAGGTGAGTCTCTGCCAGATCGTCAGCTGAGCCGCTCTGATCCACAGAGTCAGAGCGTACTGCCTCCTGCAGACATAGACAGAGCCACAAATACACAACTTTAAAGTGATTATGAGTTGTATGTTTTATAAGAAATAAACACCTAACAGATGCCAGGATCAAATTCTCAACTGCAATCCCTTTCTGAAGCAACAAAACTGTAAAACACTGGGAGACAAATACACAGTCCTGTTTTGTATTCTTTTTGCAATCTTGAAGCTAATATAAAGCTAAAGAGTCTAAGTTGCTGAGTCATTTAAAGTGGACATTGTTTTTCATCTATCTAGCCTTAAAAAGGAAAACCACAAAGGAAAAAGGAAATTTTACTCAAACATTGTAGTTTGGAATATATCCAAACCTTGAACTTTAAAATGCATTCTAGTACAAAACAACTGGGATGAATTTAGTCACCCATGTTGAACCGTATCATCACCGTCATTTAGGAAGCAGGAGACACATTTACAGCAACTAATGACTGTTTTGATTTACTTAAAGACATGTAAGTGTTGGTTGGACTTGAATGTCTAATTGCATATCATATCAATTTACAAAAAAACAAAGAAGTTATTCAAATGTTTCTGTCATTTACATTGAGATACTACAAATCATGTCTTCCTTACAATTGAGATAAACATTTAGCAAACGTTGTGTAGTGTGCATACTCAAGAGTCTGCTTATAGATTTCTAAAATATACTTTTTTATACTTTCTTTGCACCACTATAAAATGTTCTTGTTTAATGGATAAGTTGGCTGCAAAAAAAATTGCTATTGAAATAAATAAACATTTTTTTAAAGCAGTAATTCAACTGTTTGTTTTAAAGTAAGGATTTATTTCTTTATCAGAAGGTATTTAAAGAATATTTTGATTTTGGACTATCGAGTGGATGAAAACTATTAAAAGTGAATTGATGAGACTTTTTTCACATTTCCTTTATAAACGTAATATAAATTTGAATCCTGACAATAATTAGCAGAAATTAAGATGAATAAAAATGTTTTTAGTTGAAGCCCTTGTGTGAGAAATAAACAGAAGAAATTGGATAAGAACGAACCTGTCTCTGTAGCTGTCTGCTTGAAGAGCGGAAGGACGGCGGTCTCCTTAAGGCGGAGTTTTCGGGAACATAGGACGGACTAAGCATGTTTCTGTCCAAACTGTCTTCAGGACTGAGCCAATGAGAAGGGCTTCTGCTGGCACTGTACGTGGGACTTAGTCTGAGTGAAGAATGTCTGTCTATACTGTGGCTGGAGAGGAGTGTGGGTCTGTCTGTGTTGTGGTCTGGGTTCAGTCTGTATCCGTCCATACTGCGAGTCGAGCTCAGTCTCTGTCTGTTAATCCGATGAGCCGGGCTGAACTTGTATCCATCGATACTGTGTGCTGAGTTGAGTCTGTTTATTCTGTGAGCCGGGCTCAACCTGCATCCCTCTATGCTGTTGGCCGGACTCAGCCTGTGTGAAGAGTGTCTGTCGATACTCTGAGAGGTGCTGAGGAAAATCTTCGGCCTCATGCTGCGTCCAGAGCCCAGTGAGGCGTGGCTGATGGTGGGCAGAGCACCAGGAACCTGCAGCAGTGAGCCACCGCCGCTGGAGCCCAGAGACGACATGGATCCTGCAGAAAATAATGTGGCAAAGGTTATGTAGAAAAAAGTGATGAGAGAAGAAAAAATGTAGAGCTACAAGTTCAATTAAACAAGAACTTCCCAGAGTTTGGATGAAAAAATGAAACAAAATGGGATTGGGATAGGAGTCATTCTTCCTAAATTGGGACGATACACAAGTATTTTTATTGAATTGGAATGGGACAGGAGGAAAAAATAACTCCTGTATTACCCCTGGTACACTCCAGTATACCTAAAACTCAGCAAAACTGTTTGCATTTGATGGATCTTTCAAAAGTGCCTTCCATTGTGATGTCAAAAGTGGAAATACTCAAGGTTGGATAGAAGCAGTAGTGGATAAACACATGCTTCAAAGGCATACACTAATCCTACCAATTTGTCACATACATTAAAAAAATAAATCTCCCTCTGAGGTCTATAATGACACTGCCTCTGGTTGTACTCTATCACACTTAAACTGCTTTCTGTGCTATTTCTGGAGGCAATAATCTTTA